ATTGTTTTTCCTGAAAACATTTCAGTCCTGAAAAATCCAAATTTGTCTCACTTCTTATGGAAACACACCTGTATCTTCCGTAATATTCGAGGTGGAACAATGAAACTCTCAGGACTGATGGAAATGCTCAAAATGCACCTACCATATGAATGGAGTTGGCCCAAGTGATATACACTGTCCGCCACTCGCGATGGAACACCCCATTTTTAGGTAAAACATATTAGGGGGCGAAATAGTTCGCTTCCAATACCTGAACCCCTTCATTCTATCTGGAGATTACTCTCAGGTATGAAAGATACAGATATTGTGAGATGATATCATCCATTTTGAGCCTATCTGAGAAAAATGTCACAGTACCACATTCTCAGATTATCGAGATAGTGTGAAGCAGTGTATCAAAAATTATTGATGGCGCCATCTATTATAACTGGAGAAGATTATTCGTAAAACTAATTCTGGTTGCTGAACATCCAAATTCTATCCCAACCAGAAGTGAGAGCTCTCGTTTGATGAGCAAAAACTGCAAAAAATTGAAAAAATCTATATTCAAAGGTTCACATCTTGAAAACTGTACAATTCTGAGCTTTGGCTGTGGACACTTTCAATCAGCACATCAAGAACTACAACATATAAAAATTTGGGCAAAATTCAAGGCAAGCCATTTGTCATATTTGTCATAATAATAAGGAAACATTTCACCATCCGAAACAAAATCAACTTTCATACTCAATGCAACACCGAAACAACCGTTGATTTAAAAAAAATCGCACTCGGTAAACAAGTAGAATTTAGATTATTTTACCTACTTGAAAATGTGTTGCCGTGACATTTTCCTCGGATAGGCTCAAAATGGATGATAGCATCTCACAGCATCTGTATCTTTCATACCTGAGAGTACTCTCCAGATAGAATGAAGGGGTTCAGATATTGGAAGCGAACTATTTTGCGCCGTAATATGTTTTACCTAAAAATGGGGTGTTCCATCGCGAGTGGCGGACAGTGTATATATATCACTTGGGCCAACCCCATTCAAGTGGTAGGTGTATTTTGAGAATTTCCATCAGTCCTAAGAGTGTCATCATTCCACCTCCAATATTACGGAAGATACGGGGGTGTTTCCATAAGAAGTGAGACAAATTCGGATTTTTCAGGACTGAATTTTTTTCAGGAAAAACAATGTAATCGTAGTAAGTTGGTAGTCATGATCACGAATCTGAAGGAGTTTTGAGCCTATTTTGCCCCCTAATAAGTTTTATCGTAAAAATGGGGTATTCCATCGCGAGTGGCGGACAGTGTATATCACTTTGTCCAATCTCATTCAGGTGGTAGGTGCATTTTGAGCATTTCCATCTGTCCATCGTTCTACCTCGAATATTCCGGAAGATACGGGGGTGTTTCCATGAGAAGTGAGACACTGTATATGTTTTATTGACGTTCATTTTCCTTTATCGTTTTATACTCTGAATTAACCTCCTTTTGAACGTAAATTAACCCCTTTGAATCTGTATCTGAATCGGGATGCAGGCAGTGTTGAGATTATGAGAAGTAAACCATTGAACAATGACGAAACTGAAGTGAATGCATTATAGCTGTAAAAAGAGGATCAGAGAAAAATGGATCTCTGTGCGTTGATGACGATTTGCAAGAATGAGACGAATTTGAATTCTATTAGTACCGTACTTTCCCGGATGAATTTTGGGGGAGAAGAATTGAAACATCAGTTTACATTCATATATTTATTGTCTTGAGTTTTTGAAAATGCACTTCAACATAACATTATTAACAACATCAGAGTCATGAGGCATTCATCATATTTTGAGTACTGCAGAATGAATAGTACCCAGAAATGCCGTTTTCAGTACAAATTTCGAAATGAAGACATCTTTGGAACAATATTGTGATATTTGTAGGTGTTAATTCTAGATGAACGTAAGCAATTATAAAATAGTTTAATAGCCTATCTATACCTATGTATGTATTGTTAATCACCATTGCTGATACGTTTCAGTTTCGTTTCTCAAAATCACATTGTATACATTTTTTTCTTTGTGAAATATGGATATTCATAAGTACCGAAGAGAAAAAATAATGTGAACCACTTAACGTAAAACATGAGGAAGCAAAAAGAACCTATTTAGAATATATTAGCACCAAGAACTATTGGATAAATACATTTTGGACCATTTTTTGAGTCTACTAACAAATGGCACGAAATTTAACAAGTATTATACAATATGAAAACATACAAAAAATAGTATAAAAAGTACACGACCAGAAAAAAATGGCAGTTCGGAAGTAATACAAAATTACACCAAGCTGTATTTCATCAGGCAGATTAAAGCTCATAACATTAACATAAGAAGCAGATAATATGAAATACAGCCAATGTTGAGTCACAGGATTGCAACATACTTGTGTCATCAACAGTATGCGCTGTTCTTTCACCTGTGATTTGAAAAAAAATGAACACAAATTAAGTGAACACTAATGGATGAAAATTTTATACAATATCAAGATTGACTGACAGTGACTGCATTTATTCAGAACTAGTTTTCATTCTCTAATAATTAAGATCTCCTCTGATCGGTATGGAGTTATCAAACTCCGAGCTGAAAAAGAAAAGAAAAATTAATATTTTGGGTGGAAAAAAGGCTCATACAAATGATTCAGGAATGAAGGAATCTCAAATATTCAGTTTTCTGATAGATGTTTTTTCTTGGCATTGAGAAACTGTAGTCTCCCCACTATGAAAGGCTTGTGAATTTCGCACAATATCATTTACAGAGCTTTTGACTTGAAATGTAACTCTTATTGCTGATAGATCGTAGTCTTGGAGCCAGCTACATCAATATGTCGATAAAATTGAGATCGAGGTGATTTCAACACTTGACCTTCATTTTATCATTCTACAATAAATATGTAACTTCTTACAAAAAATGGTTTCATCACTCTTTTGAATATCGTGAAATCCATTGATTAGACGCATGTCAATACAGAAAGCGATCTGAAAAGTTTCCGAACTAACAAAGTTATAAGACATTTTTTAGCACTCGGTGTTTTCATCTGCAGAATAATTGTTCACGAATAGGCCTCTTTATTAACTTAAATCTCTGTACTCTGATCGTAATTTTCAGATGAATGACCCGATAGGGGTCGCTTGAGGCAAGATCTGATGAGTGAGGTTAATGGACGAGCAGTTCAAACCGTAGATTTTTGCTATGGCAACCGCTGAAGTGTGAAACGATGCTTTGTCTTGGTGAAATAGAATTTTTTTCATGTAGATGTGGATGCTCTTCCGCAAGTTCTGCTGCTTTCAGCTTGTCAAGTAATGATAAGTAGTATGCTAATGTAATGGTAATATAACAGCCGAAAAAACAGTTTTTGCTATTTCTGGAACCGGTTTCCTGTTTACAGTGCATTGTTTGAACTGTGTGTTTTCATTCCAGGCGTAAAATGATGTATCGAAGTTTCATCTACAGTAATTAATCGGCGACTAAACTGCACCAACAGGATGTTGGAGAATGTTCATTAGAATACGTTTTTGGTCTAACTGTTGATTTGATATGTAACAAACACCTGTGAATTTGAATTTTTTGAAAAGTAAGGACGTATCAAATGACAAACAAGTTATCACAAACACCTGTGATATAACCTCTGCTGTCTGTCTCACTTCAATTTGGCGATCGACTAGCACCATTTGGTGAACTTTGGAGATGTTTTCGACGGTAGTTGTTGTTCGATAAGGACTGTATTCACCGTATGTCGGCCGATTGTTGGATAATTGAGGAAGAGACAATTCAGAAATTATTATTCATTTTTGTAAAATCTCCTCCGAGTACCCCGGTAGCGATCTTGAGAAAATCTTGAAGGATGCTGTATTTTGGTGGTAGATATTTATGCTTCTTACTTCACAAAACCTTTAGCAGAACATACATTTAGCGGTATACACGTTTTCCTTTCTGTCTTTTCCATTCACGACTGTTCCTCCGACCTCCGTGCGTGGGATAAGGCCTGTGTCACCAATGATAAAATGTTAACAATGATAATAATACTAACCATACCTGAACCCACCTACAAGAACACGTGAATGCCGAACAATTGTAGTTTTTGAACGAACCATACGTTCAGCATGTCCCGAGCTCTTACGACCACGTTCAAATTTAGCTGTCCAAAATTTCACTATGGTAAATGTTGGTGTCTGGTATCCATACACAGAATGCAACTCATTTTTGATTAGGGTATTCAATGACGGCTCTATACTTCATTTTGTCTGTTTTCATAAAAATACTCACACCAACTTTATCAAATGACTGTTACACAACTGCCCGTAGGTTTAGCTAGCTATCAGGTAGCTCGGGTAGCCTCGTGATATATGTATTACAAAGGCCAACGCGTAAGCGAATTTGCAGCGCCGAGGCCAAAAGGAGAAAGAGAGCGATAGGAGCAGGAGTGGCAGCAACTATAAGTGTACCCTCTTTCTCTGCAAGAGCACTTCCTGCGGTGGGCGCCAAGAGCTCCGCCTTGAATAAAAGCAAGGAACCGGCTGCTCCTGCAAAAAAACGCCTTTTCTTGAGCACCTCCACTGAGGGAATCCCAAGAAAGTTGAAGGAGCCGCGCAACGACAGTAATGTCGCTGCACCTTTCAAAACCTTCACGGAGGTCGCCGTGAGACACGTCAAGGTTGCTGAAGAGAATGTGTGTTCTTTTCATGTTGAACTCGGAAAGTTTTCAGATCACCCCCGTATTTAACTTTTACCTTTGACCAATTTATAGCTACTATCATGGTCAATGTCTTGAATTCTAACTTGACAGTGTAATCGATATTGATATAAATTCGGATTCTATTAATCTTTCGAGTAAATATTCAATGGACGATTGAAGTAACGAAAAGAAAACTAACTTTTCAATTTTTTTTATGAATTAGGATAGATGGGGAAACCACATAATGGAACAACGCGAGTCGTGAAGAACATTTTCATAGTTTTGAGAAAATTATCAACATTTCAGTTCATTACTATGCGTTCAAAAAAATTAAATGACATAGATTGAAATCAAGTGAAACACACCCATTTATAGGAAAGAAAGGTTTTGACTTTCTACTTCTCCAAAAAAATATAGGAATTTTCGAAAGAAAGGAAGATAGCAATCAATTTTTTTTGTATAAAGATGGAGTAGAAAGCCAAAACACTCCTTTTCCTAAAACTATACCCATTTACTTTGGCAACTGTATCATACCTTTCATCGAAGACATCCATTGTATGCATTCATAAGTAAAAAAGCATCAGTCTCTATTATTTTATAAAGGTAATAAAATATTTATAACATTAGCTTATCGATTCTTATTTACATACAATACTGATTATCACAAATAATACAACCCCAGACTACGTATCATCCAGCTAAGGAGGCTGTAAACTTTACCGATTAGTATAAATGGACATGAGAATTAGAAGAGATTGAACAAAATATAATATCTCTCTTTTCATTTTCGGAAGCAATCAACTCTCGTATAATCTATCGAAATGGTACACTGGATGTTCATTTGTGAGTCGACAAAATTGCCGGCCTTGATCTTGCCACCAATTGAAGAGAAAAAGTAACTGTTATTCCTGAAACTCGAGACAGTTGCTAGATTATAACAGTAAAAAAGATTGCAACAATTCATGGATAAAATTGACAGCAACAAAGAAGAGTCCTGATAGGTTCGTTTGAAAAAACTGGTACAATATTTCAATACACAAATAAAAAGCACCAGTGATTTTTCAATATGGTATATACCCGAAAAAGAATTTCCTTTATCGAGTCTACCAAGTTCTCTGGATTCTGGAATTAGTATAATTTCTTATGCAAACAGTCCAAAAAGATCCAGAACCTTGCCAACCGTTGACGTCATCACAAAAAAAACGTCTCCGTAATTCGTTCCACTGATCTTTCTAGTCATCTTTAATGAATTTTCTCCACTTTAGAGAACTGTTGTTCTCTTTATGTAACGCTAAAAATGGTATTTGAAAGAGAAGCGCACCCAACTGAATACAGAGCTGAAAACTATTCGTTCACCTGCGAGGCTGAGTTGAACCACGAAGGCATAAAAATGCAAAAATGAGCCTCGGTATCTAGCCTTGCAAAAACACCGTATTTGGGGGTTTGATAGGATCCCCCAGGAACCTTATTGATCAAGGTTAGACTCAAGGACAGTTGAGTCCAACAGCTCAGCTCAGCACCACTGATTTCATTGAACTCATTCTATAATTCATCAATGATTGTGAGATGAGAACTTGTGATATCGTGATTTCAAATAAGTTTATGTTAGGCTGATGCAGTCCTCAGGCTCTTCTGAGGTAAGGAAGCTAAAATCGTTAGTTTTCCGCTCAAAGTTAATGAGTGTCATGATTTGTGGCCACCAACTCTTCTGCTTGTAGCTAAATATTCACAGATCGAACATTTTCATGTCTCAAGCAATGTAGCTTCTGTCATGTCATGTTATTGAGCCAAATGCTGCAAATTGATTGTTTCATTCATATCAGAATGATTTTTTACGCTTGCAGTTTTGAAATTGAGACTCCAAACACCAATTTCTTTATAAGATGGCAGTGATGGTGGTGGCAAAACCGTAAAAAGAGAAACACACGAGGGATCAAGAAATCAAACGCATTTGGTACAAGTTTCAGTTTCAAAGTCAGTTCGGTTTTGAGCTGAAATTTGAAGCGAGGAGCGAAATGAACATCCAGTGTATCTGAAGGACCTCCAGTCTCGAATTATCCAACAAGGGATACATACACATCCCGTTCATATATATATTAAAAATAACAATGGAACCATAAAACTTTTGATATGATACGATATAACATCTCAACGTAACGTACCTATTGTCTAGCACAAAAAAATTATTTTTCAGGTTGTGCTCAAAGGTCAAACGTACGTCAACAAATATAAAGGTCCACAGTTTATATAAAAAATACAATACATTCTAATTGTGTGTATCGTTTGGGCAAAACTGGAAGGTTTGGGATGAATGATATTAACGGGAGGGGGTTCAACAATCTCATCAAATGTATCGCTGTCGGCGAAGATGAGAGAGGACGGAATCCATCGCATTCTTCGAGGAAGAGCAGCGTGAAATATCAAAAGAAAGATTGCATTTATATTATTGTATGGGAGCCACATCAAATGTGAAAGCGAGTTCTGGAGTGTAAAAGTATGAAGTATGTGATGGTGTGTTCAACTTTAGTTCAGTGTGGAATATGAAGTTCCTATAGTTTATGAGTTGTGAAAATGATCAGTTGTGTAGTATAAAACAACTGAAACCATACAAACCCTTCAACAAATAACACGTTCACATTGTAAACTGTCAAATTGGAAATTATCAATGACTCAATGACTCATACAGCTATCTCCTATCTCTCTTGTGATAAGTGTGATTGAAGGCAAACATTAACTCTCCTGTCTTCCTTTTTTATTTGCAGAAGGAGAGGATGCTATATTAAACTTTGGTGTTTTAGCCTTATTTTCTTTATAAGACATGCACATTCTTTATTCTCCCTAGATATGATCGACGAAGCAACGCCAGAAGATTTTTTTTCGACAAATTCCCACAGCTTTGAACATTGGTTAGTTCAAATATATCCTTCAATCAAACTTTTCGAATTCATTTTACCCCTTGGAGTAGGTAATTCGATTTGATCGGGATGAATCATTTCATGTCATCAATATAATAGTTCAGACTGTTGATAAAGTAATGTCTCTTGAATAGGAATCAAGGAATCAATCAATCAATGGTGAATAAATCTTGATCTAACTGCCTGACAATAGTATACTGGGCTAAACTTGTCTATCAACTAGTTGTTCACTGAAGAGACCACAAAAAAGACGAAGATAAATGTACTCCTGTAGCTGGGGATGGGAAACATCGGTCCTTTGCCTTTCCTCAGGTGAGTACCTGAGAATTGCTGATGTAATGAAGTAATCTGGGCCTTTTGAAGTAGTGTCAAAAGCCAATCATCTCCGTCACTGATATGTTTGTGACAACGGAAGTATTCTCTTTCACCGCATGCAAATTCTACTGATGAGTCACCGGTGTCTTACCTCGAGCTCCAGAGCAACTAGTATATTCTAGTCATCCCCACTCTCATAACATTTTATCGTCAATCGAAACCACATTTATTTTTTTAACTTATATCAACATTCAAACCTTCATTCAAACCTAAAATTAATATTTGAACCAAATAATTCGGCCGAATATGCGGTTCTGTGAATATTAAACCGAATAATATTCGGTATCCGGTTATTCGGCATAATTACTATTCGGCGCATGTCTAGTCAATAACAGTTCTGAAAAATATCTACTTGTACAAATGAGATTGGAGTACTTCTTCAGTGTTCATTTCAATACTGTATCCCTGAGATCCTCATCAGTCATATTGTTTGGTCACTAACAATTTTGGTTTGTACCAATATCATTGAAATATTGTTTTTGAATCTTTGAGTTTGTGATTCTGTCCAAAGTATCACTCTCAAGGGCACGAACATTAGCCTTTCTACTTTCTCGATAGGGATCAATGTTTTCATGAATATATATTGTTGACACGCAAAAATTTTGAATTCTTACCTCGAGCAAGGTTTGACATTCAAACCGTTTATTGACTTGATTCCTAAATCTAATCTTTGGCCGTCCTGCAATTCGAAACTGTGGACGCATCCGCTGAATCCTCGGCTGAATCTGCTGCCCGTCATCCTTGCAATGTTGGGAGTTCCTCCCAAGTATATGTTGCCGTCGCAGTTCATTAGGGTAGTGAATCCTTCCGCTTCACCTTCCTCCAACCAAGTGTTGTCCACGTAGATGGATCCTTTTCTGCCGTCCCGTTTCAGGATGACGGTGTGCCTCTCACCGTCGTCGACGCGTATCTTGTGGTTCTGGATTATGGCGGGGCCCATGCCGAGGTCGAAACTGAATTCCAGATAACCGTTTTCGACTGAAAAAAGGTCCAGATATCAGATTTGAAATAAAAAATTAGTGAATGGAGTGAAATGTTCCCAGGGATTACTCTTTCGATGGAATATTCATGGTAAAAATCACAAATACGGAAGAGCGGATGATGACAGTGAATATTTCCATGCAATAGTTGGTATGGAACCGCTCCAAACACATAATGATGATGTTAGAGAGGCAATTATTGACAATAATTTATTTTCCTCATCAGACAAACTATATTTGTATAAGAATGGTCAGAGTTGATGAAAATCATGCAAATAATGGCAACGTGAAATTTCGAATTTTTTTTCTGAAATACAACTCCTTGAATTTTTAGTCAAATGTTTCCAAAATTTTTCATGCATTTTATCTCAGGAATGGAAGAAAGAAACAAGATTGAGAACGAATCTCGGAGGCGAAGGAATGTGAATAATGGAAGCTGTTGGAAAATAACTCAAACAGTAGGAGAATCAGTGTGAATTTTTGAAAATATCAAGAAAACATGAAGAAAACTGAAAAAAATGGAAGTGAAGAAGGAAAGCACAATCCACCTGCAAGATTCAAAACACAAAAATCTAACGCCACAACAAAAACTATCAGTTGAAAATTCTAATTCTTCTGAATCATCCCCCCAAAAAAAAAAAATAACACCGGCCGCCGCTGGTCGTCATAAATCAATTGTGACGTGCTCAAACTCAACGTGCGCACGCGGCCGTTCTAGACGTGGCATTGCTTCGAAAATAAAGCTACCGGCTTCGATGAAATTCCGGCGAATTTTCTTCCGCATTCGAATGTCATCCATATATGATGGCTATCCACGAGCGGACAGTGCAGTACAGAGAGATCTAACAAGGCGATATACATTTGAATAATACTTGAAGTCTCAGTTAAAGTGTTTGATTTTATTAACAGTTCGCAATCGGGGCATTGGCGAATTCAGTTGTGACATTTTATAGATATGCCTCGAGAATTAAAAAACTGGCTAACAAGAACAAATAGATTCTATAGAGTTGAACACTCAGGAAGAGAAAACGGAAAAGCTTATGAATGTGCAAGAAACAATCATCAACTCCTCAAAGGAGCTGTAGAGTTGCCAAAACCAGTGCTGCAAAACAAAACCAGGGTATGGGTCAATAGAAACATGAGTACTGGGAAAATATATCTGGCATCACACAATGAAAAACATTTTTGGAAAAACTATGAAAAGAGCAGCTCTAACAGAGCAATGATTGGCTCAGAATATTTGTGGACACTGTTCACTTGAATAAAATGGGACCTGTAACAGAAACCTCATCTGCAGACACTGCAATAGAGGAACAGAGACAACCGGTGGTTGCCCAGTAATCTTTATCAATTCTTTGAATGTAAACATGGGTGTGAAAGGCAGTGCTGATACTTGCGAAAACTTTTTGAGATATAATTTTCAGGGAAGACCAAGTTTTTTTTTAAATTGATTGCATTTTAATTGATTTGGCACTTCCAGTCCAACTTTTGAGTACCTGAAGTAACAGAAAATGACAGTTGACGAACAGGTTTCAACGATGATATACAGATAATATAGTTACTAGATACTGAGATACTGGGCGGTTTTTCGCCGTTAAAGGCCTTGTCATGGTGATGCTGGGCTCTGTCGTGATATACCTCTTTCTATCAACTCATTTGACTGCTTATGGACCATAAGTAACCAGAACCCTAAACTTTAATCGACAGAGGAGATGGAATTCGACTTACGGACCCCCATTGTCTTTCCTGCAACGAAGGATTGAGAAAAAGAGGTACTCAGTTCTCCAGGTTTTGAGCTGAGTTTACCGTGAAGGTTTGTTGAAGGACCGAAACATTCCTCCCTGTAACATAAGATGGAGATCAGGAGCTTCTCAGTCCTGCAACTCTTGAACAGGAAACGATTTATCGCCTCCTCAGAAGCATGATATTTCATGTTTCCGCCTGTTTACCACATTCTTGAGCAACTCAAGCAGAATGTGGATCAGTGGAGAAATTAATTTCTTCATGAGTGGGTCCTGCAAGTAAACTGAGTCGATGAAGGAGACGGACGTGGACGGGATTATTCTTCACTAGGAAATTCGGGCAGTATGTGCTTCCTCGCTGCAACCGGATCAGGTTTTCGTCGTATGGCACAGTCTCTCACCAAATGAATAAATTGGCTTCGATTAGAAACAAGATTTATTTGATCCAGTTTGAGAAGGTATTAGCCACAATGAACTCGCGCAGGTTTCAGTAGAAAGACAAATCGACCCTGTCACTTGGGATCAGCTTTCTATTTACTCGCTCTGATTATTGGAAAGAAGTAATCATTCTAAAGAGTTCAAGAATGGTAGACTTTCAATTGGAGATGAGTAAACTACCGACACTCAGACCAGAATAATAGAGGACAATGAACCGGTACAAATCAGGAGATTTTCAAATTACTGGAATGGGTGTATGGAAAATATAGGGAAAAATATAATGAGAGCCTGGGAGACATCAGTTATTTCAAAGAAATAGATTTGTCAGACGGTTTTCTACTAACAAATGGCCCAAATCATCATGCAATTGATTTCAAATAGTAATGTACTCACTTGCTAGAGCAATATAATCACGTCCCTGCCCGTCTTCGTTTGGTTGTTGTCCTTGCCAAAAAATGAGACCGCTGGACTGGTTAGTTGACAACTCCAGGGCAATGATTTCTTGTTCCTCTCCCTGATGTGGTAACAATGCTTTACTGAATTCCAAAAATCCATTGCCGTCGAAGTGAACATCACTGCGTAATTCAGTGCCTGAAAAATTGATAATGCCATCTGAGATGATGGCGAAACGTCGACTATCGAATAGTACACAACGGATGAACACCCGGGAAAAACAACACATCCAAAACGAATATTAAACTAACTGTTAGATTGAGAGAGAGTTGAAAAGTAAAGACGAAATACTGAAGGATATTATGAATTTCAACAAATTAATGTATCTTGAAAATGTTTTTGAATTGATTTTCGATTCTATCAGAAAAAAAAATATAAAGAGAAAAACAACAAGATTCGTGATTATACCATAATTACTCAGATATTTTCGGAACGAATGAAAAAAAGACATTTAGATAATCAAGAATACGTAGAATGAAATCAAGCTTAATCAGATCTGTTGAACAAAAATCTGTTTAAGAGCTGTTTTCCGTTAAACACCCCTGTCGCACCCCTACGAACGACAACCTTCAGAAGTCGAAACTTGTGCGAACTAAGGACTAACGAGATCTTACCTTTTAACGTGCGATTCCTAACATTTCCATCAAGAAATACATCATCAGATTGGGTCAATCAATTACAACTATTTATTAGCATATTTAACAGCCTACCTTGTTCACAATCGTATCCGGAGAATCCTAATGGACAGTCACATCTATAATGTGAGCCATTTCCGTGGCAAATTCCTTGATTCTGGCAAGGTTGGCTGTCGCACTTGTGTTTGGCGACCTCGCAGTTTTTGCCGCTGAATGCAGCTGGACAAGAGCATTGGTAGTCGGTCGGCGACATGGGGTAACATTGACCGCCATTCAGGCAAGTGTTGTTGGAACAACTGATTTGTCTACTATCGAAGGGTCTGGCAGTTCTTTCGTCGTTTCCGTTATCAGGCGGGTATATGTTATTGTCGACGTCTGAGGAATCGTTACAGTCCTCAACGTTTGAAGAATCTGTTACGTTCTGGATGATGTTGATGTCGACTCCAGATATGTTGATCTGGAAGATGAAATTTTAATGATACAACAGGTGAAGCTGACTCGTATACATATCATTGAACATAAAACGGATAAACTAATTCAAACATGTTTCTTCAATACATTGAAATTATTCTTTACTTCAGTTTTTCAAATTATTAAACGTTAATTATTGAGCCTATATGGAAAGTATGGTAAATTTGTTTCATATTCCTAACCGAAAGACCCATTTTTGTAGTCTTTCTTTAGCAAAATCAAATAGCAGCAGGCTATATAAAATATGTTCAAACTTCATTTCCAATATTCAGTCAATATTCAGAATGAATATGTCCAAAATGAATTATCAAAAATGAAGATAATATTGTTATATTGAAGCCTCTACCGCGAACGACTTCATCTTCAACATGCTTGAATCGAAATGAACTCATTTAGAACAGATTATTAGGAAATCACCTGAGAATCAATACCCCCAAGGATTAGCATCGTATTCTGAAACATCGTGCAGGAGAAAACATCGAACTCTAGCCTCTCATGTTCTACGATTTTATTGGTACGTCTGGGAAATATTCTAAGAAAAAACTACAACTGATCCAGCTGTGGCCGCACAGAAATTTGATGTGAAACCATCAGACACCTGTGCAACGTTTTCCCTTTGGAAGACTTGTCCGAAGTAACTTACTTTATATGAAAAGCTGAAATCGATTTCATCTAGTCCTGACATCAAACCGTTATTTTTTAATCTTCCTCTTGAAGATGATCACTTGGTGGTCGAAACACGTGTCGAGGTGTTGAAAATAACGGTTTGGTGTTAGGAAAACACTTCATTGATATTCATCACTACACCAAACGTGTAGGTTCCGAACAGTGCATCACGAGTAGACAGAAAATTATTTGCAAATAATCTTTCAAACAAAGATGTTACACAAGTGTTGGTGTGTTTTTGCCGGGTAACTACCTACCACACGTACCAACGAAATGGTGGGTCTCACGTGGAAGGAAAGGGTTTGGTAATTTCACCAGAACAGTGGAATTGCATATGTACTTCTTCACAATATATTATATATATTCTTGGTACTTACGTCAGATATGCACCCATTGAATCCAGAATATACTTTCACGCCATCATTGACTCTGATGCGATGCTTATCGTAACCTCCGACGTAAAGAGGTGTTTGCAGGTTGAGACTCTTGTAGTTTCGTGCCAATCGTCCTGTCGCAGGAGTTTTTCCATCCACCGTTAGGCTGCCGTCGCTGAGTGACCTGGTGGCGGTGAAAATGTGCCATTGACCAGGTTGCAAATCGTCTTCGGATCTTATGACTGTTGCTCCTACAAAGTGTTATCATGAGATAATGATATTGATAATCATAATTTCAAGCATACATTTCAAGTAAGTGGTATTAATTTTGTAGATATGTGAACATATGCAAGAATTTCATTCGTTACTGAGGTGAGGACAGAAAAAAGAAGTCAGACCTTATAACTTAGTTGACTTGTCACAAAACAATGCAAATTTGGAATTTATTATATAAGGATATACCTATGAAGAAGTCGACATATGAAGTTCATGGGTTATATGAAAAGAATACCCAATCACAACATATTAGATCATTTGTTTGAAGGTGGTTGACAATGTTTTGTGGTGTATTTCATCAGTTCGGACTTCCATTGTCTAATATAATATAAATTGATTTGGAATTTCTGAACGAGAACAGGACAACTATGAAGCCACCAACGTCATCAACATGAGTTCTCGCCAGCTCACGGATACAGAGAAATCTTTGTTGAGGAAAGGTATAAACTTTGCCATTGCACCAACATCTGTGCCCACTTTGGAAATAATAACTGCAGTAGAATCCACCAGTCCCCTTATGGATCAGATCGAAGCAGAAGAATTCAAATGGAAAATCAGAGAACAGATAGATCGAGAACCAGTTTCAACTTCTAATGTCAGCAATGAAGAACGAGGAGCACTGAACGGGCTCATAGAGACAACACCATCAAGATCTTACCTGCTACAGTTGTGATGGATAGTGATCTCTACGAACAGAAGATCAAAGAATTGCTTCAGAAAGGAAAATACACGAAGATCATAAGAGACCCTACTGCATCAATTGAAAGGAAGTTGTACCAGACTTTAAAAAAACATCAAGTCTAGTTTTCGGAAAAAGATCATCGCTAACACCGCACCACTGTAAACCCCCTCACTTGTATGGACTACCCAAAACCCACAAAAAGGATGTTCCGCTCAGACCGATCATTAGCTCGACGTGGAAAGCCTCACCTGACCGACACCTTCATGATATGGAACGATGGGAATGCAGAACTAGACACTTTCCTGAAGCACATCAACAACGTAAGTCCTTCCATCACTTTCACAATGGTAAAGGAAGTCCACAACGAATGGCCTATCTTAGACGTATTGGTGAAGAGAACCGACACTGAATGGGAAACATCTGTATATCGAAAACCCACTGACACGGGACAGTATCTGAACCAGAAATTCAACCACCATCAATCGACTAAAAGAGGAATCATCAAGACTCTACTAGACCGTGCCTTGGCACGTGGCATCATCAAAAACGTCCTTCAACGGAATGGTTACTCCAGAGTGATGGTAGAACAGGCTTTAGTTAGAAGACAGCAAGAGCTCCACAAGGAAAAGAAGCCTCCACAACCAGTACTTGTACTTCCCTACATCAGAGAATTATCGGAAAGGATACGAAGAATTGGGTCCAAGTATAACATCAGGACCTGCTTCAGATCTGAGAACACTATCTGTAGCAGCCTCACGGAAACCAGGCCACCAAATGGGGACTGCGATTCCAAGAATTGTATTTACCGGATACCCTGCGAGTGCGGAGAATCATACATCGGTGAAACTAAGAGGCTATCAAAAGTTTGCATTGCTGAGTACAAGAAACATACACAGTGAGGAGAAACCAGCAAATCTGAAATAGCAGAGCATGTTTGGGCTCATCAACATGATATCGAGTGGGCTCAAGTTGAAATTATCCACAGAGAGGGACACTGGTTCAGGAGAAAATTCAAAGAAGCCTCGTATATGTTGTCCAACAACGCATTTAGTCAAGCTAGCATAGAGATACGTAACATATGGAAACCTCTAATCAACCCAAAAACGACCAACTCCCGCTAAAAACCAATGAAGCGGAGAAAGAGAAGAGGGGATAGGTGAAAGCACTCGAATGGTCTATAAATAGTCGAATCTCGAAGGAATAAGTCCAGTTATCACCCGAAACAATCGAAACGTCGTGACATAACTTGGTTTGAAATCTTTTAATTTCTATTTTTTTTCATTTTTTTGGTTGTTTGGTTTTATGTTATTTTTTGTAATTTCAGTTTTTTTTTGTTCAAATAAAATTGTTATTTTCGGTTAATCTATTTAGTATTATTTAGAAATTTCCAATCAATTTATATTATTTCAGACAATGGAAGTCCGAACTGATGAAATATATTAGATCAGTCTTCGGAGAACTCTTACAAATAAAATGCCACAGCATCTGAGGGTCTTCGAAAACCCCCAAACCTGCAAGATCTATTCTGCTACTGAACAACTTTTATGGAGCGATCAAAAATCGTTTATATATTTACCATTTTCGACTTTCTGAATCCTCTAAATTATATTCACAATATTTCTACTGATCAATCAGAATCTATCAGTATCAATTCCTTACCGTTTCCTGAGTCGAATCTGAACTCCAAATGTCTGTCGCGCACAGCCAAACTTATGAAATCGCCATGGCCTTCTTCCGTTTCACCGCAGTAAAGCAAAATACCATCTTCCAAATTGTTCGGTTTGATTTTCATGGTGATTTTCAACCTCCTGGCGGGTCTAGGGGTTTGGTAAGCGATGTAAGCGTCATTTTGAAACGCTGGCTCGTTAATTGTTACCATTCTTTCGCATCTGCGTCCTACGTGTCCTAGAGGGCATTGGCATTCGAAACCGTTCTCGTTGTCGATGCATCTTCCTACTCCACAAGCGTCTGAAATATCAATTTTATATTAATTCGGAGGCATACTGAAGAGGACCAGAAATTTTGTAGGAATTGAATAAATCAAACAAACACTTTTCCCGATCACCAGAAATGCAATATTCGCCGCTCGTATTACCAACCAAGTTAGCATCATCGGGAGATGAAGACGCCAACTTGGTTGGTAAAATGTGCAACACAGATGACTCCATGGACTCCAATAATTAGAACAGCCACCTTGAAATAGTGGTCTGGATAAATTATGTGTAGTTCGAAGATGAAAATTCAATATTTCATCCGCTTTTACTCCTCTCTCCGGACGAAATATGTCTCACCCTAACTTGTTAAGCTGACTGTGGATGATTTTGAGAGCACCAGTACCAGGGTTTTCGTTATATTGAGGTATACTAAAAACAAAAAGAAAAGGGTAGGAAGGACTTCCTCATACTGTTAGGGCTGTTCTGAAGAAAATAACAGCATTCTTGAAATTGGGGAATACGTAGCTATACACAAGGCACCCGTTTCGCAAATTTTTGGCTACTGTGCTTGTAGAAAATGTTGACAATCTACTATCGGGACGAGAACTTGGAGGTTGGAACTCCTCTGCGGTGGCGGAGTCGTATATTGAGAATTCAGTTTCGAAAAGAATGAAGATAACAAGACAACCATTTCATAGTAATGAGGCCACATCAACCACATGTTAAAATACTAGTGCTATAGATAGTAAATCTTTCTCTGATGGAATAGAAATTTCAAATAATAGCAATTGTCGAATTAGTTTTTGAATTTATAATTAGTTAGTGTTACTATTATTCTTGTCGATGTAAGCAGAATGAGGTTTCGAAGAAAATATTCGAATAAGTGGTTTCTTAATGTCTGCCGGCCGTTAAAAAATTTTAACGGATAGAGGCTGTCAACATTAACTTTTCAATTGTCATCTGAATATCGGTAAAGCAAAACCCACCTCTGGTAATGCGGGGCTCTGCCAGAGGTGACCAACTCTTCTCTTGCTACTCGTGAAAACAACCAATCCCGAGGCTGGACAGAAGTGCTCATCTCAATCTAAGGCGGTGGCTGGGGATGAACAGAAATGTCCACCCCTATCTACCGCTTGGAATGAAGCTGGACATAGCAGATCACTTTCAACAGCAAGGGCACTTCCTGTGACGGGCGCCAAGAGCTTCGCCTTGAATAAAGGCAAGGAACTGGCTGCCCCTGTAGGAAAGCTTCCTCACTTGTGCACCTTCACGGAGGCAACCCCAAAAAGGTTGAAGAAGCCGCGCAACGACTGTATTATCGCTGCACCTTCCAATACCTTCGCGGAGGTCACCGTGAGACACCTCAAGGTTGCCAAAGAGAGTGTGTGTTCGGCGAGTCTTGGCCTACATCTGCCAATACAAAGGAGATGTCTCCTAGTAACCTGTTCACCTTCCTGAAAAGGACAGGATGGGCGATAACCTAGGAAAACAACTCCTCGGGAAGATGTACAATGGGTCACATGTGCTGTGAGTCTACACACACCCTCCCTACTCTGCAGATACAGATCATTGAAATAACAGTATGGGATTAAAAAAAGAAACCAACATACCTACAAATCCGACATACGGAGAGTAAAGGAAAACTTCTGGCGAAATATTAGTAACACTAGGCACACCTCCCAAAAACAAGTGCTCAACCAAATCGAGTCCGATGTATTTTCCTTCAGCTACAGCAATGAAAGGTCCTTCTCCGTCGACATACATGGTTACCTTCTTTCTGTTTCTGGATATCTTCACGGTATGCCATTCGCCGTTGGTGATAGGACGTTCCGCTCTCAAAATAGTTGTGCTGTGTCCCAAGTTGAACCTGAACTCTGGAACGGAGTTGACCAGAGATAACGATATGAAGTCTCCGACGATGTCGTTTCCTTTCTGACCGTTGTACAGGATGAGGCCGTTGCCGTTCTCTGGTTTGAATGAGATTTCGAAGTTGAATTGCATGTAGGAGTCATCCAAGGTGGGAAGTGTGATGTAGCTGTTGGGTGCTTGCGTTAGGTATGGTACGATGCCTGTGACGACTAGGATGATCGGTACGTCTATGTTGCGCATGCCTCCGCTTGCCGAACAGGTGTATGTTCCTGCGTCACTACTGCCAACGTCGTTAAGTTGAATTTCTCTCTGCAATTGAACGAAAAAAGATGAAGAGATAATGTAAAGGAGTCATGTGAGTCATTGACAATGTGGATTCTAGAACCAAAGTACAGGGTGTAACTGAATGAGTGTAAAACATTCAAGAAGGTGATTCCTCTTCGAAAAAAAGATGAAATGCAAAGTTGTTTATTCTAGAGGATATGTAATACATACGCTGTAAATATCAACCGAAGAGGGCAGACTTCCACCTTGCTTACTCCATAGGTAAGTTATAGGCTCTTCCAGGTCTGTATTACATTCCAAAACGACAGTTGATCCTCTTGGTGCGGTTTTGATTTCTAGAGGTGGTTCATCCTTGACGTTATCTGTAAAATTAGGAAACGTTAAATAATTTTCCATGAAGAATAATTTTATAGGTACATGTTACTGATGACCTTTTTACCTTAGTTAATAACATGATTATTGTATGTCGAAAATGGTCTTACCAACAACATTGAGAGTGTAGTCCTTGTGATGGACTCCCTGCCGACCAGTTGCTTCACATCTGTAAACTCCAGCGTTTTCAGGCCTCAAGTTCACTATTCTCAAGTTCCCTCCGATACTCTCCACATTATCGGACAAATAGCCGGAAAGTTTGGACCAAACCGTTATAGCACCTCTTTCCGACGATTGGCAAACAACGTCAATATTGTCTCCTACATATCGGTCCATTTCAGGTGGTGAGATATACAGAGTTGGTTCTTGTGTGGAGGGATTCCTATTGTCTGGGCCTAGAATAAGAAGGAGGATTACATAGGAGAGCATGGAGAGACAAGAATGGAAGTGACAGAAGCGAAAGAGAGTAGACGAATACTGACATCGCTCCTATGATATTCCTAACTTCTGCTATACTTAGTTACTTGCATAATTATTGATTCCATTTGTCAAAAAGGATAGTTTCATAGTTGTTTATATTTGTACCAACTGACTAACAGTGATAATAAAAAGGAAACAATTATCGAAAGTAACTATATTATGGACCGATCGTCAATGGTGTGTTGACGATTTTGTTGTTTTCCCGAAACGTTATATATTTGTCAAATAAAATTTTGGAATATCAAGGTCAGAGTCAGATTCCTCAAAATTCCAATTAACATAAGTATTTACGAGTATACAGAATGGAAGAATATAATTAATCTAGAACATATTACAATCAATGGATTAGTAAACACAAAAAGCATTTTACAAATATTTGCTGAACAGTATAAAGATTAGCTGAAATAGTAAATGAATGGACAAAGTTTGATAGATTGAGAATAGTTTGATCCTGAGGATGAGTGATCATGTCGAATATGGCATTATTCACTTGACACTTGAAAAGCGTTTTGTTTTTCAGGCTACATATTATCGACCACGTTCAAGTTTATATGAAATATATAGAAAAACTATGATATAAAAATGATATTATACAGTTATTGTTCAATTCACTATTTTTCTCTCATTCAAATTCAATGACTAAAATTTGAATGACAAATGAATGATTTCTAAGAAAGGACCTCAGGAGATAACAGAGCACCATATGAGATCCAATCCAATATAAGATCCAAATTGAAACAATAACTCATCGATGATGAGTATCTGACTATATGAAGAAAACACCATTTCACACCACATGCGACAGTGTTTTTATTCGGGTGTGAAGAAGTATTTCCATCAGATTCTTCTAGATTTTTCAAATCAAGTTAGGTTAAGCTAGATCAACCCGTGAGGGTTTATGTGCTCCAAATAGAGACGACACACACTGTCTTCCGACAGTCCGAGTCTCTACCTATGATGATTCAGATGAAAGTGAACTAAATCAAGTACTCTCATGACATTTACACTAGATTTTGTTGAAATCATTTTCACATAACATTCCAATGTGCTGTCTGTCTGTCTTCTTCATCTTTTTATCTCATTATGAGAAGCATCTCGCTTAACGGGGCATTCAAAACTAGCGACATCGCATAACATGCCGTAGCGACATCGTAAGAAACCTGTTGCAGTGATATCACAAATCTTATCGCACGAGTAGAACAAATGTGTTCATCTGTGATATCGACACGACATCCTGGTTACTTAGGATGGTGACACACTTCGCGATTTCCGAGCGGTTTTTTCCGCGCGGTTTCCGAGCGAAAATTGCTGAGTAAAAATCACTTCAGTGAGTAACTGACAGCGAGGGATTTTCTGACACTTCCGTGTCGTCTTCTAGTTTCGTTTACGTCTACAAATCAACCACTATGAAATCTGCTGCTGCTGCGATATTTCACCGTCAAACGGTGGTATCCCTTTGCGCTTTGGAGGCAGAAGGCGCTCTTGATGAAAGACGCCACCCAAGAAAGAACGACGTGCACCGAAAGGGAAACCAGGAAGAAAGGTTTTCTTGTATACGAGTGACCCTACTACCCTCCATGCTTTATCTCTTTCCAGTTTGTTGGCACAACCGGAGTCGCTTTTGTCCCACAAACGAGGGTGATTTTCTACGCTATGAATTGAAGTTTCCACTTCCATCATCGAATCGCAACTGAAATACCGATCGGAAATAGCCAACACTGTCGGGCCCCATTCGTTTACCTGGGTTCTCCCTCTACTTGATCGCCCTTGCCCTCCGAATGTCGCTCGGAATCCGACGACCGGTCGGGTGTGAGAAATCACCGCAATCTGCGTCATGTTCCATTTGAATGCAGGGGGTCGCAAAAAAATGAAAAACCGCTCGCTAACCGCGCTGGAAAAAGCCGCTAGGAAATCGCGAAGTATCTCACCGGCCTTAGGAGAGATTTCGCGCGACATATTATAATATCGCCGCAATACTTTGGAGATGTAATCTTGTTTTCTGTGAAGTGGGACGACATGCTATGAATTCACACTAATACCAACTTCCAAATTGCCCGATTTTCCTGGGTTCATTAGCCATGGTCTGCTACTGCGGCACACATTATATAAATCATCATATATAGAGTCTCGAACTGTCGAAAGACAGTGTGTGTTTGTTGCCTTTGTTTGGAAAACGATGAAACAGGAGAGCACATACTCCATGCCTGACACGTTGACGACCAAATCAGGTTTTCAGAGTTTGGCAGAGCCATCTGACCTGAAAGACCACTGACCATACAAACTAATCGGCTTCTGTATACCTACTTCCATTATAGAGTAGGTGTTGGACGACAGACTGCTCTTGTACCTGATTGATCTGACCCTTCTTCGATTGGTGACGTTATCTAAGTCTTGTTTAAGCTCTCTTCCCCATGGTTGAATTCATTTTTAAGTTTATGTATTTCTAAGGCCTCACTGAATAGCCTCGTCTAGTAAACTCTGGTTTCATCAAGAACTTGGGTGCGTTTAAAAACAATGTTATGGCGCTGAGAGAGCTGAGAAAAAGTCTTCTGCAACTGCAGATTCATCTGTCTGTCAACGCTTCTATTCGTGGTTCCGATGTAGAACGAACCACAACTACACGGTTTTCTATATCGTTCTCTTGGGCTTTAAAATTGCCGTAAGTTCTTGAAAAAAACGTTGCCGCTATGGTCAAACAGATAAATTAGCAGTTGCAGAACACGTTCTATCAGAGGCCATGATATTGCTTTCGGATGTATGCAAGGTCTTGATAAAATCAGATGTTACTATCAGGGGGTTATGCAGAGAGGCCATAGACATACAGAAATATTAGAATAATTCCAACCGTAAGGAAGAGAGCTTGAACATCAATGATACATAGATATCGGTACTTTATGACACAAATATTCTCCCACTAATTGAAGAGGAGTCGGACCAAACAGGTATATGAGCACAAACGTACCAGGATCATTTTAACTTTCCGCGTCTCAGTAAGGTAATTCACTTCGACCGTTGCTGCATCGTCTTTGATAGTGTCTGCCGCAGTAACGAGCGAAATGTCTCAAATACACACTTGCAGACCACGGACAATGGACCCGGAAACATCAAACAATTAGTCAGACACTGGCACACACACACACACCGTAATGTCAAATAATATTTGATTATGTGCATAATATCTAGGATCTAGGCTATTACGCGAATGCATTTTTCTGCACCCATTGCTAAATATTTTGATGAATTGACAAATGATTACCATAAATTTGACTATCATTGGCGGTGCTAACTAGTACAGAAACATGCTATTCGAAACTAGCCAGGAAAGTGTGTCCACTGAATGTAAATTTCATTTATCCCATTGTCCACTTTCCTGCCTTGTTACTTGAACAATTATCTCCGTTCCAGAAATTATAATACATCAGAATGTAGCATCTACAGTGGTACAGACACCTAACGTCACGCAGGGCTCGAATGTGCAACGTGAAAATAGAAACAACTAATAGAAAAAGCTGCATGATAGATAAACAAACCCCGTCGTATCCTAGTTGAACAGTCCATTTCATCGCTAGTATCACCGCAATCATTAATGTTGTCGCACAGTTGTGTTTCTGGAATGCAGTTTCGGTTGTTGCAAAGCCACCATCCGTCTTCGCATGACTCCTTATGTGCTGTCGTACATGCAAGGTGCAATATTAAACTACCAAACTAGAGAGTTTCTAATATGCCACACAAAAATCAAGACGCATTCAATTGAAACCTTCCCTATTGCGTAAATAATTCATTTTTCATTTTGATCAGTATTTGGTGGCACATTTCAAATAGATTACGTTTGTATTATCGTTGGGGTGGAGTTATTGAAAGTCGTTCGAATGTTAATTGATGTTCTTTGACAGAGATTGTATATACATGTGATTGGCTTGTTGTTGCTTCTAGCTGGACCGCTACTGGGTGGAACCTCTTATCAAACATGTGAGTGAAAAGTTATATAAACAGGTAGATGAAGTTGCGAAATGGATCCTTTTTTGTGGCAAAATTTTGAGGAAATGGGTGGTTCAGCTCATTCGAATCTGAAGTATGGTTTCTCTACGTTGACGAGAAGAAGATAGCAGTATGAGATTGAACGAAAGAGAAAAGACAGAAAATATGTTGGGGTAGGTTGGGTTAAGTTAGGTCAAAAGTGAGGGGGTCAAAATCGACTCTACACCTCAACTCGCAAGGGTTCATTGTGGATCATACCTATTCACATTCGACTGAATAAACCCAGCTTCGTAACGAAGCCGATTAGTATGGTCAGTGATCTTTCAGGTCAGATGGTTTGACTGCGGCTCTGCCAAACTCTGAAAACCTGATTCAGTCATCAGTGGGTCACGCATTGAGTATGTGCACTGCTGTTCTATCGTTTTCCAAACAGAGGCAACACACATTGTCTTTCGACAGTTCGAGACTCTGTACGTGAAGATTTAGATGACAGTGACTTATAAGAAGGTCTGTTAGACATCATAGTCCATTCCTACTGTAAGTAGTCCAACAACTATTTGGTATCAAGCTTCGAAGATTGAATAAACGCCTTGGAGTAGCCATTTCTGAAAGATTCTGCCAGAAAACACCATTAACCTTCTTGCTATTCATTTTTCTGTTGAATAAATAATTCTGGAAAAATTTGAGAATTTCCTCTAATGCCAACGTTAAACAATTTGTTAATTAAAATTTCATTATCGTTATTTTAACGTATCATATTTTTGATCAGGTGTGGGATTGAATTTAGTATCAATATCACGCACAAACTCTATTGACTCCAGATCATTTTCATGTTCATTTTCACTTCGTTGCCTTGTGAAATTTTTGAGAATAAATGTTTTGCCAGATCTTCAATTGAAACAATATCACCAAACACTACAAATTGAAATATTATTCGCAATAGTTGGCTACCGATAACGCAAACTCACATTCCCAAAGAAAACGGCACTAAACAACTCACCTATCAATTGGAAGTCGACGTAATCGCTGTAAGTTCCTTCTCTGGTCGACACTTCACAATAATACCGCCCTTCGTCTCGTTGTTGAACGCTGCTCAGCTGCAAAATTTCTCCGCTGACTCGTGCGTTTTGTGGTAGAGGTAAATTCTCTCTGAACCATCTCACCGAATTCCTAGCGCTCGGATTCAATGTTTTACATCTCAAAGTTACACTTGATCCCGCCGGGGCGAATTGTTGTTTCTGTTCGGCTGTAATTGCCGGTCTAGATGTGTTTTCTAGAAGGAAATTAGAAGTATCGTTATCAAGTACTATTGGATTCAATTCATGAACATTACTAGATAGAACTGTCCAGAAAATCTAAGTTACTTGTGAAATTACGAAACATTTCATTACGGGACGTTTTTATCACAACGTCATCGCTTTGAAACTGAATGTATATGATTAGATGGGTCGGCTTCGACTTTGAAGCCATTTTCAATAAGCTGTGACTACTCTGAGGTCTCAATCTGCTAACCCCTCAGGTCTTGTTGCTGATCTCTGAGTGAGACCTCGACGTCAAGTCAGAAAATCCTTGCAGCGTGTCACTACTTGAGGAGTAGGCAGATTGAGACGTCAGTGTAGTGAGAGCTTATTGAAAATGGCTCCAAAGTCAAAGACGAAACGTCGAACAATTGAAAATACACCAGGTGGTCCCAGAAGTACCAGGCCTGACCTAGAGATGACAGTAGTTGTTCGATACATATCACTGTATTAGATAGTACACAATCTCAGTAAGCTATACAACCATGGTGTGCTATGAAAACATATCCAAAACAGAACATAACGTAAATGCAAATGTGCACTATTCTGATCCTCTTGTTGTCACCACCGCTGTTCCCCAGGGAAGTGTTCTGGGACCAACGTTATTTATTTTATTCGTCAATGATCTCTGCACTATAAACAAAAATAATTTCCCTGCCCAATTCGCTAACGACCCCTCTTTTGGTGTGCACGCTGATGATATCATTGTACTCTCAGAAAAAGTCAAAAATTCTGTTAATAATATGAAATCTCACTGCTACAGAAATGGCTTTGTTTTAAATAGCTCTAACACGAATAGTATTGTAATCACTCCCAAAAATATTGATTACAGTGTTCTAGTAAGATAAGACCATACTTCATTGGAACAAAAAGAAGTCATTAAATTTCTTGGGGTACAAATCGACTCTCTCTCTCTTATGCGTATTTTCATGACGCATCTGACGCATTTCTATATTTATTTATATAAACCTGGAGAAATAAATAAAAACAACTTTATGTTTCGAATTTGAAGACGCTGCAATATTTAGTATTTGTTTGGTAGTCATCGATAGTGAACGGTTTCGGTTGCAACAAAGCAGAATTCTTGCATCGCTCTATATTCATGGATGAAACATAGACTCATCACTTTACACCATTTCATCTGCAGGCAAGATCATGGCATTGGTTTTTTGGGATACACGTGGGATAATTTTCATTGACTATTTCGAAAAAGGTAAAACTATCAACGGCGAGTATCATGCGAACTTATTGCAACGTTTGCCTGAAGAAATGAAGGAATAACAGCCTTATTTGGCCAAGAAAAAAGTGTTGTTTGATCAAGATAATGAGCAGCTCACAAATCCATTATCGCCATGACCAAAATCAACGAATTAAACTTTGAATTGCTGCCTGATGCATCCTTTCTGCCAGATTCAACCCCTTCGGATAGGTTTTAAATAAATATAAAGTGTACAGGGCTGCTAGGAAATTATGTTGAAGAATAAATATATTTTATCCAAAATTTTTGTGTTTTCTTTGGTTGGGCCAGGTATTTCTGAGACCATCCTTGTATCATACGGGGTTCAACATGGACTAAGCTCTCAAAGTATATCAAATCATCTATTTCTTCTAGTTTCAGTTCTGATTTATGTTTTTTTGTTTTGTTCGTGATGTTATTGTTTTCAATTATTGTTATTTTCATCTACTATGACCATTTTTGTTTCCTGGGAAAATAAATCGCGATCATATTGGACAGTGTGTACAACTGAAAACAAGCATAAGTCTTGAAAACCTGCAGACTGCAGCCAACAACCTTGGAAAATAGTTTTGTCACAGTTCAAAGTCTTCTAGACACAGAAACCTTCAATAGACCTTGCATAGTTCAAATCTGACTCACCTTCTACAATAACGTCAGCTACAGCTTCGGCACTTCCAGCTCTGTTCCTGGCTGTACAAAGATACCTACCGGTATCTTGTAGTTGAATATTATTGAAACGGATATATCCTTCTCGAGTATAGACGGAAGTTGGCATTTGCCTGTTGATGGGCGACCAGGAAATTTGTATCGGTTGCTCCCCTGTGGCACTGCAGTTGATGTAGGCATGTTCTCCTGGATGAACAACCTGCCTTGGAGGTATGAGAGTGATTCTTGGTGGTGCTGCAAGAAATATACGAGAGTAATAAATTGCAACCTGAGCAAAGTTGAGATGAAAGGAGTTTCTGGTTAAGGATTGTACATGACATGATGTGTAAGAACTCGACTGGCTTCAAAAACAGAATTATTTGAACACGATTGTATGTATAGCATTGAGTTGTTTCAAAACTGAGGACGACGATGAGGACGACGGAGGCCTTTTTTTCGAAGAAAGAACCCAAGCACTATAGAAAAATCCACAAGGCACTTTGAGAGCGTTTCTGAGCAAAAGTAGTGATTCACATTGGATATGAATCGCTGGAGATTAAATCCATTTGGAAAACCATTCTCAGAAAATTTATTCCCTATAAACGCAATTCTCCAAATGAAAGAGTTCTTAAACAGTGGAGTTCAAGGAGTACTGAGTTGAACCTCAAGGCACTTTAAGAGCGTTTCTGAACAAAAGTAGCGATTCACATTGGATATGAATCGCTGGAGATTAAATCCATTTGGAAAACTATTCTCAGAAAATTTATTCCACATAAACACAGTTCTCCAGATGGAAGAGTGGATTTCAAGGTGTACAAAGTTGGAACTCAAAACGATGAGCAGCCACACTCCGGCCTGTATTTTTATGTGAACCGCTCTTGGTGGAATTAAATGTGCCAAGTAACTTGAACACTTTCCGTGATAGTATCTGAAGAAGAGAGACAAATTCCCAACCTTTCTTCGATGTTCAAGGTTATAAAGTTTGCAAATGATGTTCGCGTTCCCAATCAGGCGGATGGCTCTTTTGTGGATGGAATCCAGCAGCTTTGGGGTATGCTGAGGGACGGAGCTCCATACATAAGAACAATACTCCAAAGAAGGTCTGATCTGAGCTGTATGAAGCACCAAAAGTTGCTGAAGTGTGTACAGTTCTCTGGTTCGGAACAGCGTTTCAAGCTTCTGAGAAACAGCCTATGCCATTTCAGCGACATGATTGTGGCAAGAGATATCGGTGTCCATTTTAACTCCCAACGAACTTATTGAAGCCCAGTCGAATCAACGAAGTGCTTGAAAGGATGGTAGTCAATTTCCGCACGGTAGGACTCTGCTGCGATGGTGTGGCCAGGTTGCAGAAAGTTATAGTGACTCACATCAGCTGTTGACCAGTAACCATGGTCTTTTTTGGTGAATTTTCATATTTGGGAAGTGCCTGGGTGGCTCAACAGTGTTCAACCACTGGCATGAACGTCTACTGCTGTAGGGGATCCAATTTTCATCCGACGTGAAAATCCGATTCAGAAGAGGATCGTTTTGGTTGCGCAGAAGCAACAAAGAAGATAATTCGGAGCGTGACAATTTATGTCGTTCGTTCGAATCGTGAAGCGCCCACTTTTCCAGCTTTTTGACCTCTTCAATATGTTTCAAACCATCAAAAACAGCATGTTAGCTGACGCCATCCCATGCACCATTTGTGATGGCTCAGTCTCCACCAGGGTCCTCAATTTCTCGTCCTGGAATACTGCTCATCTTCGAGGCTTGAATCTCCAGAACTGAATATCGCAAACGAAGGTCGTACAGTACGTTCATCAACACTATCATTGCCAAATGCCTGGTTGATTTTTCGGTCTGTTTTGGCTGCGCTTCGGTTCAATTTGATTCAATAGACATATTTATTGAGGTATGGAGCTTCAAATTCACTTGATGATGAAACGTGCTAAATTTTGAAACAACGTCAAGCTTTCTAAATATATCATAGACACCACCACCGTGCTCGTTGGATCTGGATGATGATCATGCTGTAGGAAAATGAACCGATGCAAACACAGTACCTAGGAATTCACAAAAGTCTTCCGCAGCTGAGTGCAATAAGAAAACAAACTATTACTCATAGTGGAGTCTGATAACATCGTGATAACATCGTCAAAAATACTCACAGATGACCGTTAGATAGGTGTTGACATTGAAAACAGATCTTCCAGAAGCTTCATATCCTGTGCAGCGATATTCCCCTTGGGCTGCAGGTTGGACGTTGTCAATGTAGAGAATTCCGCTAGTTTCGTACGCCAACGGTGGAAGAGGAAGACCATCAGTTCTGGACCATCTCACTTGGATATTGGATCCTGAAAGAAAGGGACGGTCTAAAATTGCTCAAAGCAGCTAATTGAATGAGTTGCTCTTACAACTTAGGAGGGAACTTCAAAATAAAGACTTTGACAATCCATTCAAGGCATTTGATCTGGGATGGAAAATTGCCTGATATGATGATTGACACTAACGAATAATATCGAAGCCATATATTTTCAGGTAGTTACAGGAGTGATTTAAAGTTATCGATTGTCATATCGAACCAATCTATATCGACGATCCTTCAGTTATAACATATATAGTTTGTATAATAATATTCCACAAAAATATAAAGTTAGTAAAGTTTCCTCATTTATCCGGGTACCTCTTCAGTGATGAAACAGCAGAGCATGTACTAGATTTCTGCCCCGCTGGGGATCAAATCAGGTTTTTAGAGTTCGGCAGAGCTCAGCATCCGACCTGAAAAACCAATCACCATACAAACTAATCGGCTTCGTTGAGAAATGGGTTTATTTGGTCGAGTGTGAATAGGTGTGAGCCACAATAAACCCTTGCGTGTTGCGGTGGAGGATCGAATAGACCCACTCACTTTGGACCTAACCCAACCTAACCTAACCCTTCCGGTGCATGTTGTTTGAAGCCTCATTTGTAGTTTTTTCATTAATTTTGAAGATTGAATAATTATTGTATTTATATATAATAAGGAACTACAAATAAATATTATTATTATCATTATAGTGAAAGACGAACCACACTCATTTCTGTCTTGATCAAAAATACTGGTGGTTGAAATGAAAAACTTGGGATGAAGGGTAAGTGATGACGACAGTGGAGGAGTATATGTATGAGAAAGATTTCTTTCGAATGAAAATAGATTGGCTCCCACAATTTTCAGATTTATCCAGATTACGTATATTATTTTAAGATCTTACCGTGGCTATCTTGGATGCTACATCTCAGCTCGGCTCGTCCTCCAACAGCTGCCGTAAACTCTTGATCATGTGAGGGAATATCGGGAAGGTTTGTTGTCGTCACAGGTCTGCGGGTTTCGTTGTCTCTGAAACCTGATCTGTCACCAGTAGATGTCGCATCTTCACCTAAACATAAATTTTGCTCAAAACTAGACATTTTTCCCTAATGCAACAGATTTTTAGGTTGAATAATGGATTTTTAAAGTGACTAGCACCTGGAAAAATTGTAAAAATCAAACACTTTAGATTTTTATCGAAAATACAAGTATGATGGTTGAAGATGTTGTTGTTAATATTATTAGGTGTTTTGACAAATCAATAGGTATTAATTTCATTTTTATAGACGATATCGAATGATTTTAGGATGCTTTAGGCATACGAGGGTGACCTGAAAAGTTCCCGACCTCAACATGAAGATAGCACCACCCGTAAATGAGAGCAAGTGAAATCCGTTGTTCAGATGTTGACAGTTACTCACCAAAGTTTCAGCCATTTTGTACGTGCAGTTGTTATGTAACAGTCGTTTGAGTGAATTATCGTGAGTGCTTTCATGAAAATGGACAAGTTCGAGTGTCGAGCTGTCATTAAATATTTGTTTTTGAAAGGAGGCAAAATGCCCACGTGAATCACAGATGAGCTCTGTGACTTCTGACTTCTGAGTATAGGGACCCTGCACCATCATTTACCATATAGAGAAATTTTGGGTAGCTAAATTCAAACGTGGCCGTGAGAGCTTAGGTGACGATAAACGTTCGGGAAGTCCAAAAACTGAAACTACCGACGAAAACATCGCCAATGTTCACCAAATGGTGCTGGACGACCGGCGAATTGAAGTGAAAGAGAACAGAGGTTACGATCATGTCAAAAAACGTGTTTGTCACATATTGGATCTACAATCAGACATGAGTTCGCGCGTTGGGTGCCGCGTTTGCTCACGTTTGACCAAAAACGTGTTCGAATGAACATTTCCAACGCAGTTAAGACTCAATTAATCTGAGTTTTGGCACCATTGTAGGCATGAAACAAAAATACAGTCCAAACAGTGGACTGTAAGGTGGGAACCATAGAGTTATTTCAATCGATCACCTTCAAAAAGGAAGAACCATTACAGGAGCATACTACGCATCATTACTTGACAAGTTGAAGGCAGAACTCGCTGAAAAACAGTCACAATGGTACCAAGACAACGCACTTTTCCAAATCTAAGCAGTTGCCACGGCGAAAGTTTACGAATTACGGTTTGATCTGCTTTGCCATCCAGCTTACTCACAAGATCTAGCCCCAAGCGAATTATTTTTGTTTCCTCATCTGAAAATTGCGTTCGGAGACAGAGATTTTCTTCAAATGGAGGGGTACTCACCTTCATGAACAATTATTTCGCAGAGAAAAACGCCGAGTATTATCTTGTATTTTTGTTGGATCGGAAACATTTTAGATCATCCTCGTTTCATTGAAGCAATTGTTTATACAAGGTTAGGTTTTGGTTAAGTTATGGTTAGGTTATGTTAGGTTAGGTTTGGTCAGGTTCAGGTTAGGATAGGAATTTTGAGGAAAAAATAATTAATTTGCTTCAACTTTCAGTTCGTGAAATCCCGAATCAATATTGCGAAATGTGGTTCCAATAGAAAATATCAATTGAAAACTGTCATTTCAAGAAGTTGTTCCAATAATTCAATAGTTTGAAATCAAAATAATAATGTCACAAATTCGCTATGCATACTCTTAAAAATGACCGACAAAAATTATTGAAAGTTGGTCGACGCACAGCCTAGCATAATATTCAGTTTTTCCAGATGATGACACAGAACAGAATCAACAATTGAATCGAAGCCCTGTTACTTTTTTCGACTTACCTGAGGGAGGAGTATCTATGGTCCCAATTAGTAGGTGAGAATGAAACAGAGAGCATTAATGAATTAAACATGAGTGGAAGCAACTTATTAACTTGTTAACAATGACAATGAAATCTCTCGTAGGCAGAAACCTGATACAATTTGTACAATAATTGAAAATTTCGAGAGAAAATGTTTGAATCATATTCAGTAATTCAAAGTCTCATTGTGATGATATGCAGTAAATATATGTACAAGTTTTCTGTACAGGAGATTTCATTTTATTTCACAAAATCTATATTAGAAAACAAAAAAAACATATGTTAAATTTGACCACATGGGATAAACGATTTAATCTAACTAATCACATAAACAATATTTTCCTGTACACTATCTCGATATGATCTATAATAACTCTTTGAATAATTTCCAGAATTTCATCCAGATCAGTGCTGAAGAGGTAATAAGACATTCCGAAACATAAGATGTCCGCCATTGAGGATGACAGTATTTCATGTAGTGAAATTTTACCTTTTTCATACACTATACTGTGTATCAATCTTATGAATGAAATAATTCAGTTTCACAACGATTGTTTGAAGTACAAATATACCGGGTTTATTGAACATGCGGCAAAAGGGACTATTCCTGGGACTATTCTAAAGATATTTTGTCCCTTGATGATTTTGATAGTGCGCTTTGTTTCGAAGATATGAAGTAAAAAAGAAATTCGACAATAACAATTTATTAACAGAATTTACATGTAATGTTTCTTAATCTACAAGAACTGTTGAAAATGACTACCTCCGCTCGGATGCAAGAATCCATTCTTCTCCAATCTTACACATTTTTCACTAGAATAGTATGAATTAATGACTTTAGATTTTTTTATTACTTGGTAGGTCCATTGTAGTACGCTATACTTTTATTTCGGCTACGTTAATGATTTCAAAATTACCAACATTGTAATTGTCGAAATTATTTTTTCGCCATGAAATAAAGTGTCCAATCAAAAATCATCAAACGACAAAATATCCTTAGGATAGTCTGCATATTTGATAAATACCCTATAGATGTGGATATCTGACTATTCTATCGTATAAAGTATGTATGTGACAAATGAAAATTTCAAAAAAACGTATTTGTGTTTGACAGTATAGTTTTTTGTACATGGAATAGTTTTCCAAACATTTTCAGATTTGGAAGTGGAAATAGGACACCTCAAAAGAAAGTTAAAACATAACAAAAAGTATTGCCCGTTTACGATGAATATTCCCCTATATCTTTCTGACTATTTGACTCACCAGTGATATCTCCTCTAATAGGTAAAATGTCTACCACCAGCTGTACTCTTCTTTCTACAACACCTGCTCTACTTTCAGCCGTGCAAATATAGAGACCTTCATTTTCTTTAGTGAGACGATCAAATTGTTGGTAAGCTACATTTGTTGATTGCAATGCCTCCGGTAGATATCTGAAAAAAACGAAATAAATGAAGAACGATACAATCCACATAAGTGTAGATATATCTAAACTAGCTTTTGCCCGCTAGAAGCTACAAAACTCCTTTGTACACAATATTCTTAACTAATCTGTCATTAGGCGCTAAAACAATCAAGCTATTTGGTGAACTTACTCGTGAGCAAGCAACATAAAACTGTCCATGAGAGAAGCAATGTTCTCTCAAGTCAATACCCGTTAATTTGAGAGTTCGTCCCTGAGACTTGTTTATTGTCATGGCAAAACATACTTTTAGGGGAAACTGTAATCGTTTAAATTCGAATGGGATATCATTAGGTATTAATTGGATTCGTGGTATAAATACAGTTTCCCTTTGCGCACACCCAGTTAATATAGTGGCTTTCGCTATATTGCGCTGTAACGTTTCCACGTGCAGTCTCGTACCAGTCTCCAAAATCATGTTCTTCTACAGCTACCTCCATACGACGCCGAGTAGTTTTCTGTGCTGCTATGGGAAGATAGGAATCAATGTGCCCACTGGACAAATCTTTGCTGAATCGTACCGTTTCTATGAACTTAACTTAAATGGGAATATTAATCCTGCTGCTATTAACTCACAAAATCCGCAATGAGTAGCATTTTTCATCACATCAGCAAAATATTCGTCAGGTATTACGTAGTTCCTGTCGTGGGTCATAATTGAAAACTTGCTTCAGTCATTAACTATTTCTGAACGCATCTCCATCGTTCAATCTTGTGTTTCGTACATTAAATAAGAGAGAGAGAGCACGAAACAAACATGAACCGTCACCAACAATAGGGACGACAGTACATTCTTCAACTTCTCCATCAACGTTTAGATTTTCTTTAGCCATTTGTCTAACCGACAAAACCTATACTTAAACCAAACGAAAACAAAGCAAAGGTCAAGTACAAAGCATAGTCTATAACCAAAACTACTAAACCGAAACAAAGCAAATGCAATCCAAAATATGCCAACAGCCAAATGCGTCAAGTATTATCCGCTAGAAATATTTAGGTATAGTATGTAGTATTAGATACGGTGGCCACTCATCATCGGATATATGTAACTCAGTGAGAACACAATGATAGCGCGTTTCAAAATACTACTAACGCCATCTATTGTCAACATTTAGGACTAAAAATTATTTTGTTGGTCTTAATTTATAAGTTCCATTTGGTACTGATAGGTTCAAACTAAAACATTAACATCCTCCATCATCCCTTATTTTACCCCCTTAGGAGAGGAATTTATCAGAATACTTTCTTAGGGGATGCCTACGTCATAGTAGCTTTATGCATGCAAAGTTTCAGCTCGATCGGTTTGAAATTGATAAAGTTTCATACAAACTTTCATCCCCTACTTTATTCCCTTGGGGGTAGAATTGATCAAAACCCTTTCTTAGCGGATACCTACGTCATAACATCTACCTGCATGCCAAATTTCAGCACGATTCGTCCAGTGGTTTGGGCTGTGCGTTGATAGATCACCATGTCAGTCAGTCAGTCAGTCATCTTTGAGTTATATATATTTAGAGATTATTGACTGTTGATTCAATAATTACGTTATAGAAGAAAAAGCAGTCTCTCATAGAAATATACCCCTTTCATTTCAATAATTACTTACTCTTGAGGTAGCCTATCTCTGTATTTGGTCCAAGCAACGCTAGGCATAGGAAAACCTGTAGCTCGGCATTCAAGACGTAGAGAATCGCCAACTTGTCTGGTAATGATTTCTTGCGGCGGTGATACTTCTATTTCTGGAGGTGTATGAACCGTTATGTGAGCAGTAGCTGAGGCAGATCCCGCATCATTGACGCCTGTGCATATGTAGTCCCCATCTTCCCTAATTGATATCTGCATGAACCTGTGAATAGGAGGTTGAAATTGAATAATGCTAAACCATTGGACAAAACATTGATGAAGATATGGTTGATATGTTCAGTAGTCATCTTACTTCTTTGATTCATTTTCTGAATACGGAATCTATTCCGATTCATATTAATCCCCAATATATTTTTGTAGATATGATATGCAGATATGAATATATTTCAGTTGAAATGAATTTTTATTCTCGCTTTTACCTCAGAGTGCCGCCAGACATCTGCTCAATGTTTTGACTGATTGGTTGACCATCTGCCCTCCTCCAAGAAATAGTAGGGGAAGGGATTCCGGCGGTAGCCCTGCACTGAATGATTGCACTATTTCCTGCTATAATTGTCTGACTTGCAGAGGGATAAATCTCTAATACCGGTGCTTCTCGCCCTGAAAAAAATCAGTTGAAATAAATAACGTTCGGCGCCCAACGTGGGGCCAATTGAATAATTTTTAGAAGACCAGTTTCTTACGTGTAACTTCTACAACCACTGAGGCCTGTTCCATTCCATGGATATTCGTTGAAACACAAACATAAACTCCTCTGTCTTCAACTCTTGCATTACTGATACGTAACTCCGAACCGATTTGTTCAGCATTGAAACCCAGTTCCCCTCCAAGTTTGGTCCATTTTACTGAAGGTGTTGGAATACCAGTGGTGACGCACCGTATTTCCGTCGACTGACCTTGTGATAGGGTGAGTCTGTCGGGGGAAACTCTAGCCGTTGGATATTGCCTGCGAGAACATCAAACTATTATTGAAAATCGAATAGAGGTCAGTGATGCGAACCTTTCAACATTTTCTCTGATGGTAACTGTGGCACTATTCGTTCCGACACTTCCTGTAGCTGACGTAACGGTGCAAATGTAAACTCCCGAAACGTCTGGGGTGGCATTGAATATCATCAGGGTACCTCTGTCTTCTCTCGAATTATAGGGCAGGTCTCCTCTTTGCTTGCTCCATCTGACCGTCTCGCCGAAAGGTATTGCTGAACACTTCAGAATGACCGTGTCTCCAGAGTTGCCGGTGAAGTATCCAGGTGAAATGTTGACTTGAACTAGAGGTATAACGGATGCTTCGTGAACTACGATTTCAAATCGGACACGGTTACTTCCTGCTCTGTTGGTGGCGATGACAAGGTACTCTCCTCCGTCCGAGGGTTGAGAGCGAGGAATGTAGAAATTTCCATTTTGGAAATACTAAACAGACGATAGGATTAGTCAGATTGGTGATGCGATTGGCCGATGCTTGATAAAAATCCGTAACGACTTCAAGTAACAATTCATTGTGGAATCCTCACTGAACAGTTCACCAAATCATAACAAGTGTTTCACTTTACAATAGCTTCTTCAGACTTGTCTATTTTGTCTATATACTACCAAATTCGTGTTTCATATAATATAACAATTTATATCATAATACCTTTTACCAATTTGATGACTCATAATTTTACCAGCGTGTGGACTAACCAAAAAAAATAATAAAATGCAAATATTATAGAGGAAATTTCATCAACTCCTGATTTTGTGATTTTCCACGAACAATCTAATCAGCATAAAGTAGGAGCATCCAAAAGTATGCTTCACATACTAATGAATATTTCACTATCAGAGAGTGACTTCCAGATAGAACAAACAAATTGCTATCAACAATGGTTACGAGGTAGATATTACTGACTCCATTATTCCAAAAACCTACGAAAACAAGCTATTTACCAGGTCTATATCACTTCAAAAAACGATAATGAGCATTATAGGATAAAGATATATATGTATGCCAACAGGAATTTCAAAACTTTAACAGTTGATAAAGGCCATCTGGTTGAAGCCAACTCTACCAAACTGAATGACATTTATTCAGTCTGTTTTGCTAAATTACCATAAATGGGTAAAGCGTTTCGTGAAAAAGGAATTGAAGCAAACTCATCAATCACAATAAATATAAAACATCAGTGTCGGATACATCAGGAGTATATTAGTGATTTTTGCCCAGAACTTCATATTGGCCAAACGGAAAAAAAACTTTTCCCAGAGAATAAAAGAACATAGTGGTAGTTTTTGGAATGTGAAGACCAATTTCACATTTGCCAACCTTTTCTAGCAGACGGACATGAGTTCAACCACAAATCTAATGCATTACCGTGTTAGGAATCACAAGTTAAAAGGTAAGACCTCGTTAGTCCTCAGCTCGCACAGGTTTCCCCACTTCTGGGAGTTGTCGTTCGTTTGGGGGCGACAGCTGATTGACGGAAAAACAGATTTCAAACAGATTTCATTTGGAAGAGGAATGTTTGAAGTTCAATCTTTTGGAATGATAATTTTGAAAATTTACTAAGAGACCGAATAAAATGGAATTCTTCTTCTCTATTGAACACAGTTTTGAATGTGGTGACCGATAATCAGTTTATCACATGCCCATTTAATGAGTTCAAATTCTTATTCAGTTCACACCTAAACTCTGGTAAACTCACTAGTCTTTGTTATATTATATAAAGCACCGATTCGGTAAAATTCGATCAGTATTGAATGAATTTTCGATCTCACTTTTCACATGATTTGCATCGTAGAGAGGTTAAATTTCTCGCTGAGAAAATTTTGGCAATAATGCAAAACATAATTCAATCCTTTCTATCTTTTCATCACCAATGGAAAAAAATATTTGTTCGAATACAAAACGTATGCAAAATTGAAAAACTAAATGATATATGTGACATTGTACCATCATCTGTACTGTCAAATTACGACATCCCACAGCATAACATAACTAGTTTCTATTTATATTCGTAATATTTCAATGTTGAAAATCAAACTTGTCGCCCCTTGTTCGGCACAGCACCGCACGGCCCGTTTCGTCAAAATACGTATAGGATTGGAACAATGAAAATGATTGTACAACCGCCCACTAGCCCGCCACGGCACAGCCGTGCATCCGCCGCTGGAAAGGATTCCAGCTCTCTGATCCTGTCCGGCAAATAACCTGCTGTGACGGACTGTCCAAGTGAGCGTGAGTGAGTGCCTGAGAAGTTCCTGTCTCTCTGTTTTGCTATTCCATCAGTTGACGGCACAGTGTCAGACGGTACCTATGAAAATGGAGTTGCTTGTTAAGGCGGGCTAGAATATCCAGAAGTTATGAAAATTTCCCTGGAGTTATTCGGAAATAATGGAAAAATTTCTTCTCATCTTCTTTCAGGTTTTTGAAAAGATGATGAAACTATCTCAGACTTGCCCCCTTTTGATTAATGGGATGGACCCACATCCTTCTTTTTTGTGACTATTTTTTTCTACATTCAATAATGCGGCTACAATAATGACGACTTCTTCATCAGAACTGCTAGTGATAGACATGTTTCTGTCACCGCTTGATGTCAACTGAAATTTCCTTGGAATCGAACAAACAGCACCTTCTGTATGCTGGTTGTAGCTGGACAAGTGGACGACAAGCTTTATATCATATACAACTAGAACGAAGATACAGGAAAAACTCACTCTTGGATTTATTCGCTGTCCGTCTGGTCGAACTATACTGATGTCTGGAACTGGAACTCCGGTAGCAGCAATTTGTAAACTGACAGGTTGGCTTTCATTCACATCAATTCGAGATTGGGAGAGAGCAATTGTAGGTGCTTGATCTTGACGTTCTGAAAAACAGTGGATTATAGGTTGCAGTGAATATCAGAAGTATTTCGTAACAGTAGTTGATTAAACATGAGTATTACCTGGTGGATTCAATCCGTACGTGAGAGAAACTAGGAAAGCATGAAATCAGAACAGTTTTCAATCTTATGTAATTACTTAAAAATTCAGTCATCACCCCAAGTCAAAATAGTCTACACAAAAGTCAATGACCGAACACGGTTAAAATAATGCACAATATTTCACCATAGTCGGTATGGTTTTTGTTATGTATCACTGCTGTTGAGAAAAACCGTCGATTATTGAAAGGATATTGTTGCAATTATCCGTGTGTTTGTGGATCTCTATTGCGTACCGTTCCAGTCGGCTGGGGTATTCCTGGTACACGGTATGCGATACACCCCTGCTGCTGATAGTGGGTCTTTTTTGTCTTTAGCTGACCTGAGGCTTCCTTGTATATTTTAGGTAGGTTTGAAAACCGTTTTAATGTTGTCTTTTCCCGGAAACAGTACAGAGAACCATTCTCAGAACTGAAGCCATTTCACCCATGCTCTTCAATCTTCCGGAGGAATATAAACCCAACTTGCCACTGAGACCAATAGTCACCGCCCCAGGTTCGCCTATCTATCACCTAGAGAAGCATCTGGCCTCGCTCCTGCAACTTCTCGTGGTGAAGAAAACCTCCTTCGTTCAGGATTCGACATACTTTGTTGATAAAATCAGGGACATAACTCTTGAGCCGACAGATATTCAGATCAGCTTCAATGTTGTGTCCTTATCCACTATTGTTGCGAACTGTTGATAGTGATGGCTTCTGTCATTGCTTTTCGAATTGCTTTTACATTTGAATTATGATCTCTGTTCAGTTGATGAAACATATTTAGTTTTGTTCGAAGTTATATTAAAAAAAACAATTATGACAGAGCCGGAAGTGGCTTATCAGTGTAGATTTAACCTCACTTCAGCGAGATAGACGCCATCACTCCAGCTGGGTTACCTCTCAGCCTACCACACAAGGCAGACAGATCACCCAGGTAATCAGAGTGCACCAAATTGTCACGTGGTGTCCTGTCACCCAGCGGTGAAACAATCAGAGTTTACTCAGAAAATTTAAGAAATATCCGATTTTTGAACTTACCGCAATTTAGTTCTGTAAGGAGATACACGGGATCTAGCTGAACAGTTGTATCTGACGGTGCTACCAACTTCGTAAATTCCTATAGTGGGCACCTTGATACTAACTTCTATGGTCGATACAGGAGAATTGGTGGTAGTGATTGGACCTTCAGTAGTGGTTGTTGAAATATCAGCTGAAAATTGGATCAAATGAGATATGTAAACTGAGAGTATTCATTTAAATTGCGAAAGTGGCGCATTTTCAGTCTCGGAATTCTGCGAATTCTGACAGTATATTCAATGATTCCGTAGCTCATCGAAATGAATCTTGACTCAAACCTCATTGATCCATTGAGAGCCACATATGCTCATACATAGTTTGGGATTTTTCTCATATATTATACATGTGTGTATTTGTTATTTTGGAGATTATACAACTGAGTATGAAATGAATATAATTCAATTTCATGTACCATTTTTCAATATTGATATCTTGAAATAACTAGAATATGTTCAAATCTGATATTTATCCATTGTTGCTCAGTAATTTGTCCAACCCTATGGAAGTTCTTGTATTCTATACGTAGGTATTCTATACTTTTTCTCTATGTCTACGTCTAATTCTCAGTTTGAAAAGAAGAGATAGAATTTCACAAATGCTCAAGGAAATACGCTGGTTAAGTATGTCTAATTACTACAGGAAATATTCAATTCTTCCTTCTCTTATCAGATTGCTATAACTGCCTGTTTACTGGATATTGTCAATTTTGCATTTTCTCTGAATTCCTTCAGAAATAAAAAAAACAATTGTTGGAACACCAATGACATCACTTAGTGAATAGAATGCATCTTTTTAGTTCATGTTTGTTCAACCAGTGTTAATTATTTATATAGGTTATGGTTACTTACTTTATTATAGTAGGTAGATTTTTTAATAATGATCCATCATCTATTTTTTTGTTAGGGGACTGTGGAAGAATCGGTCAAATGACCTAACACTACCCTTTCTGTTTTCCTGTCTTTTTAAGGTTAAGTTTTACAGTTCTGTAATTATTTTACCAACAAACAATTACCAATTCACTTTATTATTATAAGGTTACTTCCTTATTTTCATACTTGTCCCTCCGCTAGCCTGTTCGAAACCTGTAATCCAATATAGTCATTCATTCATTGCAGTATAAGCAGTCTCTAAACATATGATTATACATTTCTGAAGCTCCGTCTCTAGCAAATAATTTCTACGACCACAAAGAGTATCAAATCTTTGAAAATCTTTGAAGAAGTTATGTTTCAATCATACCCACCAACACTATCAAGCTAAAATAATAACATGTATGGTTCACAGTTATTAGTATCTACAAGACCCAGTATTGACAATTTGAACTTGCAATCCTTTTTTGATATTCTTAACCTTCAATTTTGAAATTTCAACCCTAGGCTGTAGGTGAAAATAAACTTTTGGATATTTTTGACAACACCTGACTTCAGTTAGGTGTAAGGATTCAGTAATAACACCTGAAAAATAGGGACAGGAACTTAGTGATAATTGCAGCAAGAGAATATCTGTTGGGAAAGGTGATGATGTTTCTCCTCATTGTTTGGTGTTGGATCTACTTTCAATGAAAAAACTGTTGTTCCTAAATTGACGATTTACATCCCAAATAAGCTGCCACATGAATAGAATCAGAGGAGATATGAAGATTTTTTTGGAAATAGGAGTTTTAGCTCATTTGGTGCAAAAACTACAAGTCGATAAGATTTCCTAAATATAATAACCGGACTGAGAAGTCTCGGGCCTAAGAAAGAAAACGCGTTTTCTTTTTGTTCAAAATTATCTTTATATATCAACGTATTCTCCATCACGAGCTATACAATCGTTTCAGCGCCGCTCTAACATTTCAATACAACTTTTGTAGAACGATTCAGTTTTTGCCGCAATAACCTCTTCGTTTGAGCAAAACTTTTTACCGGTGAGCATTTTTTTGGAAGTCCGCAAATAGCCAGTAGTCGATGGGAGCCAAATCTGGCAAAAACGTTGGATGTGGGAGCAAAGTTCAACTCTTGCAGTTTTGCCATTGTTTTGATTGATTTCCGACACTATGCGTTGTCTTGATGAAACAACATTATTTTCGTTTCCATATGTGTTCATTTTTTTGAAATTTTGAGCTTCAAATGCTTCAATAACGCTACATAATATTTACTGTTGGCGGTATTTTCCTTCTCTAGATAGTTGATGAATATTACACAACGCACATCCCAAAATACCAAGGCCATAACCTTTCCAACCGATTGTTGTGCTTTCAGGCCTTTTGGACGAGGATAACCAGTTGCTCTCCACTCAGATTACGATCGTTTTGGTTCTGGAGTGGAGTGATAATCCATGTTTCATTTATTCGTACACATCAACGCAAAAATTTCGGTTTGTCATGTTTAAACATGGCCAAGCTCTGCTCAGAATTATCAAGACGTTCTTGTTTCTGTTTAACAGTGAGCACGCGCGGCACCCACTATGAAGCCAACACGTTCTTTCGAAATCACAATGTCAGCAAACTTAAGAAACTTCACTTTTCGATCATTCGAAACAATTTCGTGGATTTTTTTTATGTTTTATAGTGTTACTGCCTCATTTGGACGTCCACTGCGTTCTGTACCGTCTCAACGAAGACGTTTGAAGTCAGCAAAGCAACATTTAATTGTTATTTCGGATGAAGGAAAGTCCTTATAACAATTTTTGAGCCATTGCTTTGCTTGAACGATTTTTTTTGTCATCGAGAAGCAGTGTGGAAATCCCACTGTTTTGAAGATAACAAAAGTAGTACCACTTTCAGCACAATCTTTGGCCTCTTCAGAGGCTCGCAGGTGTTTTTACCATAAAATAAAACCTATTTTACCTACATTTTTGGGTCGTCACACCCATGACTGACGAAAACTCAGGATTGCATGTTCAAATTTATGTCTTATATGAAGCAGTGTATATTTTATCAAACTGATGTACTAGATTACTGAATTTGAACAATTTACCAAAACTGAAAATGCGCAACTGTTTGAGCTCCGTGATATTCTGGAGTCGCTTGAGAAATTTAGATTTTTTGACCTATACTTACGGCGTATTTCTTGAAATATCTACAAAAAAATCAACTTCATTGAATGATTGTTACGTTTTTTTTTGTAGATAAAATGAACAAAAATAATGCACGAACACATACTACGTTTTTGTTAATATGTAGATATGGAATGTTAACACTTAACCAAACCCAGTTAATATATATGAATAACTAAATATCTAGTAGGCAGCATTAATTTTTTCCCACAGTGGGTACCTGGAATAATACGAAGGAAAAACTATAATTAAATCTTCTACAGTCGAACACAATGAGACATATATTACCACAGGAAGCGTTTTTATACTGTGATATATTTTATCCAAACCTGGTGAAACTAAAACGTTAATACGTCCCACTTCAATCCTTTCTTTATTGCGAACAACGCATCGTATTGTTTGCTGGTTACAACTCACAACATGGTAAAAGGTGGTTGTCGCTCCTCCATTATATCTCGTTTCTTTGAAATCGTGACTATTTAAACTTTCAATGCTTAAGTAGAGGTCCTTCGCAGATTCGCTACGAAACTTACAAGTGATCTGTACTTGAGTTCCAATGGGAGCCACAACTTTTGCAGGAGTCATTTCCATTTCGAGACCAACTATATGGACTATATTGCTCGGTTCTATTTTGAAAAAGAATTATTAGATCGACACAAGATAATATGGTGATGATGACCGTCTGTGAAATACTACTATTCTATATCTATAAAATCTATCTACTACCTACTGGATATGGCGCTGAGTTTTTGGTGAATCAAGGTAGCATGCAAAATATCAACACTTTCATTCTGCACTGTAAATTTTGGTTGGAGAAAAGGAATTATCATACTGATAAGAACACAGCGGCTGGTAAGACCAAATATTTATTGTCCAGTGTAAGCTCTAGATTAGATTAGATTAGATTGTCGAGAAGGTAGCCAATGGCCTGATCCACTGCTACCTGTTCAGATCTATTATGATGCTCCTTGGTGGTTACAGCTCATTGTCTAGCTTGATCTCTTTAATGAGACTGCATAGATTCGACACTGAACCCTTCATGGTTTTTCTTCCACGCATCTTGAGTGTCTCAGTCTTGCTATCGCTTCGCATTCACAGAGCACATGTAGTGCGGTTTCTTCCTCTTCTTGATAGAACCTTTAATGGGTTTCTTCTGTCAGACCCATATTGCTTATGTTTCCTGACTCGGCTATGCCCCGTTAGTAGAGCCATCACTATTCAACCTTACGGTTGTGATTTAGCAGGTCTTCCGTGAATCTGGGCGATGGTTTCTTCATGAACTCTTTCGCCTGCCTCATTCATGGAAGCTTATTTCACCAATCTATCGATTCAGCTTACAACCATGAATATATGAATGTCTTTATACATGCTTTCGCTACCCCGCAGAAGGGTTCTGGGTCGAACATAGCTTGTGTACCCTCATGTCTGGGTTCACAAGCTAGAGTGACTCTATTTTGGGTACTTAGATTCTTGAGTGTGCTCAAAATCTGGAGGCTGGAAGCTCTAACTTTTGAAGGTATATTGGTCGAATCACAGACAAGTCACTGCAAATTTCATGTAACCATTAGATGAAAATGTCTTTATAAAACCACAATTGTCGTTACTCTTGGTCTTGAGTGTAATAAAAATTCACCGTAACTCAGTTTATTATTGAAACTTTCTGATTGGAAAGTTATGTATAGCAGAAGCGACATACCAAATACCAACAGAAAAATTATTGTTCAAAACCTTCAAATTAGTCTTTCTCATACACATGTGGTTTGGCTGGCTAGAGTTTGACAGTGTCACTAAGTAGGGAGTAAGTCAGCACCAACCACCTACTGAAGACCTGTTATAGATGGAAGACAACTAATACATCGCTGCCAGAGTTCCTTGCAATGTTCTGAATATAGGTTAGATACTGTCTCTCAGCCTATTACACCTTGCAGTAAAAAACCGTTCAATGGAGTTATCGAGTTGAATCATTCAGAAACTCTAATTGAGATGGTTCTCAACGCCTGAAGGTGGCATGCCGAAATAGAAACAGGAGACCGACACAGGAGACCTAGACAACTGAAAATTGTTCTGTCACTGTTGTGTTCGGAGTCACCACCTTGACGAAGATGAACAACATAAATCATCTGGTGATGAAGTCGGGCACACCCTGAATTAGCAGATATTATATGAAGCTCATGTGTGCCTCCAAACTGTTACTCCATGCTTGCAGTATATTGCTCAATTCAGGAAACGATAATGTAAATGTGCTACAGTCAACGCAGTTATAGGACAAACATGATTTATCCTCTATTGTTAGGTACATATAAATGATGGTTGCAAGATGGCCTCCTGAGAAGGGTCATCGATATCTGATGCTATGATTTTTTTCATTCAGGAGTGTGGAAAAAGTTTTCATTGAACTAAATCAACTGAATACACAGGTGAAAGTATAGATATTTATATTATTATGTTACCCATTTTGAAGACAACGTAGGTCATCACTGCTCTAGTCCAACATGTAACAATTTTTAGAAACGTTGTATTATTGCGTTGGAATAGACAAGTTCTGTTATACTTCGCCAGGACTTTGGAACTCTCCTTTCAGTCCAGGTAATTAGTGTTTCTTGCAAAACTAATAAAGAGATGCCAATGAGAGAGATGGAACTGCTTGTAACGTTTTCCACTCACGAGAAGTGGAAGCAAAGTAGTTCCCCAAAATGTCTTGTTGATTTTTTTATTAGCAAAGAATCAGGACATTCCAGCCACATGTCTGCACCTCAATGATCATTCGATATTTCTTAATCTACGAGTGTCCACCCTGCTGGTAGCTTTTGAATTAGATTTTCCGGCAAGGTCGATCTTCAATCTCCTTGAAAAACTTTCAAATATTTTTCCAACCAAAAGATACTTCATTCTTTCTTTCACATTCATTCAATGACTTTCAACGTGCCAGTATAAGGAAAACAACAGGAATATACACACGTTGGTGATACTTACGTCCATATTCGCACTGATTTCCATAATAATCTGGCTTGCAGTGGCAAATCACTCTCTGATCCGGTCCAGTTTCGCAACTCTCCTCTCTGTTGTTGCACGGACACCTCGAACAGGATCCAAGTGGTCTGCTCTGGTCGATGTAGAGATCTTTGTAGTATCCTGAAGCGCAAGCTTCGCAAGACGATCCTCTGTACCCTGGCGGGCATCTACATACTTCCACGCTGCTTGCTCTTGGTTTTCCTGTGTACTGGTCGACTGCCGTGTCAAGGGTTATATCGCTTAGGTACGCGGTACCGGTGTCGCTGGACTGTGTTGCTCTGATCAGAATGGTACCAACATTGGCCAGAACGGTAAGAATGTCTTCACGAGAAGCTGGCTTGGGACCCTGGTTGGAATCCAAGCGGAACCACTGAGCGTTCGGATGCAGAGTTATCGACACAAGCTGAAAGAAGTAACATTTATCATAACACCGGAGGGATAATGGAATAATGCAAATATTTCACCAAATGTTCGTAGGCAACTATTCTCTCATGACGAATTTCATTTTGTTGACAACATACAATGAATAAGAAGTATACTGCACATTTATATCAATATAACTGGAGTTTTATCTCAACACTAAGCCGTTATTTTTAACACCTCGACACATGCTTCAATCACCAAGTGATTATATGTTCTGCCTGTTTCAATACGATTTGATATGAACCATTTTTTGTTTAGATACTCTGCTACAATCAAAATGCACCTATGACGTATCGTGAGATCTCCCAAAAGAGTGGATTGAAAAAAAAATGTCAATTAGCTTATTGGGGATTCAAAATTGAATGCTAGCGCTATGATGGCGGAATTGCAAAACACATTGGGCCAGTGTGTTAGCCTTTGTTTTGGAATAGTTCCAAAAAAGTGACTTGTGTTTATGTTATTCGTGAAAATACGTCTTGGTTTTTCTGCGAATCCGTTGTCTCTGGTTAGAAAATACCTATCAAACTAAACTCAGAGAATTGTGTTGGACGGCATCAGCTCAGAGTCTCTAGCAGTAATCAAAGATTTTACTCATAGATTCATTCTCGATCCTTCACTATTCACTGCAACTTCCACCAGTCGGTAGAAAAATGCAACATCCATTGTTATACAGATGATAATCAACTTCACTTCTCATTTCAGTTTCCTGACATTGATTCTGCTCAAAATCTTATCAATGGTGATCTACAGACCATTTTTGATATTTCGTCAGCCCATCAAACTCCAAAAAGTCGGTAGTAATGATTTTTGGACCAGAAAGATTGCGAGATATTGCTGACAAATTCATATTAATGGTGACGTTCTGCCTTCTGAAACTGAAATGGAGATTTAAGGCCTGTGGTTCGATTCTGAATTGCGCTTTACAAAACACTTGGGAACCTTGGTACCTTGGAAGCTGTCTGACTTGTCTATTCAGTCCAAGTCTCTAGAAAATACTGCAGCCTCTTGGGCTTATTGCATTTATTCTCCCATCTTCCCATGACATCCATTCCATCAGTCTCGTTCCCTGTACTAGTTTGTACAGGTTCCATGTTGGATGTTCGTCATATCCTTCTGAACCTAATTTCGTACGTTCATATATTGCCTGCCTCCTGTGATTCAGTGCCTCACATTCGCATAAGATGTGTAGAGCTGTTTCTATGCCTTCGTTGCATAATCTGCAGCTAAGGTCTCCGTTGTACAGGCCCATTTTTTTCAGGTGTCCTCTAAGCGGACAATGACCGGTTAGAAACCCTGTGATCATTCTGAGCCGATCCCTACTATATTGAAGTAGTTCTTCGGTTTTTTCCCTAATGAAGGATCTACTGTGTTTGCTGCCAGGTACTTTTGTCGAATATTCTGTGTGCTTCTTATTGGTCCATGTCCTGATCTGGTTTCGTACCAATGATTTTGGTACCTCCAGAGCTGGTTCAGGACCTATATATGAAGTTGATGATCCGTATCTAGCGCATTCATCAGCTTTATCATTACCTGTGATTCCTGACACACAGTACAAAGTTAATTTGTTCCTATTTGCAAATTCATTCAGTTCTTCATTACCATTCCCAGACCAGTTTTGATGTCACCTTCGGGTTTGTCAGAGCCCTTAGTGCGCCCTTGCTGTCTGTTAAAATATTGATCCGGTCATCTCTTTGAGGTCTCAATGAGTCTTGCACACTGCAAGATAGCATACACTTTCACCTGAAAGACAGATTTGTATAGTCCTAGCGGATAGTTAGGTAGTTTAAATTTATATCCGCTCGGTATATTCCAGCTGCCGTTCCATATTTGGTCGTCGATTCATCTGTATACCAGGTGTTTTTTCCAAATATGTTGTCGAGATGACTGATGGGGTAGTTCTCATTGCTCCAGTAATTACCAAATATGCAAGTCTTTGCACTTTGCCTAGTTTGTTGATGGCGGTCGCCTGCTTCATCTTTGGCCACCAGACCAGAGATGCATATGTTATCATGGGTTTAACACGTTAGACATTTGATTCAAATTTTCTTCAATATCTCGAAGCGACTGTATCCAAAAGTTGGGACTTACTCACCAAAAAACTCAAACTAAAACTGCGAGGCGCTAATTAAATCCGAAGTTTCATATTGCAACAGCATTTTATTGCCTTGTCAACATCACAACTGAAGTGTAAAACTCAGACAGAAAAATACTTACATTGATTTGGTCAGCCCTCTGTTCCACAGAGTTACTCCAGTAAATAGTAATATCATTGCCGCTAATGATTACATCTTTGTCAGGTACGTATGTTGCTCCGGGTCTCTGAGTGTATCTTTGAGAATACTCGAGTTTTCCTCCATAAGATTTTATTTTATTACCGGTGAAGACACTAGGAAGAGACCAGTAGAACGTCCTACGCTGGCTGGGTAAGAAGTTGTAGCTTATTTCGTTCATGAAAGCGTTCACTTTGAAATTGTCGGATATCTTTTCACGGAAGTACCTAGAACACCGAAAATGAGTTGATGAAAACAGTTTCAGTTGATTGAATACATCAACTTACTGGTCAGTCAAGATGAATTCGTTCTGGTTTTCAGTTATTTGAATCGGAATTTGTTCAATGTAGAGACTACTTTCACTACATTCTCTCGCAACACCAGAACAGAAGCAGGATTCGCAACCATCGATTGAGCTAATATTGAGGCCAAAAGAACCTTGTCTGCAACGATCACAGTTATCGCCTTCCACATTGGCCTAGATGTGAAAGAAAGTTTGAAAATTCAGTGGAAAACTATAATAATTGTAACTGAATGATGAACAGTTATGTAGATGTAAGGAGATAGGTAAAGAGAAACTTTTCTCTTCTACTTCCACATGTAGAATATAGCAAAGGATGGAGTGGACAAGTGACGTACCTTACAAATACATCGTCCATTTCGGCATTCATTTGAAATTGAACCTCGAGAGTCGCAGTTACATGTTGGATATGGACCTTCATATGTGCATGGGATACCATTGGCTGGATCTCCAGTATATCCGGGAAGACATTCATCGCAGTAGTCACCAGTTGTACCATTTCTACAGTTCTGTAATGATAAAGTGAATGAAATATTAGTGAGTTATACCTGCAAATGTTCAAAATGAAGTATAATGAAGGCTCAGCATATTTGATGTGATTGTAAATAGTAATATTGAGAATAAAGATTATGTCTTACTCACCATACATAATCCGCTTGTAGAATCGCATTCATTAGAATATCCATTACAGCTACATTGTTCACAACTTCCAAGATATAGACCATTTGGTGTTCTTGTATATCCTACATCACAATCTTCGCAAGAAAGACCTGTATAGCCAACAGGGCAGTAACATTGTTCAACTTCCAACGCTCTATCAAGTGAACCTATATTTCGATCAGTGGCAATGTCCAGTGAAACGGAAATCAATCTGAAAGTGAAATCAATGATTGAGAAACGATAAATATAATACGAGTGTGATTTTGCTCTGTACACCAAATAGATGTTCGTTTGTTCCATTGTGATTATTGAAAAGTGCACGTTGTAGTTTTTTTGCCAAGCGGTTATAGTTTTCATACGAATAGCTCTCAAATTTATGCTAGCTGGGAATCAAAAAGGGTTATTTTTCAAGGAATTTTGAGTAGAAACCAGTTGCTACGTGGGAAAAATTGATAGTTCCAGATAAGGTATCGACATTACATCTATAATAGTAACCTTAAAATGGTTGTGAAAAATTTATTCACAACTCAAACTATGTTGAATACTTCAAGAAAACTATCGATATGTCTTGTAGATTGGATACACATGTTCAAATATCGGCAGTATAGCAAATATGGAGAACCGTTAGCAAAGAAAACAAAGGTCATGGTGAAGGAATTTTCATAACAAAAGTGGCGAATTTCGACCAGGTCGCCACTAAACTCCATTGATGGAAGAGCATTCACTCCATTTTCTGCCATTTTCGTTATTCAATGCACTACCAAGAAAAATTATCGACTTTTTATTTCATCGATTACGTTGAGGGTAATCCTACCGACTGCGCTATTTCATGTATAACTTCTTGTTTTGCAAATTTGACTTGACATTATTGTGGAGGAGCAGGAGCAACATGTGACCATGAAAAAAGTAGAATATATTTCATTGATGGCCCAAAAAAATTGTTGTCGAGTACAGAAAATGGTGTCAGAAACTAGTATGGTAAAAGTTGAAGATATCAAAGCTACTGTTCGGATTTCATAACATGGAATCCAGTTAATAATGCGTACTTGTTGGCTCGGCAGATATTCTTGAAAAGAAAACAACGCTTTTAAACTAGCAAGTGTACTATTAATATTCATTCTCAAAAAAATACACAATGTTTTGACTTAATTTAGGATTTGCTATAGTGTCAAAGATCTGGTGAATCAAATCGTATAATTTTGAGTTTTTCAATAGAACCTGATGAATACCGTGAACATTCGAAACGTGTGGTCTTACACAATATTGGTAAACATAATTTGAATCACAATACTCACGAAGATTCTTGGGTATTGGTGAAATATGTTGCCTTGATGTAAATCGCTTCCAAGTCTGCCAATGTCATCAGAAGATGCTCTCTATCAGACACCTGACCATCACTGCGCTGCCAATATTGTTCTAAAAGTGGGACGACAAAGGTTTGTGGAGCACCCGTACTCTGTGTTTGATTTCTGTTATAGAACAGGAGGTTGATGTTGTTTTTCTGTTGGAAATAATTTCAATTGAACATATGAAATTCGTTGGTTGCTTAAAGGGTAGAACAATACTCAGTTGGAATGTATATTGTTTTACTGTTCACCTTCCACGATGAAATATACTTTATTTTATTCATTGAATACTGTGAAAGCCAAAGTCGGCCCAAAGTCAATTATGTTATAGGTTCAAAATACTCAACAATTTCTAACAAATGTATGGAACCCTTTTGCGAAATCAAAATATTTTTCCACTTTCGTCATAGCACTAAGTCATTATAATCTCAACTGAAAGTATTTTTTTTGTAATTCTCAACAACCCTCATTTCAATTTAGTTGCTTGTATTTTTGAAACTGCCCTGACCGTTTTTGTCTATCATGATCAACATTATTTCGCTAATTTACTAAGTTTTTCAAAACGACGTTCATTTTGAATGTTTTCATTTTCAAACTGTAGATTATGGAATCATGGATATATAAACGTATAAAAATTTCACTTCACATTTCAAAAACTACCGCTAATTCCAAGACAAAACTATTATAATGACAATTTCGGAAAAAAACTGAACACATTGAAAACGCATAGAAGGATCACAACTTAGATATCACTTTTTATACATCTGCGATCTATCGCAATGGATTCTCCATTATATTCAGAGTGCCAAAACTTACGCTGACGAGTTCTACATCTGCTGCATTGTTTCTGGAACTTTGACCACCTGGTCTAGGAGTGTGTCTCAATGTGTAGGTGAGATAACCGCCGTATGAAGTTATTTTGTTTCCCAGATAACGAGAAGGAAGGGACCAGTAGTAAGCGTTTGGTGAACTGAAGCTATAGTAAGAAATTTCTCGATTCTCTGCACGAAGCTCTATCCCCTCAGCAATAGGATTTTCTCTGTTGAAGTTGTCGACCAGTTTGAATTCTTGGCTAGACGATACGAAGATGCTGGTTACCTAGGATATATTTCATTTCATTAGGTTAAAATTGCCTTGATATTTGACTATCGTGATATAACCGAGGCTGAAAAGATATTTACCTTTTCTCTGTACCAATTAGAGCTTGAACACTGCCTGGATACCCCCATACAGAAGCAAGGTATGCATCCGAACTGGTTTCTTCGGTTCAAGTAGAATGTTTCACTCTTACATTGGTTACATGTAGGACCATCGACCAAATTCTATAAGGAATAAACTCAATCTACATCGAGCGACAACATAATTTGTGAAACAATATCAAGATTTACATTTATGGACTCACCCATAGATGAATCAAGGAATAGCATGGAAAGTTGGAAATATGTTAGTTGTTATTTTAAACTAGTTATATTTTCGAAACTTAAGTTATATATTTCAGATAGATATCATTGAAACAACTGAAGCACTATATTCCTCTCCTGATAAAAAAACAAACATCAATGTACCTTACAACTGCATCTGCCATAAGGATCTGGACGGCTGTCCAGTGACCCGTTAGGATCACAGTATGATGGTGGGGGTTCAGTTGGAGCTAGTCGGCAATGATCTCCTGGAACTAGAGGATTACCAACATATCCGGGGGCGCACTGCTGACAACGATTTCCAACATAGCCAGGAGGACAATTACATAATACATTGCCATCGGGTCCCATTTGACAAGTCCTTCCGAACCTGTTGAAGAGAGATTTGCAGATGAATCAGTATTTCGAGTTCACATTCAGAAGAACCATGTGAGTTCGAAAAAAAAACAATGGGTTGACATATGAAAACACAAGATTCCAAGAATTGAGTCTCACAATATTCATCCACAGCTGCCTCTTTTCTTACCAGATTTTTTCAAGTGATGGTGTAACTGATTTGAGAATTGAAAAAATTATTTGGCACTAACAAATCGTAGTTTTGTTTGTATCACAATGTTATAGAATATCTTTGGTATGAAGAGTCTGCAGGGTAGACCATGATCATTACACGAAAGATTTCAGAGGTTTAGCCAGTAAAAAATGTAATCTAAAATTCAAAACTTAATTATTTCTCAGAATTATTCTACATAACTACTATAACTCACAGATTACTTTGACGAGTGGTTTGGATGATTTGAGGATGAGAAATAATTCACCACTCACGAATTGTATTCAAACCCATCAGATCCATATATAGCACAGTTTTTTGTATAAAAATATTACAGAATATCTTTGGCATACAAATTCAGCAGAGTATATCACCGTGATCAGCTAGTGAAAATGAGGTTTGAAATTAAAGACTCAGGAGATCTCTCTTATTCCTCACAATAATTCAGCTCTATATACTTCATTACGAACATTCTCTTGGTAGAAATCATATTCCATTGGAGTTTTTTTATACTTACTGGTTTCTGGAATCAGTGAGAGGACAAGGACATATCTGGCAATCTCTTCCATCATTATACATTCCTGGTGGACAATTCTTAGGCTGTGCCGTACACAGGCCAAGCCATGGACCAGTATTTTGTCTCTCGTAACCATTTGCGCATCTCTGAAACGAATTTCACCATTCAGATGCGCTCTTTTTCGACTGAGTAAATAAATCTTACCTCACAAGAACTACCAGTATATCCAGCGGGACAGGAACAATCTTCTACGTAACTGGCTGGTCCCAATCCTGCATTATCTAATCCCGCAGAATCCATTTCAATATTGAACAATGTTGTATTCAATGTTCCTTCATTATACTGTACTTTGATTAGAATATTATCAATATCCTCCAGCACCATCATTATTTCTTCTCTGGTGGCAATGATTTGCGAACCTCTAGTCCATTCGCCTTCGAAAAGCCTTACTGTAGTATTCTCAATGGTGTTTGGTGTAGGAAGTCGGTTCAAGTAATGGGTCAGGATATATCCGTTACCCTACGATGAGAAATATCATGTAGCAACAGTGATTGAACTGATTTGCAGATTTTTCTGCAACCAAAGTTCAATCTCCGCATTTGCTGGCGTTTTGTATTTGAATGTGAATTATATCATCGAGTACCAAGTCTGATATTTTTGGTATTGCTCCACCAAGTTTTGGATAAGTGTTTGATTTTTATTTTTTATATACTACACACATACATATTCATTTCATTCAATTGCCATTCATTACATTATATAGGATCAATTCATTGTCAATTCCAATGCATTAGACGTGGAACAGTATTGTAACCTAGGCCTAAACTTCGATTTAGCGACAAATGAAATCGCGCAAAGTCAGCAAAGATTGTACTTTTTATTGCCCACAACCAGTAATTTCCTTAAGAGCTCATTTCTTCGACACAATTCCAGTAAATACTGAAACAATTTCAATAACGACTGATCTACATTTATTCAGTGAATTTGCATTCAAACTATATGTATGATCGAATTATACTTACAGAAATGATGATATCGGGACCGGGTACAGGATAACCTCTATTGGAATGCCTGAGCCCAAAGTTGATGTAGCCGCCATAACTTTTGAGTTGATTTCCGTGATAACTTTCAGGCATGGCGAAATAAGGAACAACATTTTGTTGAGCCAATTCACTACCTCCTGGTGCAGTGGCATGAACTCCTTGAGCACCTACTAGAGATAACGTAGGTTGAGCTCCTCTGTAGACGGGTTCATCTCTAATGGACACATCTCCAGAAATTGGATCAATTCGAACACCAAGAAGTTTAAGAGAGTCGAAAGGTGGTTGGAACTGAAAAAACAATGTTTATATAAAATACAATTAGGGAACGATATGTTGACGATGCTTTGAAATCTGATGATTGGAAATACTCGAAGGTGTAACATCATGTCACTGAAACTTACAAAAACAGAAAGCAACGTTATGATTTCTTAAGACATGTATGATTTTTTATGCTGTATGACGATTTGCTTTCGAGAAAGTGTAAATGACCTTTTCCAAAAATTTCAAAGTGTTTTGAAATATGTAATCAGTGCAACTTACCTGGAATATAAATAGGTCGGCCGATTTGCACCTACTGGTATGTCCGAAACAGAAACACTTGATACATTCTCCTTCGGTTCTGGCTTGAACATTGAAATATCCTGCTTTGCAAACCTCATCACGTTTCACATTGAGAATGGTATCAGGGACAGCAAAAGTGGCTCCTTTGATGTTTATCGCTTCGCAAGAGTAAGCTCCTTGGTCCTCGATTTGTATGTTTTCGCAAATAAGTGTTCCAAATCCATTGTTACTGATCATTCTGCATTTGGGAGGAACGTGACCCCAGTTAAGACGCCACACAATTTCTGGTGTTGGGATACCTACAGCTCTACAAGTTATTTCGAATTTTTCTCCTACTTTGAGGGTCACCATTGGTGGCGGATTTTGAGCGATGACAGGCTTGGCTGCAATGTGAACGTTATGACTCATATTATAAAATTTTGACGTTATAGCCGAATACCATGTATGTTCATCAATTTATTATTTCGATATCGTTGGAGAGTTAATATCATAGACTTTTTTTTCATCAAACACCGAATAGTCAACCTAGGATAAACTTACCGCAACCAACTTCGTCACTGCCGTCTGCACAGTCGTTCTGCATATCACAGTGGTAGCTTTTTGGAATGCATTGGTTGTTGGAATGACAAGCGAATTGATGGTATTGGCAGGCTGATCCTGGTGGGTTGGTCGCACATTCTTGTTCGTCAGATCCATCACCACAGTCGTCATCTGAATCGCATATCCAGGTCTTGAGAACGCATTTTTTGTTGGCACATTGAAATTCATTGGGTTCGCATCCGTTGGGTCCTGGAATTTGACCATAGGTTAGAAATGAATCTAGAAAAATGGCATGTGATGAAATCGAGATTACTTACTGTATCCATCTTCATCGGAACCATCAGAACAGTCAAATCGACCATCACGAAGTTTACTTCTTGGGATGCATTGTCCGTTGGAGCAGGTTGCTTCGTTTGCTCTACATACTGTTGGTGGTCGAGTTGGTTGAGGTATTCCTGAAATATTGTGCGTTATAATACAAGATTTTGCCTATTTTAGGGTAAAAATCTTTCATGCGAACGACAGAAGGGAGTTCAAAAAGAAGAAACCAACATGAATCCAATCAGATTAATTATAATATCTACTTCACATTTTGAGAATTCATTTGGCAAACAAAATTTCATCAGGTATATTATACATCTTATTGAGGAATCGAAGAATCCAATTGTTGGCGAGTCTAGAGTTCGATGACAATAATAATAAACAACTGCATTGATGCAAATGAACGTTGTCCAGAAAAAATCTATAGTTTGTGAAATAACGTCAGAACATAACATGTATATTGATAGCAGAAATTCGGAATATCTCTGAGATCTCTTTGGTTCTCATTACCAAATAGTATCTCTTAAAAATATTTCAAGTATCATAAATGGAAACTTGAGATAGTCCGGGAGGTTCGTGGAGGTTCACTAATGATAGTTTTGGTATGAAATAATAATGATTTATAATGGTAATAATAGATTTTATTGCCCTAGACTACGAAATAGAATATATAAATAAAATAAAAACTTATATAATAATCCGGAAAAAGGCAGAGTTTGGCCTTGACGGTAAGGTGAGTTACCGAAAAGACGCGCTTTTTCATTCAACTTGGGACAAATAATTTTACAAAAGTTTTCCCAGACCAAGTCAGGGAAACTCCAAATTTGATGCAAGACACAGAACAAAATATATCAATGCTACCGGAATCAATGTTGTCTTTTCAACAAAGTGTTGCTTTTCCATTTAGATCACTATTGTCACGACGAACAAAACTATTTCGTGAGATCGCGTTGCAGAAATTTCAATACCTTTTCTGCGTAAGAAATGTTTCGTAGAAGGTTTTGGTGATCTATGAAACATAAATGGTTTAATATTCACATGAGGGACTCAACACCCAAGTATTATGATGTAAATTCAAGGCAGATGAATATTTGATAGTACTACCACCAAGAAAATTTCAGTACCCACTAAAGCACATATTAAACTTCCTTATTGGTCATGTTGGGTAATAATGACATTTGTTTCATCAGTAACTCAAAATCGACCGATCCGTCACTAACTTTACTTACCAAATCGTGATATCGATCAGAGAAACGAATGAAACATATAAATGATCAATTAGCTGGGTAAACGATTTATTTTTTGCATTTTACCTGCTGCATAATAATTTGTATAGATCGGTGGTGGAACTCCAAATTTTGAATGAAGCACCTGATGCTTTGTTGATTTCATCCTGGCTGCTCAATAAAAACATGAATTCATCAAATTCAAACGGTTACTCAACATTTGAGTTGAATATTTAAGTTTTTAGCAATCGAAATCTTCTTCATTTAGTAAAAGATTTGCAGAAAGTTAACACTCTGTTAACACTCTGCGAATAATCGTTTTATTCATTAATAAGAAGAAATGGGATCATGTGTCATAAATCATTTATTTTTCGTAGGAACTTTTCAGCCCTGCTGTTACCATTGAACCAAAAGATTACCTACTGAGGAGATAACAACTACTTATTCATTTTCATGATCACAAAATGAATATTGAGGAATGCTACTCACTTCTGGTCACTGTCAATCTAGCAGGTACTCTCGCGCCCGGCGTATTTGGAGGATATCCAGTTGCCAAACAAATGTATGTTCCTGCTTGGTCTAACTGAATGTTTGGTATTGTCAGCCTTCCTCTCTCATCAGTTGAACCTGGTGGTAAAGGCAGACCATTTTCTCTTTCCCAGTGTACTTTGGCCCTAGTCATTCCTTCGTCTCTGCAGGTCAGTACTACTTCTTGGCCTAGGAGAATGGAAAGATCAGGTGAGAAAAGATGAGTCAGTGTGGAGAAAATGGATTAACAAGCAAACTCTGTTAAAGTTGCGATGTCATTTGAAATCGTCCAAATTAAGCACGAGGAAATATGTACAATACCAGCGTGAGATAGCGTTGGTGCTTTGTTACGTGTTGATCTGTACAGATTTGAATGATTATGATAATGTTGGGTTCCCGAAGGGTGGTAAGTGTATTATGAATTGATGTGATAGTTTAATTTTTTTTATTGCTTGGAATAATTATGTTCATTATGAAATTCTACAGTGGAAATGATAGAAAAGGTATTGTCTTTTGACGATTGCTGATTATATATCTCACTGTTTTGAATATTTCACTTTTTTATTGAAACCACTTGTTTTAGATGATCAAATTTGAACAGTAACTTTTGGAAACAACCAACTATGAAATGAAACTGGTGTAGAGATGAATATTATGAATCTCAATATCAATCCCTGTTGTTTTCAGCACAGAACTTATTCGGATTACAGAAAGTATGACACTATCCTCCTCCAATGTGATGACAAATCAAAAGATTAATAGTAAGTAATAGTAAGTAACATAACTTATCCCCAATAACCATATATTATTTCGAGTGAAACAAACTAGGTGATAAGAAGCCAGTTTTCGAATATTTTCATGATGTTCTAGAGCAGGGGTCTCCAAACTACGGCCCGCGGGCGAAATCCGGCCCGTCAGTGTCATCAATCCGGCCCGCGACAGCCAACGATTTACTGTCATCAATCTGGCCTGCGACAGCTAATGATTACCTAATTGTTGTTACTATTGTTGTGATAAGTTGAAGAAGAAAACACTGAATGATAATTACTCGGTTTTATTTACTTGCAAGGTAAAACTTAACGACAGAAATGATGACAGAGAAAATTTAACTCAAGTATCTAAGTTTAAGCATATTAATAGCTAACATATAATTGAAATGAATCACAGTAAAACAAAAACACTAATGAGATATATGTAATTGTGATTTTTCACCAACAATACTTTGTAGTTGTGGATCAATTTTACTTGTACCAATTATCAAAAGAGATTCAAGATGCTCATCGGTTAATTGAGATCTGTAAACATTCTTTGTGTACTTCATCTTGGAAAACGTTTTCTCACACAAGTAAGCAGTACCAAAAACAGAAAACAACCCACGAGCAAATTTTGGCAAATTATCAAATTGTTTCAGTGAAAAACTCCTATAAAATTCCAACGAAGATGAATTTTGATATTTGTTCTTAAGCATATCACTGCACCGTAAATTAACAATTTCCATTTGGACTTCCGTTGCCAGGGTTTCAATGTCAGAATCAAAAGGATTTTGAAAAAGCTCAATTACATTCACAATGACATCAAAATCTGAAAAATGAGTATCAAAATTCATCTTCAAAGCTCCCAAAGTTTCGATTGCAAAATTGACGGGAAATTCAGTCTCTGTAGTGGGGCTGAATATTTCACATGTTTCAAAATGTGTGAAACATTTTTTACGTAATTGCGATTGAAATAGTATTTTTTTTCTGCCTGAAGGATTTGATATTGATGTATAAATCAGGAAGAAACTGATTTTCTCCTTGCAATCTCAAATTCACTTCGTTCATATGATTTGTCAAATCGACATAGAAGGCTAACTTCCACATCCATTCACTATTTTCTAAATCGGAAAAAGGGCGCTGCTTCTCATTTAAAAAAATTTCGATCTCTGCTCGAAGTTCAAAAAAGCGCTTAAGGACTTTTCCGCAACTAAGCCAGCGTACGGCAGTATGATATGGTAAATCATTTTCTTCAATTTGTTGAATGAACTCGGGGAATTGTCGGTGATTCAGTCCAGTGGATCTGATGAAGTTAACAACTGATATGACTGGTTTTAGAACTTCAGACATATCCAAACATTCTCCGCACAAGGACTGTTGATGAATGATACAATGTAAGACTAATGGTTTTGAACCACCATCATTTTCTACAGCCTTTGACACAAGTGCAACCACTTCTTTATTTTTACCATACATATTTTTGCCTCAATCAGTTGTTATAGATTTCAAATTTCTCCATCGAAGGTTCTTTTTATTAATGGCATTTTCAACTCCCTTAAAAATATCTGCTCCAGTTGTCGTGCCGTGAATACTATCAATATCAAGAAGTTCTTCATACACTTCATAGCTTTTATCTACTCCGCGAATAAAAATCAACACCTGAGCAGTATCTGACACATCCGTTGGCTCATCCAATGCTAGAGAAAACCACTTATGATGTCCATTTTTGTCAGACAGTTGAGATGATATATTTTCTGCGATGTCTTGCACCCTCCGAGTCACGGTGTTTGCTGACAAACTGACACTTTTAAATAAATTTACCTTTTCGGAGTATATTTCTTCGGCTACTGCAATCAAGCACTCTTTTATCATTTCTCCATTGGTGAATGGTTTGCCACGTTTTCCGATTTCAAGAGCCACAGGAAAGCTGTCGCGAGTTGCAGACTCTTGTTCAGTATTCGCTTTGGTAAACAAAGATTGCTGCGATTTGAGTCCGCGTTTCAAAGCTTCAAATTTTTTCTTTCGCAAACTACCTGTATACTTAGAGTAACTTTGAAGATGTTTCGATTCATAGTGTCGTTTGATGTTAGGTATAGTCTTTGAGAACAGCTGTGGTTTCATTACAAATTAAACATATCGCCTTATTACTGGAGTCAATCACAAAATATTGAAAGTTACATTTTTCTTAGAACGTTCTGCATTCACTGTCGATTTTTCGCTTCTTTTCCAAATTAACAAATCACACATGAAAACAATTAGTCAAATCAAAATACTTTTATTGACGGGTGTTACTTTATTTCACAATAGACAGTTTCGCTTCCTTCGCCTTTCCTACGCAGACTAACTCGCAGTTGCGCCGCTAGCCTTTTTATATGCAATTATTACTGCCATCTCGAGGTGATCGGAATATACTAGCTAGAACCAGAACTTTCTCGAACCAACGCGGTAATTCCAAATATTCAATTACGCCTAATGCTATCCAGAGGGTAGCTGAAAAAGATAGTACATAGTACCACTACTCGCCAGTATATGTCGTTAAGTTTCACAATACACAATACTAATTGAAATGCATAAAAAGCGTAAATTTGCTTAGGTCACACACTTTGCGACTATCCTAGTCTAGAAATATAGTTCAGGGCAGAAATTGGCTTTTGGAACAAACTGAAAAAATCATTATGGCCCGAAGGCTTCAAAGTTTGGAGACTCCTGTTGTAGAGGACTTCATACATAGTTCATACATATATACCAAACCTCGTTATTTATCCTAAAGTCCAGTTTATGTAAAATTTGCAGTAATGACTAATCAAAATCAGAAAAGTTGAATAGAAGTAACTGTTAAACTCAATCAAGCTCAACAGCTTTTGACTCTCCATGTTTCTCGATTGCGTTATTCCAAATATGGGTGACATGCGATAAAAGGTCGTTGATGATCTTTGTTTCCGAAAGCCATATTGATGATCGCTCAAGATGTTGAAGCCTTCCAAATGTTCAAAGATATGGTGTTGTATGACTTCTTCCATGAATTTTGATATAATCAAAATCAGAAAAGTTGAATAGAAGTAACTGTTGAACTTAGTAGTATATTCGAACTTAGTAGTATCATTAAATTTTTTTTTGAAAAGAGACAGTGAGGACATGTAGTGGAACTCAGTTGGTACAGTATCTAATGTTCAGATGGACTCTTGTATTTGTCGTCAGCCATTAAAAGATGTTAATGTCTACCTACTCTGAGTAGTTCTCACAAATTGATTTAAAACGATTTTCCATGACAAATTATTCATTCGTTCAACAAGGTCATGAGAATTTAATAAAAAACTTCATTATTGTAGCTTCCCTGTCAGATGTTAACGAAGTTATTATAAGTATCTATGCAATACGCATCTGTGCAATCTTTGGAGAACACCAGCGAATTCGAGAGATATCCATCCATGGCCACTTGCAGGAAATGTTCTTTCAGAAAGCCGGAGAGCCATACACAAAAATGATTTGACAAGCCATAGCATCGAAGTATGGCCAGCCTCAGAAATATCAAGCTCTACAGCTTTTGACTCTCCATGTTTCTCGATTGCGTTATTCCAAATATGGGTGACATGCGATAAAAGGTCGCTTGATGATATTTTTTTCCGAAAGCCATATTGATGATCGCTCAAGATGTTGAAGCCTTCCAAATGTTCAAAGATATGGTGTTGTATGACTTCTTCCATGAATTTTGATATCACTGATAGCAAAGCGACTGGTCTATAGTTATTCTCGTCCATTTGGACACGACTATTTGAAATGTCTCAGAGACAAAGGGGAGTCGTGTATCCTCTTATAGCTTTTTCAACTTGCCCTATCATTTATAGGGACGATGCAGATTATTCAGCCATTTTGTTCAAAAGTTGCTTGCTCAGTTACGATTTTCAGGTTAACCATTGCTGAAGGCAAATGGAGGTTTGGAAAAACTGCATTACTGATGAATCAATTTGAATGTGACGAAATTTGTGAAACTTGAGCACTGTATTTAAACTAATGTGAAGTAACTACAAACTTGAGAAATAGCCTAAGATTTTGATACTGCCAATCCAATGATATATAAATGGATAAATACTATGATATACTTTTATTCACCTAGTTTGTTTGATATTAATACTGTTGACAAACAAATTTCAGAACAGATCACTCAGACTTTGGATATATCATACAGAGGAGGGAGATTATCCACAACAAATTCAACAACTTAAGTTGTTAGCGAATTTCTCCACGAATTTTCGAATATGTTGAAACTTTCGAGTTTCGTTATATTCAGTTATTCGTATTTCGAATAGTTTCTGTTTTATCGTTCCATGTTTTCTTTTATGTGAATGATAGTATGAGTTATAATTAATGAAGAGGCTGGTGATAGTCTCCTATTCGAAGTATACAGTTCGTAGAATTTTCAATGGAATTAACTTCAGTGGTCGAGGATATTCAATGAAATAGTATGTTGATGTATAGGTGGATATTGAGATATTTGAAAGAAGTGCGATTTTTCGAGTGTTTCACAGTCATCCACGATTATTTTTCACTTCTTTATTATTACGCCTTGAAATCATCATGGAAAAAGAATTTATAATTCATATCTCTCGTCAAAAAATGAGAGAAACAAAAATTACTTTGCAATCCGTCATAAAATTATTGGTTGTCACTACCAAGTTTTTACTTGATAATTGTTTTAAAATGAGTTCAAACATTGATTACTCAAATTATAAAGCAGAATCGCTGTTGAAACTTCAAAAATCGAAAGACGCTTATGAATTAGAAACTGAAGTATTAACATTTCAAATAATACCAACTGTACTTTCCAGTTTCATTGAAAAAAATAGTCAATAGGGCACCGATGAAAAAAAAATGAAAAGGAAATATAAATTATAAAAATATGAAAAATATGAATTGAAGTTATGGCCATGAAGAATATGCGCAAAGTATCACACCTCCCCCTTATTTGGGAACTCTTACTCACCGATCTTATACGTGACTGCTCCGCAAATACAGAAAACATAAAACATCAGTTAATTCAAACACAATGATAGTAATACGGACAGAGGATGCACAAATATCAAATATACATATGAATAAAATAATTGTGTATTTTTATGTAAGCGAGCAATTGAAGAGACAGTAATGGACTCAAAGCCTTACTGAAAGTATAGTATTCAATAATTCGAAAGAAAATGATGTTGATTTGGTATTTCAACAAAGTTAGAAGGGATACATCAGTAAATATCCAAATGAGATGTACGAGAACATGAAATTATTCCCTAATGGGCTGAATTTTTGTACATTTCTACACCAAGCAATTATCTCCTTTAACAGAAACTTGACAATGACATTGAAGAAACCACCAACTTGTCTCCAGCATCCCTGTCAATCTAGTGACTGGGGATTTGAATGGTGTTGGTATGTCAGTCGAAAATTTCTAGCGGAAATATTCATAGAAAAGATATGACTTTTCCACCTGAAGAGATCCATTTCATCTTCAGGTTTTTTTTGTGTATGAATATGTTTTAACATTTATAAAATGTCACAATGATTTCGAAATTGAATTCAACTATCAACTTTATGTTCATACTTTTGTCTAGAGTTGCTCGAGAGTTGAACGCAAAGGATATTAATCAAATAAAAATGATTTTGCCTGAACGTTTTCATATTGAACGTTAAACAAGATAACGTTGAAATCAAAATACTTACTTTCTCTTTGTTCTGTTTCGCTTGGATACGTCTTCAAGTTGAGATCATTACTACTGCCAGCTAAAAAAAAAATCGTTTCATTTTACAAATATTGATACTGGTGATGGTTGGCAACTGATTTTTTTTATATTTCATTACATAACTGCTGAAAAACCGAATTGTATGAGTCGATTTTTTGTCAGTTTGTTCTTCATTATGGGCAGTTTTATTCATGTTTCTCACATTTATATATGATTATTTCTCAATAATTTGGATTATTTTTAATATTATTCTCATTCCACTCCTGATGAGAAAATTTGCCCATTCATATAGAATATGTAGATGATGATATTAGTTTTAATTCGAACTTGATAAATGTTGAAGTAATTTATCACAGATAACTCTTTATGAGAGTTTTTCCCCAATACTCGGGAATTTTGGTCAGTATGCTTCGAAAAAGCATTAAACAAGAGAATTACATCTTTCACTATGGAATTCGATCTGATAAGTACCCGCCAATACGGTTACCAACAAAATAAATCAACCCAAGATGAATTTAACCTCAAAGATATTGAAGAGTCTAGATAATGGGAAAAATCTGCTTGTGTATTTTTCGATCTTGCCAAAGCATTTGATACGGTCCCCCACTCACAACTATTAGACATTTTAGATGATTTGGGTTTCCGTGGAGTAGCCAGAACTGATTGGTTGAATCCAGGTTGACATATGGGATAATAGGGTGAGGAAGTGCACTCAGAAAACATTTCTGAAAATATCAGTAAACAAACCCTCTCGATATTCGTCTGATTTGTTATACTCCGAATCTAAAATCCTTGACATCCGCCAGCATAATTTCTTTGTTGTATCTTGCTCTGAATTCAAACAAAAATCTAATCTCAAAACACTAGAACATTGCTACGAAACAAGAAAAAAGTCCAATTATTTCAGAACACCGCTAGCTTCAAAATCTATAGGAGAGCGATGCTTTTCGTAATTGGTGCCAAAATTATTCAATTTTATTCCTGTCGAAATAAAAGAAACTCATTCTTATAGAGGATATAAGAAGAAACTAAAAAAATTGTATATGTATGTCATTTAATTAATTTTTGTATATGATCAATACATGATACGAATGAATGAAAATATAAAAACATGCCACTATTAATTTTATACTGTAACTTTAGGTATAGTATTGAACGATCTTGCAAGAATAATCAAACTTTCTTTTTCATAACCATAATATCTGGAATTATTTGAGAAATTCTGGATGATGATCAATTGCATTACAATTTTGCCATATTCGATATAAGTAGAGAAGCTAGGAGAGTTCTAGTAACAATTCCCACGCTTTTTCTTATGAAGTTTCATTCAGGTCATTTACGATCCGTTCAAGGTCGTTCAAGCGTGGAGCTGTGTGCGATAGCGAGCAGAGACTATATGGCGTGAGATCATCAAGTCGAGCCAAAGAGTGGATCATATGGAATTGGATTTAGGGTGAGATCATAAAGTTATGAGATAACAGCATGCATAAAGGGCACTGAGCCATATCTTCGCTAATAATAGTCGCATCGTCACGTGCAGTATATCAATTGAAACGGAAAGGGATGATGAATTTATTGACAGAGAAAAATCTTAAGATGGCAGCATGCTAAAAGGGCACAACGTTGATTGAAGGTTTGTAAATATCGAAAATCAATATAGAAACAATTTTTATATCGACCATTTCTATGACATTTTTTTAAATACATAGTTTACGAATTGATCAATAAAAACACTTAATTTCAAGAGTCTCAGCTAACACATAAGCTGTAGATATCGTAGAACCGTTTTCCTTGAAAAATTGCACAGAAAACTCCATTGATGATTTTCCGTATTTACGATAGTTCAGGAAATGTTGGTTAGCAAGTGAAAAAGTCCCAATATCTGTTCAAAGTATTGTTCTAACGTGTATAGTTCAGTTGACTACAATTTGGATGGAAAGTTCTGAAACTCTAGAAACCTAGCAACGGATTTGAAATGTTTTCAATTTGGAAGTGTGTTCGTAGTATTTACATATTACTTCGGAGGTCTTCAACTTCCCAGTAGTGCCTGTTATCTCATTACTTGTCACTAAACAACATGTGGCATGTAGTACGCTCTGAGTGTAATTTTTCTTTCTATCGAGAATACTCACGACAATTTGTTTCATCCGATAAATCGTTGCAGTCTACACTTCCATCACACAATTGATCATAACGAATACACTGCATCAGCGAGCGGCATGGTTGGTAGCCCTGAGGACAACTGAGTCTTGGTCTTGGAGGTTCTGGTGGAATAGTTGGAGGTTCAGTTGGACAATTATATTCATCGGAACCATCGTTACAATCATTCCTTCTGTCACAACGCAAATTTTCGTCTATACATCTGTTATCATCTAAACATTGGAATTCATTGCTTGTGCAAGCTACAAAATAAAGAGAAAGGAAAAACGTAACAAAAACTACTGAAATAAAATAAATAAATGAATACGAAATATGTGCATTAAACTGGTACATGCTCAAAATGGAAACATAACGGGTTGTGTGATGAACTCAAAGGAAATGAAAAATGTGATATATACAAGGAAAATGAAAAGAAAATATTGTATTTGAGAAACATAAGATATTTTATTGATTTTTCTACTTTTAGCCCCTCCAAACAATGAAACTGTAGGAGTCTCATTCATTTTATTTCCGCTTCTGTTATAATATTGTTCAAAACATTGTTCGAATGCATTTTGGTCTTCGCAAATACTATTATTTCAAGTCAGAACAGATTCGAATAGATTTTATATAGGTATCATCAATTATAGAAAGTGGAAGTCGATAACTTAGCAATATTCACGATTACAGAGAAAATTCACTCTCTTACACTTTGATTGAAATGAGTAAATTTTTGGATATCTCTCATAACTTGCCCCGTTAGTATTTTAACCAGCCTTTAGTGAGCACAGTAAGTCATTGACGAATCTGAATTACAATTACAGTAATGTGAAGTTCAAAGATAATCATTATTTAGAACTATTTATGAATAAAACCTGAAAGAAACGTGACTGTTGGAAAATATCGACTTATCCTATAAGTTTTAGAGAATTCAAACAATTCAACTTTTTGTAAACATTCTCAATCACAGATGCTTCGCTTACTCAAAACCACCCAACTAACATTGTGTTAAGGGTGATTTTTGATCAGCATTGTGTCAACCCTGACTATTTTGGAGAAAATATACCATGAAATGTTACAGTGATCTAAAACCCAAACGAATTCAAAAATGTTAATTTTTTTCTGGAAAAACTGAACCATGCAAAAAAAGAATAAAAAATCTAAATGTATAGACAAAATTTACAGTTTTTCTATTTTACATACCGAATATCGGAAAACAACTTTTACTCTATTCTCAACTAGTTGTCTATATACCCAAAAACCTACATACAATGATAATATAATAAACCTTTCTACAAGTATACTAGGTAATTTTAAAAATTAAGAAGCTGCTAAATTGTATTTTCCCCATCTTCATTATTTGATTTCGATAAAATATTCTCAACTTTGCTACTGATACATTTACAAATTAGAAACTCCTTATCAAATCTACCTTTGTGTGTGTGAGAGAATGTGACTTCGCATGGAAATAACGATTATGAAAAAGAAGATTTCATCAAATGAGTTTCTGGTGTGATAATTTCAAATAATAATCTATATATCTATTTATCAGATATTGTTTTCCAATTGGATGTGTGGAGAATAGTTCTCATTTGACCCAATTTCCTTCTCAAATCGCTTTCAATGAATCCAAATGCAGTACATTCTGATCTCAGACACTTTAGTGGGCTCCAAAAGGAAAACAGGACATAGCGAACTCTCGAAATGAATTTGGAGAAATCTCAGCCGTACTAACACCAGACCTACCGAATATCTGAGTTTCTCCAATTAAATCTTCAATTAAATCATCTGAATATGATCAGTGTTCATAATATCATTTTGAAATGTTTTTATTTAACACGAAATGGACAACAATGAATGACGACAGTATTAACAGCGGAGTTTACCTAATCGTGACGTCATGCGCTGTGATTGGTATTTCAGTCAAAATGGCCGATTGCAGTATTTTTTCAATTTGAATTTTCTCTTAAACTATTGAATCGACGATTTTGAGCGATACTCAAGTGAGAAATGTGTTTGATATTCAGTAGAAAACCCTACGGACAAGTTCATTAAGTTCGAGGTCTGATGTTTTTCGTACAAAATTATTCACAATTTGCTATCGCAGTAAGTTTTGGAACCCACCTACAGTTCTACCCTAAACCCTAATAATATACACATAGAAAACACCTAAATTTCCAGCCAAACACACTTAGGGGAGAAATCTCTAACCGAAGCAATTCTGCTCGTCGGAAAAATCCTTGCAGTCATAGAAATTGTCGCATCTCAGGGAAGCTATTATACAGGCCCCATCGAAACACTGAAACCATTCAGGCTCGGTGCAAGTCCCTGACCAAATGGCCGGAACACAACATTTTGAACAAGTATTAATTTTTTATTGGACAAGGAGGGTATGTTATTGGGTATCCCCATCACTTTCGCATGTTTCCTTTTTTTGATGGATCATTCAAAAGTATAGAAAAATTGAATATCCTGTATACTTTTTACGTTTGTTGTATTGGCAATAGAAAAATTTTGGAATAATGATTCGAATTTGGAAAAATAAACAAACACAACCACCACAACATCCGACAGCTTTGTTTCGACCTGCCACAGGTTTTGTTAGAACCAACCTCCTTGTTGAACAAGTCTGACTAGAAGTGAGCATGAAAATTTTCCCTCGAGAAAACATCACACTGACTCTGACTCGTGCTACAGGGACAGCTGAGTCCAGAACAGCATACGTAATCCAGCTCAGCATCATTGGTGAAACTTACAGCAGGTCGTAACAATGCAATGCAAAGAAACTTGTCCATAAAGAAAGACAGAAGACAAGGGTTCATTGTAAATCATTCACTACAGAGACCAATGAACTATATTATGCAGAGTTAGTTAATAGTGTATCTATGTATGATGTACTCGATAGATACTGTGATATCTTATAACAATCTCATCAATTACCAGAAACTTGCGATAGCGAATCAGACGGATTCGTCACATATATTTTTTTGACAATAAAATGAATAACCAAAAAGTATTCCTTTTCGAATTCTATATTTGAATTCATGGAAATGAGTTGAATACTCGACTCAGGTCAATGATTGTAGAGAGTATAATAGTCAGTCTATTCGAAAACAAATTTGATTCATGATGATTTCATAAAAACTTATAGAAGAAATTCCGAATTGCAAAAAACGTCCATACTTTTTCTGGTTAAACTTTTATTGCTATGGATCTTTCAAGAATTGATTATATGTTCCATCTAGAAGTAAAATTATGTTTGAATCGTTATAATCTTTTCATCAAAGACTGATTTATAGATATTATTTTAAAAACCTGAAAGAGTTGAGTTTGCGTTAAGAAATCTGATAACAATGAACTTACGACATTGTAACTCATCGGATCCATCTGGACAATCTCTGTTTCTGTCACACTGGCGGAAAGATTCAATGCAAGTTCCGTCATTGCACGTCCATTCATTCGAGGAGCATCTGCTGGGTTTGCTACAATTGTTCTCATCGGAATTGTCATCGCAATCGGAGTTTCCGTCGCACTGCTGGGATTTTGGAATGCATGCGAAGCCGGATTCACACTCGAATTCATCCTCTGAACAAGAACCTGCAACACAGTTATTTGAATGAGCAATGTGACATCCTACTAACTGCGCCAAATCGGGTTTTTGGAGCTGACGCGTTTATCGTTACAGACAAATTTTTTTGTTGGTTCTATATGGATAGATATTTCACGTAAATCCGATTATTCGTCTTTTGAAAAAGCGCATTTGAAATTTAAAACATTGAATTTGCAGATAAATGATTTGCATCAGCTAGACAAGCAATTTTGGCATCAAGTACTTTGAATCGGAAGCTGGAAAGCTTACTCACCACATCCAATTTCGTCCTTTCCATTTTCACAATCTTCAATACCATCACACCGATATGATGGTAATATGCATTGATTATTTCCACAATCGAATTGGCCTCCCCCGCATGCTATATATGAATGATCAACAAAGAATAAGTATCAAATCAATAAATGATTTCAACATGGAGGCAATAGAAGCAAAATTAACAGGGCATAACAATCATATTTGGTGATGCTTTATGATTCTCAACACTTATGTCGATAATATTATTGTCACAGTTCTGATATGTGGCATAAATCTCGTGCATGAAGGAGATATGAATCACCTCCTTGATATGGAGGGTGCAAATGAATACCTCCACCAGAAATTAGTAATTTCAGAGGTTCACACTTAGTGGGATTGTTGTTTGTAGGGTTCGGTTAGTCATCTTTGGAAATTGTAGTAACGATGAACACATTGATATTATCGGAACTGTGAGCTTGAATTCATTTTGATTTTCGCCTCCATTTCATCCATGATACATGATAACTCGATGAAGCTTCATCATTTTGGTGCAAGATGATGACAAATGAATCATTCCTTCCAATTAATATTTGAGGGAATCTTTGGGACGGTTCGGATCAGATGTTGTTAGAGGGTAAAAAATTAAAACGTTAGGTCACTCATTATCAGACAAGATGAGAATCCTGCATGCAAAACTCATGGAGGAGTTCCCATATGAAAAATATCGATCAAGTAGTGCGTATTAACGACAAGAGATGGTGTTAGTACTTCGAATAACATCGCACATACTTATGTTTGTTCCAGGACATCCAATTTCGTCAGTTCTATCAAGACAGTCGTCGAAACCATCACAACGTCTTCTGCTGTCCAAACATATTCCATCGCCGCATCGAAATTGTTGATCAGGACATTTGGTAACTGAATAACATAATGCGAAAAATGAGGGATATGACGGTCAGTCAACTTTAACACAGGGAAAGGGAACGTTGTTATGTGACGAAGTGATTATTTGATGTGAATGAATTGTTTTTCAATAGATTTGGGATTCATGTCTGAATATTTTGAACCCTGTCCCACCAAATTCCATGGGGATATGATTAGTATGTTTGGGGTAGCTATTCTGCACAAGAGTAGATATAGCCGTTGGCGGGTACAACAGTATGATAGTATAGGTATGAATCCTAGATTATTATATCTGCAGATTTTATGTGAAATAACGGCTTTTAGCGTGATCACAGAATTAGCGGAATAGCCCCGCAAAAAAGAAGATTCTAGTCATTGATGAACATGTGGAAATGAATTCATATTGACAAAGAAAAGTTTCAAAATTAGAATAATCAGAGTAACTCAGAGTAACGAAAAAACATATTTCAAACAGACATATTTACAAAGTGGAGTATATTCCAGACTCATTTTTAGTTCTAATTTGGTAGGTTTAGGGTGTGATTTATTCATATACCTCTACTTATGATATACTCTTCACTGTGAAATGAATTCACAAACTTGTGCCCTTGAATAAATGTTCCACACGAACGAATCTGTGACTACTTGATGAGAGTCAGCCAAGCAGGATAGATAACTCTGAAGTCATCCACTTGTGAGTCTTTGCTAACTTGAAACTGAAACAATCTATCAAGGCAACTTACAAATGAATCAACTCTTGTTTTATGAATGTTGGATAATAATTCAAGATAGGTTCACCCACAATAAAAGGAAGAGGAGTTGATGTTCTGACGATGTGAACAGTCGAAATATATGTGAAATGAAATATGCTCATTTAGATGAGAGATGTTCAGTCCAGTATTTTGGATTTTCGGACTGTGGAAAATGAATTGGTTGAAACTGAAAAGATTCATGAATTTGACAGAAGAAACAATAATATTATATAAAACGTATCCAAACTCAATCTTGTTGATTTCGAATTTAATTTTCAGTGAGATGTGAAGACGAAAAATGTTATAATGACGTTTAGGAAATGAAGTTCATGGGCATCTGAAAATTTTTGGAATTTCTCTAACCAATACGTGGATTTGTAGTTGAGAGGTTTTGAGGGCCTTATTTTGAGAAGACTCATGCAAAATTTTCATTATTTATGATCCTATAATGAATGATTATGGCATCCATCTACCAGTATTAATTCTGCTATTATGTCAAATGTCACTTCGAATTTATGAATGAAAAAATCATGAAACACTCCACTATTGAGAAACAATTCATTTCAATAAAATAATCTGGTAAAGTCACATTGAATGACCAAAATGTCATGACATAGTTCACATTCATGAAAAATCTCTGATGAGGGCATAATCAATTTTTAAATTATATTGAAACCGGAAAAAGTACAGAATGTGATCGAAACCGAAATGTAGTTCATATTCCTACGTATACAAGAGAGCTCAACGAAAATGAAAGGGTATGTATAATTCCCAGAAGAAATACTTCTTGAAAAAATCCATCACTTCCGAAGGAAATATATTTTAAATCTGATATAACAAGGTTGATAGCATATTATTTGAGCGAAGTTAACATTCCTCATTAATTGATAGAATACAACTACTTGGTTGGTAGCTTTGGGAGTATGGAAGGATTCAATACCCAGCATCATTCGTAATTTTGCCTTCAGAATGATTGGAATGGGAATAATTCTTTTATATTACTGTCCTGATCACATTTTGCACTGTCTGAGACTGGTTTGAAACCAACGTACAACCACCTCCGTATCTCAATTATAAATCGCTGAATTTCCTAGGTTAAACGGATTATCTGCTCTACTTTCATTCAGCGTAATTTTAGTATCATCCTTCGACCGTGTCAACTATTCTAACGTGGAGAAAGATGTAAATTCAAGCGCTGGGACGTTATTATGTAACGCATAAAAGTTGGATGTGCAAAGTTAATGAATGAGTTGAAATATCAAGCTTGTAAATATATGTTATGTGGGTCATTCAGGAATTCTAGCAGAAGATCGCAAACCACTACCAAATCTGTCGCATCTTCCCTCAGGCATATCTGATTCACAATCATTCTTTCCTTCTTCACCTGAAGGATCTTCGAGAAACTGTTCCCATGACAACCGAGGAGTTAGAGATACTTGGTTGCAGGGAACCATTTTTGGCAACATAACGGGCTCAGTTGAAATTTTTGTTGATTAGGAATCCAGTGAAACGTTTTATGGAAATGGAAGACTTCCATAGTTCGATGATTGATTTCCGAGTTTTTATTGTCAGAACTGAGTTTCTAAAGTCAGTGGACGAGAATATGGATCCAACATTTTTCAAAAGATATCGCGAGCTAGCTTCTCAACCTGGTCATTCTTGGTTTCAGAATAATCAAACTTTCTTTATGCAAGTAGCAAAAATAAACTGTGGATCTGTTTAGATGATCGAAATTTTCACGTTAGTTGCCAAAAATGTTGCCTCACGAAAACCTTCGAAGTGAGTGGAGGTCATAGCGGTTGTACAGCGCAAAAGAGTTGCTCGGCTACTCATCAAACTTCAGTCGAACCACATACCACAATCTTCCTCATCGGAACCATCGAGACAATCTTTGAGGCCGTCGCAACGCAACCTTTCGTCGATGCAAGAGCCGTTCGCGCATTGAAACTGCGTCAGATCGCAAAAACCGCTGCAGCCTTTTTCATCAGACGCGTCAATGCAATCGTATATCTTGTCGCATCTCTTTCCTGGTGTACAGCTACCGTCATCGCATATCAAATCGTCTGGTCTGCATGCTGGATAATAATTGGTTTTCTAGTTTTCGTTTTTATTGCAGGATTCAAAGCACATTTCTTTCTACTACAGCGTGAAGAAAAGCTGGCTAATATTAATCAACGTCTTTGCTAACAAATCGCAATGAGATCTTTGCAGGAACCTTTGAATGCTATACAAAAGTTCAGCTTGTGAGTTACTTGTGAAATGCTTCTTTCAATTTATTGAGTCATATTCATTTCAATTAAAATGGAGACACTATTAAAAACATGTTCTTTTTTTCAGGCACGACAGGAAAATCCTTTCGCACAGCGGTAAACGTAAGAAAATGAAGATTCACATTGGATTTGAATCGCTGAAGAATAAATTCATTTGGAAAACATCCTCAGGAAGTTAATTTAAATTAAACGACCTCATCCATTTCTTTTTATGATATTTAGTATGTTATAAAAATATCCCTACACTTTTCCGATGTGTGTAGTTCTTGAACAGTGAAGTTCCAGGTATACTGAGCTGAATCTCAAAACAATTAGCGCCACGTATTTCTGATATGTACCGCTCTTGGTGGCATCAAATGTGTCAAGTCTCTTGAACACCTCCCGTGAAAGTATCTAGAGAAGTCAGAGAAGTCTTCAACCTCTCTTCGATGTTCCAGGCAATCAAGGTTACATGTGATGTCTTCAGGTGGATGCCTCTTTTCTGGATGGAATCCAGCAACTTCTGGGCATGCTTGGGGGCAGAGCTCCATACATGAGAATAATACTCCAAAGGAGGTCTGATCTGAGCTCTACAAAGCATCAAAATTTGCTGGGGTGTGTATAGTTTTCTGGTTTGGAACAGCAGCCTTTGCAATTCCAATGACATGATTGTGCCAAGATCTCTTAGTGTCAATTTCAACCCCCAACAAATTTATTGAAGCAGAAAGCGGAATTCTCTGACCTGACTTTGTTGTATCTGGTTCGGAGACATTTATCTTCTTGGAGAAAACCGATTCCTGGGTTTTTGTGGCATTGAAGTGAACCTGGTTCATCCGTTCACTGAGTTTTCAGTAGAGATTATTTTGCGACATTGGAAAATATGTTCATATCACCTCATAAAATAAGGGAATCAAATTGTCTCATCTTCAAGAACATTATTTTTCAAATCTATGCAGTACGTTTAATATGCTCATGCTCAAATAGGATACTAGTAAGAGGAATTTTCGGGTGATAACAAAGCAAACACAGTTTCAATTCCATAACAGAATAAAAATTGAGGGAAATATTGACGAAACACCAGTTATTATTTGTTTTATTTTTGAGGGGATTGAAAAATCTCTCAGCAGTCTCTTCATCGGATCTCACGAAAGAAAAGTTGAAACTGAAGTTTCCTTCTTTGCCAATGCCAATAGAGCTAGCAAGAAGCCAATGCTCCTTCAAAAGATTCAAATAACTGAGATCTGAGAATCACATGCTTTGAATGATCAAATCAGGTGGCATGGAACCATAGCCTACTGGGTTTTTGCGATGAGTTCTTGCGTGTGACAATTGCTAATGAATGTTTGAATGTCTTCTGGTTATGAGGTCATTCTTTGATCCAGGTTCATACCTCAGTACTGTTACATCAAGACAATATTTGTCTAGTATTAACCAAATGCAGAAACGCTTTGTACAACAGAGATTGGGAGAAAGTACCGCACCAAACTGTCACAGGATCCTTGAATCCGATACTATCAAAGCGAAAATAGCTTCGAGTGGCACAATTGAAGCTGAGCATCGTCTTCAGGTTCATCATTTCAATGCAAACCTTTACATATCGAATGAAGTACGGGATAAAAAAGTTAATACTGAAATATCTCACAAGTAAAGTATTCTTAAGTATTCTGTCAAAAACTTTCTTTTGGTGCTCTTTTGAAACATATTAGAAAGCAAACTCCAGTGGAATTTATGAGGGAATCATCTTTCGTCATACTCGTAGGTGTGTTGACAATCATGTCTTGAGCTAAGTTTTTATCAGGACAAAATATCATTGACATATTCACATGAATGTTCATCACTGAGGTGTTATTTTGATCGTTTTCATGTAGCTAGGTCTTATATACTGTAGATGAAATAGACTGGTCTATAGAAGACAACACGAATTTTTTTGATATTCATTGAATCAAGAATGCTCAAAGATTTTGGGTACATTTATGACTGAGGAGAAAACAGTTCTGTGGATACGAAAAATTACGATGTTGGCAAAGACTTGATTTCAAAGCCAGCAATTTCTTATAGCTATATTCATGTTCCTTCCACCGAAATATATTATAAATATGATTGCCAGAAAGTAAATTACAGAACCAGATCACTTCAAATATGGTCACTATATGAGGTTGGGAATTGAGTGAGATGAAAATGAGTTAAATCACGGTGTAGTCGGTTGGAAATATGAAAAATAAACACTCTTAGGGTTCATTCAAGACTGAGAATGAAAAATAATCAATATGTTTCGATAGTTTGAACATTATGCTAAATACGAATATATCTACGTCATAATAAACAATTTGTGTGATCATTTTTCATATTCATTTGAATCATAACATAAATGTTGATAGTGTCTACATTTCGTCTCACGAAATATGATGCTGCTTGAAATAAATGTACGATGAAAATTGGAACTACCTACCGTACGAACCCAATTCACAGTTAGTTTCGTCAGACTTGTCGAAGCAGTCAATAATTGCGTCACAAAGATAAGAAACGTCGATACACATGCCATCTTCACAGCGAAATTCGTCGGTAGTGCAAGCCGTTTCTGTGCATAAAGAAAAGCATGTGCTGATAGTGCAGTTTGGTTAGTAATGAAAATTGAAATAGACAGTGATTAGTCACAACACCAATGATTGAAATTGCCTAATTTCACAAATGTTGAAAATATATTTCCGTGAAATATGATTGACAGTAAAAGCATATAAAGAGATATTTTTTTTAAATCTCCAAAATCGATATTTCAATTTCATGTCCTAATGTTTATGGAGGAAAATATCTAGCACTCACTTCCTTTTCATTTGTTTTGTGCTCACAACAAAATCAATAGTTCCAACTATCTCCACTATTCATAGTATCTGTCAATTTTTGGTTTGAAAATAGTTTTTTCAAAATCAAAACCCCTGTTCCATAAACTACATCTTCCGATTTGATCATCCCAAAAATCATTTTCAAAAAATATATCACATGTTTTGCTCACACAGTAGCTTTATAGTTATACAGTGTGTCAATTTGAAAACTTCCCACCCTCAATATCTCCCTTCCAGTACATAATATGAAAAAATGGTCAGACAGGTCAACTTTATTTGCAAGGGGGACACTCTGAATGAATATTTTCAACCCTCGGGGTTCAACCCCCTAGGAGGGGTGGATTTTTTACTTAGTTCTGTGAAGGAGTATCAGGTTGTTCATTTTAATGTCAAGTCAGTGTCAATGTAACTCAGACACAAGTTGCTATCCATATACCCCGAACCGGCAACATATAAATGTTTTGAAAATCATTTTTTCAACAAAAAATATTCTAAGAAAGTTGGTAAGCTTCATGGGACACCTCTGTCACATGATCAACTAACTACAGCAACCTCTGATTGAAAAACGCTCAGGCTTTTGAGCTAGAGCTGTCGTTGCTCATCTACTGCCCCAAGAAAAGTGAGATGAAGAGAGTTATTGTCAGAAAGCATCTCCGAATATTCACAAAGTTTTAATAGGAAAAAATTTGATTGAGTGTCAAAGAAGGTCGGATAAAATGTGAAGGTTATAGTTTGTATTGTGTAGAAAGGAGACTGAGAAGTTTTTTGAATTCTGGAGGACTGTACCTCTAGTAACAATGAAAAGCATCGAGTTCTTCTGAAGGATCCGTAATCTACATGCTAAAATATATACGAACCATTTTATTTTCAGAAATTTCATAATTCATTCACAAACTCAATTATATTTGTAATGAAGATAAAATACTGTTCCCACAAAAACTGCAATCATCAGGTAAATATTTTGAAAAACAGTAAAACCTGGTATATATTATTCCTTCTGGTATATAAGTAGCAACCCTGTTATTGAACAGTTCAGTCTCATTTCATTCAAAAAACTATTTCCGACGTACGTATCAGTCATTTCAAGATTATTGTAAATCATATGTTGAAAACAGTCAGTTCGATTTCAAAAACATTTAATTTCCTTCGAGGCCTAAATTGATTCTCAATAATTTCGTTATTATGTTAAAATCCAATGTGAAAACCCTTTTATAAATATTTTGGAGACATGTTAGTGCATTCCGGTTGATCCAGTATTCGTTATTGAATTTCAACGTACCAGGATATTCGGTGGTTGTGACGGGACAATTTTCTTCGTCGGATCCTGTTTGGCAATCGCTATAACCGTTACATTGTTTATATCCCTCAATGCAATCGCCCTCTCTGCATTGGAATTCACCTTCTGCGCATCTACGTGGACCTAATCAAAAACTGAAATTTTGAGAAAACTGCCTGCGACACTATTTATTTGGTGAAAGTTGGCAAGACCCACAGATATTATTGCTATAAATGAATACATAGAAAAAAAGCTATTACTATTGTTCCGCATTAATACCTGAAAAAGATATCAGGACTACAAAGTTTATAGCGTTTAGGATTAGCAACTCCAATCTACATTTATACAAAAAGAGGACTTATGAACAGAAGGTATACCAGAAAGATGATAGGTTCTTGTGAAATATTCAGGTTAGTTGCAATCCATAAGAATCTTAGGATCATTTCAAACACAAAGGATGTTTTAGATTTTGGAAAGCCATTTAAGCTGAAATTATTCAAATATTTTTGAGTGTTGATATCATAGATTCCATTTCTTTCATATATTGGAACTGGATCGGCCTGTAGGTTCCATTTTTTGCTCAAAAATTTTCATGGATAGGTTTTTGAAAAACTTGTAAGAAGCCACATTTGTTATCATTCGTTCCTTGTAAATTACTACTTGAAAATTGGAAATTACAACTCAAATCTTGAAGTTACGACTTCTAACTTTAAATTTCTATTGCGATTTGAAAATTTTCAACTTTAATCTCGCAGTTTCGACTTCAAATTCGAAAGTACGACCTCAAACTCGATATTTCAACTTTCATCTAGAAATTTCAACTTCAAACTTGGAACTACAAATTTGAACTCAAAATTCTGACGTTGATCCTAAGGAATTTTGATTTCAATCTCAAAATTTCGAACTTTAACTCAAAACTTCGACTTTCATCAAGAAATTTCGACTTCAAACTCGAAAATACGCCTTTAAACTCGATATTTCGATTTTATTTTCCAAATCACGACTTTCTACTCAGAATTTTTATTTTATTCTGTTAATTTCCACTATAAATTCGAAATTGCGGCCCTGAACTCAAAATTTCGACTTCAATCACGAAATTACAAGTTTCAATTCAAAATTTAATCTCAAAATTTTTACCGTAAATTCGTCATTACGAATTTTAACTCAAAATTTTGACTTTCATCTTGGAAATTCGACTTTGATTTTAGAATTACAACTTCAATATCGGAATTTTGACTTCAATTCAGAAATTACGATCTTAAACTCGAAAATTCCACTTTAATCAAGAAATTTCGACTTCAAATTCGAAAGTACGCCTTTAAACTCAATATTTTTACTTTAATTTCCAAATCACGACTTTCAACTGCTCTCTGAACTCTGAACGGCTCTGAACTCAAAATTTTCGCTTCAATCACAAAATCACGACTTTCAACTCAAAATTTCGATTGTGATCTCGAAATTTCGACTTCAAATTTGAAATTACGACATTCAACTCGTAATTTTGACATTCACCTAAAAATTTTGACTTTAATTCCCACTTTAATCCCGGAATTTCGATTTCAAATTCGAAATAACGAACTTGAACTCGAAATTTCGACTTTCATCTGGAAATTTTGACAATGAACTCGAAATTACGTTGTTTACACAGGAATAAATGTTGGTTTTATTAACATCGGTCGTTAGAAATCCTCGAAATGTTGTGTAAACGTGTTCAATAATAAAGCAGATTCAAAAACTATCCTTGCTAATGGGGTTGTGGAAAAACAGATCAAATTGTAGCAAAAGTCGTATAAAAATTCGAAGTTCATCGTCATTATACAAATCCACTTTTATCAATCCAACCAACTTTCACCAACATCGTTTATATGTGCAGTCGGAACAGTTTACCTTGTTTCCAAAACCAGAATTTTGGCATGCTGTTAGATCATTCACTAGCTTTATTTACAAACAACGCATTGCTCAATCCGTTGCAAAGTTAGTAAGATATATTTCGTAATTCCGGCGCTATTTCAGATTGTTGAAACCGAAATTTTTAGATTTACACATGGTTTCCATTGAAATCAGTAGGAATGAATTGATTTTGAAATGATATATCTTTTCAATGTAATATTATTGTTTATATATTTCACACCAAATATATTTTGAGAAGCAGAAAATGTATTTACAGCTTTTGTTGTTGAGAAGTCATACTCCTTCAACTATACTGATAGTAACGTAAATACTGATATGAATATAAATAAATTTAGTCACTAGAGCAGAAGAAATGGGAGATTTTATAATTCGAGTTTTCTTTGGCGCTATCTACAGAGGGGTTTCATTGTTTTGTAAGTCTCGAAAGTCGTTATAATTTGTGGAACTATTTCTGTTTGGAATAAATATCAAGAATGCTAATGAAAATACTTGGAAAAAAATGCCAATCACTTGTAAACCAAGTTCAGGCTTCAATCTTCAAAAGTTTCACATTGTTCCTCTAACGAAATGCAATGTAACCAAAACAATGAAGCAGTTATGACCTGATGGTCCGAAAATCAATATTTACAGAAACAGAAATACATCAAACGAATTTATGGTGAAGATAAAGTTGACGAAATTTCAACATCAACTGGAGTTTTCAACGAAATCTATATTTGCGGTGGTGGACTGATTCAATTAGAACACGATTAAATTCATCTCATAGTGGATCCAAGGATCTACATGAATCTTCCACAGAAAACGAAAAAGTTGCTGAATTTGACAGAAAGGAATCATAACCGTTATGTATTGGCCCTGAACAAGTTGTAAGGTGAATCAAAATTGTATGTGTGGATCAGAATACAAAATAGTGTCAATAAGAATACAAGAAAAATATAATGAGAAGACACCTGAAATGGCTGAAATGAAGCTGAATGGAGACTTCAGCTGCAGAAAATGTAATGTAGTGACTATGACATCATCTTGTAATTCATTTCAAAGTGACAAGTTGTGCCAATCACTTGTAAACCAAGTTCAGGCTTCAATCTTCAAAAGTTTCACATTGTTCCTCTAACGAAATGCAATGTAACAATGAAGCAGTTATGACCTGATGGTCCGAAGATCAATATCTACAGAAACAGAAATACATCAAACGAATTTATGGTGAAGATAAAGTTGATGAAATTTCAACATCAACTGGAGTTTTCAACGAAATCTATATTTGCGGTGGTGGACTGATTCAATTAGAATACGATTGAATTCATCTCATAATGGATGCAAGGATCTACATGAATCTTCCACAGAAAACGAAAAAGTTTCTGAATTTGACAGAAAGGAATCATAAGCGTTATGTATTGTGTCAATAAGAATACAAGAAAAATATAATGAGAAGACACCTGGCTGAAATGAAGCTGAATGGAGACTTCAGCTGCAGAAAATGTAATGTAGTGACTATGACATCATCTTGTAATTCATTTCAAAGTGACAAGTTGACAATGTTTCATGTTGAATTCTAATAGTCCGGACTTCCATTGTCTGATACGATTTTGATATGATTCAGAATCTATCAAAGAAAAAATTATATCAGAGTAAATAGCTAAAATATCTATTATAATCGATTTTTAGTATCCACAATCGTTTTTTGGTGATGACTAGACTATTCACTCAAGAGATTATATAGATAGGTCATTCAAGCATATGTTTACATATCCCATCTGAGGAAGATGGAATATGTAAAAGTGCTCGATTCACCTAGCAATATCATCTCTCTGCTTCACCAGTTTACCGTTTTTCCGTTTGACTACCGGTTTCCGTATGTTGCGCATCTTTACGCTAACTTAACTGAATGCGTCGTTGGCCAACATATATGCAGCTTCTTTGAAGTTCCTCTCAAACCAGTGTTCCTGCCTGTGGATGATCTCAGCTTGGAATCACTTGATGCTATGTTGAGTCCAAAAATGCTCTGCTATTCCGGATTTGCTGGTTTCTTTTCGCTCTTCTATGGTGTATCCGGATCTGAAACAGGTTCTGATCCTTTCCGACAATACGCTGACAAAGGGAAGGGCGAGCACTGATTGCGACGGCTCCTCTTCCTTGCGAGGATCTTGCTGTCTTCTAGCCTTAGTCTGTCCCACCATCACTTTGGAGTGTCTATTTCGTTGATCTTTTCCAAAGATGCCTAGTTCCTCCTCTAGACCTTTTTTCGAATTACAGAGCATGAAAGCACGATTTACTAAAGTCTTGATGATTTCCGTATACAGATATTTCCCACTTGGTAGTCCTCTTCAACAATACCTCTAAAAATGGCAATTCGTTGTGGACTTTCTTCTCCATTGTGGAGATGATGAAAGGTTTTACGCTGTTGATGTGCTCGAGAAATGTGCGTAGTTTTGTATCTCCATGGTTCCATACTATGAAGGTGTCCACAACGTATCTCTCATGGGCTTCAACACCCAGAGTTTGAAACCACTCCATATATATGTTGGCTATAACTGGTGAAAGTGGTGAAACCATTGGCAGTCCCTCATCTTGTGAGAAGAATTCTTTTTATTGTATTTTCATTTCACGTTTTACAGCTTGAAATAATTGATAATTTTTGTATCCACAATTTTGTTTGTCTTTTCGTCGATTTCGAATCATATCAGAATCAATCAGACGAAAGAAGTCCGAACTAGTATAGATCATCGTCTTGTCATGTTTTTCGCGAACAAGACACTATTAAACAATAGAGAGACAGATTAGAGAGTCCATATTGTAGCCCAAAAAAGAGTGAAGAAACAAAAAACTTGAGTTTTATACATAACTCCGTCGAAAAAACCCACATAAAGCACATTTTCGAAAGAATAGTATCCCCGGTAGTAGTATAGCGCCCTAATAGTTTTTGAAAAACTTTACCTTCCGTAAAAATATCAGGATCGGGTCTATACGCCGGTTTTATCGATTTGCTACAAGTGTCATCATTTTCGTCACTTTGGTCTGGACAGTCAACAATTCCGTCACAAACTTTTCTCATTTTTATGCACAACGAGTCAGTCATGCACTTCCATGTATTTTCGATACATTTTATCTCTTCTTTTTCTAAGTACGGTTTGCAAACACATGCGATTATGCAGGTTAGAATCAGTAGAAATGGTTTGTCAAGGGAGAAAATACAGTTTGGAAATAACGATGTGTTTTATTATTTGACAGACATGTTTGAAAGAGTCATGGTACTTGGAATAGTAATTGAAACTTTTTCGATTAGAAAATTTCATAACATTGTTATTTCCAAATCGTATCACTGAAAGATACGGGATACGTCATAGAGAACACAGAAACCTGAATGAACCAGCTTCAAAAAGTAGTGAATTATGAAATATACATGTTGGAAAATAGTGTACAGGTCACCCAACATGAATTTTTTGTTTGAAAATATCGAACGTCGATGTTTCGTTGTTTTCGAAGCTTCTCTTGCGTGATTTCGAAGAAGGTAATGCATACATCCATATATGTATCGTTAATGTAATATTCTAACTGCATGTCCACCTATAAATCCCCAAAAAACTTTAAAACCTTTGGATTTCGCCACTTTGAAACAAAAATATATATTGGTATCCTCTTTACGCTACACCATCTTCCCCTGTAGTGATAAGGTGAAGAAGGCGTTCAAATATCGCACTCAATCAAAAATACTCAACTCAAAAGTCTACGAATCTTGAAAAAATCTAACAATTTTTGTCTCTACTGTCCTAAAATAGAACAAAAGTCGATCGTCGCTAACCAAGAACATTGTCACATTGTGTATAGCAAAATGATGATATGAATTCTGCTAGAATACTGATATTTTTCTAGTTATGACTGTCTTGATGAATCAAAGTAATGAAATCAAACATTTTTGTTTGTCTTTGAAGTCATTATTCTTGTTTCTCGAGCAATATGGTTGAACACGACTATAATAATGGAAACATTCTGAGCCATATAGATTGGTCCTGAGGTTACCAGTAATAAGGTTACCAACGAAATTGAAAAAATATTTCAAAATGACTGTTCCATTTTTACTAAGTTCTACAAAGAATAACTGGAGAGAGATTAAAACGGACATAGTTTGCAAAAAAGTCTGTTGAAGGATACAATGTAGATAAACATAAAAGTATTGATAGGTATTGAGAGTGAGCCTCATGTTATTCAAATAATAACTCATAATAACATAGATTCACTTGAACAAGTGAATCAGGTGGAACTAAAACGATGAACTGCAGAATGTTATCTATTATCATCAAATATACTCAATTTCTGAAAAATAAACTACATTCTTGAATTACGATCTTGTGGTTTTCACTATGCACTTCACCGTATCTGCTTATTTTGATTGACACAAAGACTTAACTTATATCATTTTCATGGTATCAAGCAAAAAAATTGAGTATTTAAAGTTCTCAAAACGACTAATTCACATCCTGAGAGGTTCTAAATGCTCTTCGTATTTGCTATACTGTGAAATAAAATTGTTTTTTGAGTTACAAATTCAACTGTGGTGCAAAATCATTTCATTCAGACAATTTTTGCGGATATTATGTAATAAAGGAAGATCATTATGATGCTGGTTCATACAGTTTTTTCTCATTCCCATACTAATAATTTTTTACTTGATTTGACATCAAAAAGTTCTAAATCATTAACCATTCCAGGTGATGATACACCTCACTAAAACAGTTTTTCCGTCAACATCAAACTATTGATCAGAGGAAGGATAAAACCTAGTGTAGTCCCTCAGAATCTAACTCACGAGAGATCTTGTCAAAAGTACTCAACACAAATTGCTTGACTTGTCAACGATGTTTGTATTGGGGAACAAATGTAGCATTGAAGTTGTACAACAACAATCAATGTGACTTTAAATATGTGAATTTGTCAAAATAATACCTAACAGAATCAGATTTTTGAATACTCTATGGCAAACAGTGCTTATATTCATAATTTTTGTGTCGAAATCTTTTGACAAAATAAAATCGAATCAGAGGAAACACGAAGCTTTTATCTTTCTGAATCAAAAGCCTTTTCCGTCTTGTTGACGTATTCAATAAATACTCTAAATCGGCTGTATTTTGATGCTGAACAAAACGGGTTGGGTTAGGTTCTAAACATTTATATCGATACTTCTATGTTATTTGGAAGACGGAAATTTAAAACACAGAAACAAAGACAAGAAGAAGGGAGTTCGAAACAAAACATGAATAGGAAAGTGCTACAAGAAATTTCCTAGAAGAAGAGTCGTTATTGGAGCTGAAAAAATTCCAGAATACAGAACAAAAGACACAATAGACAGAAGGAGAAAACGATTATTTCAATTTTGAAATAAACAGACACAAACTACAGAGAAACAGAGGAAAAGTAGTTACAATCCTACACCTGGCAATGAATCCATTCGAGGTATCACATGGGCTGAAAATTCCGGGCCTCAGAAAGAAAACTTTCTACCGGTGCAAAACTGAGCTCTATTCATCAACATGGTATCCATCAAGAACCATACAATCATTACAGTTGCGCTTTAAAATTTCAATACCACTTTTGTAGAACGATATATCTTTTGCCTCAAAATAGGCCGCATTTCCAGCAATAACTTTTTCATTCGAGCATTTTTTCCAGATCTGCGAACAGCCAGTAGTCGCTGGGAGCCAAATCTGCCAAATACAGTGGATATGGGAGCAATTTGAAGTTCAATTCATGTAGTTTTGCCATTGTTTTGATTGACTTCTGACCCAGTGCGTTGTCTTGATGAAACATAATTTTTTCCATTGCCTTATGCGGTCGTTTCTTTGCAATTTTGGCCTCCACTGTTTATGGTATGTATTCTCCTTCTCTTTAATGGAATATATAAAAACTATTTTGTCCAATTTTCACTAGTTATTCAATTTCTACGACCGATTTCGGGTGTAAGACCCGAGAATTTCCAGCACATGTAGTAATGGTAGAACCTGCTCTGCGCTGACGAAACCCATATCGCTCTGGCAAAAGCTATACAGCGCTGACAAAAGCTGAACAGCGCTGACTAGTAGCAACATCAGCGGATATTGTGTTCAGTCACTATATCGATTGGAGATCACATTGCCAGGGTAGAATTTTCAGCTGAAGGACACCACAGAAGTATTTTCTCTTACCGTTATCGCAATTCTTCTCATCAGAATGATCAGTGCAGTCCGCAATATTATTGCAACGGAACCTTTCATCCACGCATTGGCCATTAGCGCAAGTGAATTCATAACTCTGGCACAAAGCTGGAGGTGCATGAAAATTCGAAAAATACGGTGCACAATGGTGGAAATTGTATTACAATAAGGAGAAACAAATAGTAGCATACCAAAGTTTGTATAGGAGATTCCCTCGCAGAATTGAGGAAACATATTGAGGATAATTCAGATTTCACTGAAATACACCAACAAATTTTGGTGTGCCAAACTGTTTTTATTTTCTTATTTCTATTATTTTCATTACACTTCCATTTCAGAGGGTCTGACAATATTAATTTGTGATCCAAACAAGTTAACAAAAAAACCTAAGGTAGCTACTCAGCTGTTGATCAGCTAACTTATGGGAGAGGATATTAAGTTTTTTCCTGTCCAGTTATGGGAATTTCATAAAAATATCATCAGCTCATTCTACGTTGTCTCTTGAATCACCTTTCGAAGTTAAACTTCGTTATATCGATTGACGAATGAAAACAGAAAACAAACAATATTCTAACCTGAATAACGAAAGTTTCTCCAGTTCAGAGAGAAATTATGGGAGGAGTTGAAACCTCATACCACAGCTACTTAGCTCAATTACGCTTTTAAGAAAGGCAAATGCAGATTCGAGGGCGTAACAGCTGAATGCTCGATTTTTCGCTTAATCAGCGTATGTAATGGTTGAAAATCACTTGAATGAGAAAAATGAACAGGTACCCAACGAAAAATTTATAGTGGTATCAATAGATATGAAATATATGTACATTATTCAGAATTCCCAATTATCCAATCCAGAATTGGAAATTCACGAAGATTCAGAGCATTTCCCTCACTTTAGAACACAAACTCATTTCAATTCCAAAAGAATAACGAGCAACAATATAAACCTTGTGAATGTTCCTGTCTCCAATCAGGCGGATTGTTCTTTTCTGAATGGAATCCAGCAACTTCAGGGTAGGTTTGGAGGTAGAACTCCAAACATGACAACAAAACTCCAAAGAATGTCTGATCTGAGCTTTATAAAGCATCGAAAGTTGCTGAGGTGCGTACAGTTTTCTGGTTAAGAACAGTTTGAAGCTTCTGAGAAGCAGCTTTTGCAATTCTAGCACCGTGATTGTGCCAAGACATATTGGTGTCGATTTTAACCCCCAACAACCTCATCAAAGCAGAAAGCAGAATAATCCGTCTTGCCACTATCATATCCAGGTAGGAGACATTTATCTTTTTGGAGAAAATCGATGCCTAGGTTTTTGTGGTATTGAAATAAACATGGTTACTTCGTTACTACATGGTTACCATTTCGAAATCACTTCTAGATATGCAATTTCCTACTGCCGGTGAAGACGTTCATCCGCAGCCAATTTCCTGGAATCCAAATGGAATGACGAAACAAGTGTGCTGTCACAAAACAATATATTGGATTATTTTTCCAATAAAAAGAGGATAGGAGACAATATGGATCCCTGGGGAACACCAGCATTGATGGTAAAAGTATTCGAGAGTTATTCATCGACGGTGACTTGCAAGGAAGGGTCTTTTAGGAAGCTGGAGAGCCAGCCATGCACAAAAATGATTTGACAAGCTATACCATCGAAGTTTGGTAACACAGATCTACTAAATGGAAAACCTTCAAGATCTGACTCTGAAGTCAATAAGGTAATTCTATCAGACGACCTTCCATTATTCGATACCAGATACCAGAAAGCCTCCAAAATCCTTATCGTGGTATAAAAACTCCGAACCAAAATGCATGCGTGCAAGTTTTGATTATGTTCGCAACAAGGGTAAATTGAGAATAGATAAAAGTCAGTTCCAGTCTGGTCAGTAGTACAAAACTGTGCTAACAGTGCTGATTTCCACTATTCTCAATGTATAATCCACGAATACCCAAAATCGCTTTGCCACAGCGTTTAAAGAAATTAATTCTGGAACTCAACTCAGCAAGTGGTAAAGACTAACAGCGTGATCAGCACAATATTTCGAAGATTCTTAACCTTTCGGCGGTCGCGCGCGGACTGTCACTCTGCAAGTTTAACACTTTTGCGATAGTTTTTTGATAAGCATGTTGGCGGCGCTGCAAGTAATAGTAGTCTTCTGGAATATCTTGAGAATGATCAATATAGAGTCACAGGTCAGTGGTTGCATTTGTTCCAGTGTTGTGTCCGTTGCGGAGTGAAACTCCGCGCGCGACCTTTCTTGTACCTACTTTTACTTGAAGTGAGATTTCAGTAATTGCCGTCATCAAAGGTGAGTCTATAATATTTGATTTCTGGAATGTGTTCAATTCATCCAAAAATTTTAGATGTGCTCCTGGGAACAAGAACAAAGGCATTTGGAAAAACTCATGTCAGAGTGTTTGATGGATAATGATTCGCCTGATGCTGATTTTGAAGATGACGTTTCAGACGAGGATAATGTCGAAACACAAGAGGATATTGTTGAGACACAAAATATCGATAGTGACACAGAACAAGAAATTTCAGACCTTGAAGATTACAATGATGAAACTCCAATTCAGGGACCAACATTCACAGGAAAAGACAATACAATCATTTGGTCTAAATTTCCAATACCCAGACATGGACGAACTAGGAGACAGAACCTGATAAAACATCTTCCTGGTGTCAAGCCACCAGTGACAAACTTGAAGAAGGAAGCAGAAAGTTGGTCTCACTTTTTTCTGATACAATTTTTAATATAATTGTGGAGTTCACAAATCAACACATATAAGAAAAATGTGTTCATTATCAACGAGAAAGAGATGCTAAAAATACCGATTTATTGGAAACCAAGGCGTTCCTCGGTCTTGTATATTTATGCGGAGTTCTAAAGTCTAGTCGCCGGAATCTTGAGGAATTGTGGAATAAAAATGGTACAGGAGTAGAGCTATTTCGACTTACGATGTCTAAACAAAGATTTTGTTTCCTCTTGCAACATATAAGGTTTGATGATTCAACTACACGTGACGCACGAAAGAAATATGACAAGCTTGCTCCCATTCGAGAAATATTTGATAACTTCGTCAATAATTGTGAAACTGATTACTCTCCGTTTGAATACGTAACCATTGACGAAAAACTCGAGGCATTTCGGGGGCGGTGTAGTTTCCGTCAATATATACCCAGAAAATCTGCTAGATATGGCATAAAAATGTTTGCGTTAGCCGATTCAAAAACGTTTTATACGACCAATTTGGAAGTGTATGTTGGCCGGCAACCTGAGGGACCTTTTGCAGTGAGTAATTTGCCAAAATATGTTGTTCAAAGACTTTGTGAACCAATAAGAGGAACAGGCAGAAATGTTACAGTTGACAATTGGTTTACCAGTATGGCTGAATTAAAGTTCGTTTGCTGTTCAGTGTTGTTTTTTATTGCAAAAATGAATTAATTATAGCGGACGGACAGTCCGCTCGCGACCTTTCTTGTCTGAAAACTGGATGCGACCGCCGAAAGGTTAAAGATGTTCCTTACAAGTAGCTGCTACAGCATATATTTGCCGACAGCAGGAAGTTCTGGAGAGCTGAAGAACCGAAGCGTTATTAATCTGATAAAAATCAAGCATCAGTTTTTTCTGAGTAGAAAAATGAAGTTTATCCCAACACAATATTGTTACTTTTTCGAAAGGAAGAGTTGAATACAATTCGGCAACCTTCAAAGCACGCATATATGCATATTCCAGATGGATTACATCAAGAATAATATCTAGAGTATCGAGAGAAAATCGAAAACTCTTTTTTCTTCTACAAAAATTACTGGAACTGGATCTTTCGTTGCCGGTGACCAGCTATGACCAGATTTCATTGGAATGAAAAAATTGACACGAATGAAACTCTTTGGAGAGAAAGAGTTATTGATAACTCGACGACCAACTGAAAGTAGCTACCAGGTTTTTCCGCTGAACAAACGACGGACAGGAGAAATTCTGAAACTTAAATGTTCAAGATGGAAACTAACCACATCCTTCCTCATCTTCAGAGTGTATACAGTCTGAGACACCATTGCAGCGTAACGACAAGCTCAAACAAGTGCCATCGCTACATCTGAACTGATCTGGCAAACATTGTTGGCATTCCATTTCGTCGGATCTGTCAGGACAATCAGGCTTCAAGTTGCATCGAAATATCTGATCAATGCAGGTACCGTCCATGCATTTCCATTGGTGACTTTGACAAGTTTTCGTTGCTGTGGGGTTCATAAGAAATTGTTATCGGGCATAGAATAGAGTACTAAAAAGGATCGAGCTGATGTTGAGAAATAGTTTTGCCCGAATTATTTGTCAGAATCATGGACATTTCTATCTATGAAATCGACAGAAAAACCACAAAAACAAACGATTCACGAGTCTCTCGTATACAGTTTGTCGCGAAGCCTAATTAGCAAACACCAATTGCTGTGCAACCAATTATCTTCCTTCCTTTTTGTGCAGCATTTACTGCAAGGCAAATAATTGAAAGCCTTGGTCTTTTGTCGATCCTTTTGACATCGATTCTGTCGATTTTGTCTTGGTTGGTGAAACGAATGTAGAGAAAAGAATTGCATTTCTGATGATTGAATTTATATATACTTTAATACTTGAGCATTGTTTCAATTCTGTCCCCATATATCACCTTAAGATTAAACAATCTGTGTATATATTCCACTCGAAATTATACAAAAAATGAAAACGACTCGATAAGGATCTCATTATGTTTTTCGTGACAAAATGATATTCGTTGTGTTCAAAGTACAACTAACTTTTCTGGCTACACATGAATTAGCCTATGTGTGTTCTTCAATAAGATTCAGGAACTCAAGGCATGGAGCACTCGACCTTCACCTTCCTCCTCATGTGGGTTGGGGTCAGATACGAAGGTCTACGAACATGATGCCCTCATCTCTACATACCTTGGTCTACCACATATTATGCATGTTTCCGGCACTAGTGACAGGATCTGCTTTGAGATACATCCCATCTTTATCTGGGCTCCACCCAAAGAGACGGTTGTTCTTATAATATACAACTTTGTTGAAATGGTGCTTACTCATGTCTGATTCTCCGTGTCAAACTGAAAAGAAACTGTATAATTGGATCTACTGGAGACATTATGTACGAACCCAGCAAGTAGTCTTTTATTCATAGTCACTGCAAGTGATGGATTAGTTGTAAAAGAAGCCTACATGGTAAACCTTTCTGATAATAATCCGTATTTCTCTCATCAGCTCGATCCTCGATTTCCAGTGTATTCTTATCAATTTTTAAACGTTATTTGGGACGTTCATGTTTCTAATAGTTTCATTATACCTCATGTTGGACGTATAAAAATATGTAATTCAAGTTAAATTAGGTACCTCTCAGTATAGTTTTAACTTCAATACAAATATCAAAGCCAGCAAATGGTTCAAATATTATGATTCAAATTTGGAAAAGTATGATATGAACGTTTCAAAATAGACAGTTACATTGTTCTCAAAACTGTTAACATGAGCAGATTATACGGAAATATGGAACTGGGTACTTTTAACTTTGCGAAAGTTTGTTCTGGCTAATTATCATTTTCATGGATACTTTCTGGAGTATCAACTCTGATTAAATAGAGGTATACGTTTGAATTTTGAAAAAGATTATCAAAAATCACTGATGAAAGCTGACGTGAAGAGAATGTCAAATTGAATTGTCCGATGTTCTGGGTTTATTAGACGTGGTCTGAAGGTTTAGATACCTGACATGTCGTTTACATTGCTCTAACCCTTCTTCAATGGGTAAATTAGTGGGAGAATCTTTGTGTTATGAAGTGCCGGTATCCAAGTCTTGTAGATGTTCAAGCTCTTTTCATCACGATTCAAATAATTCTAATGCTTATGTATGTCTGTGGCAGCCCTCTGAGAGAGCGTGTTCTGCAACTGTCGATACATCTGTTTGGCCATAGCGGCAACTCCTGCCATGCTCAGCAGAGCGAGTTTCAACGTTTCTTATCGTGGTTCCCATGTAGAACAAACCACACCTATACGGTATTTGGTATACTCCTGGAGTACTCAATTGATCCCTGCGGTCTTTAGCTGACCAGGGAGTGTATCTGTATAGGTCGTAAAGCCCTGTTGATTTCGGACCCAGAAACGCATTCTTTAGATGACACGTTTCCTCTTATAGTCCTTACGGTTGTTAGACCTGTCTTGCCCGAGTTATTATTCAAATATGAGTTGGTTTTATGTATATTTCATGCCTCAGCTTGCCACTTTCCCGTCTTTCTGATAATACATCCAGAAGAGCGGCTAATAAACCCGAAAACATCGGATAATTTGTTAGACACCGGCTGTGAAAGCTCAAATGATTCTGTCAGAATATTTCAGAAACTATTGGTTATTTTACGTTCCATTCAGATTCCTGTTGTATAAACAATTCCGTCAATATCGCCAAGAAATAATTTCTATGTGGTTTGGTTCGTGGTTTTTTTTCTTCAACTTCCTTGGGAAGATTACTGTCCATAATCAACATGATTACCTCAAACTACTGCCACCAGAAATAAAATAGTAAGTACTCTGCCACCAGTGCAGTGCCACGTTACTGTTGGGTTATCTAGTTACAAAACTCTCTGAGACACAATTTTCTGTAATACGAAAGCAAAAAGTGATTATTAGTGCTCTTTAGGTTTTTTCATTCTCAGTTTCGCAAGTAAGGAAAATTCACAGTAGACCTTCACCTGTTAGTTGATGAAATGCTTCATTCAAATAATGAAAATTGCTCATCAGAGAGTTGAATAACTTTACAAATCCCGAAAAAGTACGGTCTATTTTCACGTTAATTGAAGTGTCTGTTTGCATTGTTTTTATTTGATTTCTTCTGAAAGCTTTCTTCAACGTGTTTAGCATTTGGTGTTACCAGAAGTTATGGAGCAGATTTGAAAACTTTTGAAATCCTCCGGACTTTTGATTCGAACTTCTAACTCCGGAGGTCATAGTCATAGTTTGAAGCCAAGGTTGAGTGATCAACTAACTTGAACGTATTATTATTTTTTGGAGACTTGGGCTCCAATTGTAAAAGAAGGATCATAAATAACTTTGCGGCAAAATACTTTTCAAGGATTTCTTTCGGTAAAATGGTGACTGTATATCTTCGACCAACTTCATAGCCCAATAATTGAATGAAATTTTTCGAGAGACCAAATATTCATGATGAAAAACTACACGCATCAGATAATATCCTTTCAAAACATTGATTCAACTTTGTTTGGAAAACAATTGAAATAATCCTGCAGACAGAGTTTATGAAATCAAATATCATTTTACCAGAAGAGCAACATTCAGTTGGAACCAGAAAATCGAACTCAGATAGGAAAGCAACTCTGGAGTCATTTTGAAAAATCCCAGCTTCAACAAAGTCATCTAATTATTGGTAAAGGAAGGTTTTCCCCTTTTACTTCTCCAGTTACAGATCGATTTAAAAAAAGCACTGTTCAGAGTATTCCTTCTGCAGGGCCAGACCCAGATTGAAGAATCGTCTCTTTACAATAAGGATCTACATCGGAATTCAAGCTGTCAACCTTGCTTGCTCCGATACAGAAAGTGACCAGAAGAGATGCCGTCAGTAGCCATTTGATCATGAATTCACGATATTTCACTCGGTAAAAATCAATTTATTCGAAGAAATGGTTGAACGTGTACCTCCTCTATGACATCTGATAGGGATCTTTGTCAATCAAGAGAAGAATATTACTGGAGTTTTTTTCCCAACACCGAACTGTTATTTTAACACCTCGACACGTGTTTCGATCACCAAGTTATCATCTTCAATAGTTCAGTCGATCTTTCTCTTGAAGATGTTCACTTGATGATCGAAACACTTGTCGAGGTTTTAAAATGACGATTTGGTGTTGGGAAAAAACTCCAGTAATATTCATTACTACGCAGTGCATCACAAACAGTGCACCACAAAAGAGAAGAGGTAATATACAAATGATTGAGGAATGAGCTCTCTGGAACTGTTTTTCTTTCCTCTGAGAAAGATGTTTCTGTATCCACTTTGTATGACTGGATTACTCTGGAAAGGAAGGGAAAGTGTCAGTATACTATACACTGGAGTATTCTTTAAACTAGCATTGTAGAGATTATTTGAAACATTTGAATTAGCCAAAGAAATCATTTTTGAAGTTATTTAGGTGGATACTTTAACGGCGATAGTTTGGTTTATTTTGATAGGTGAATATGACATTTTCTATTCTGATCTGAGGCTCCTGGTAACTATATTCAATACTCTCTGTTTAACAGCTACTGAGAGTGTTAGTCAATGAATCAATATTGATACAAAAGTAAATGCATTCAGACACTATCGGGTGTATTCTCAGGTTAACTACAACGCAATGTAATTGCGTCCAAGAGCATACCGATGCATCCATCTTCGTCAGATTTATCTTGACAGTTGTGTGTACCGTCGCATCTTTGGGATTGGGGGATACAGAATCCATTTTTGCAATGGAAGTCGCTGGGGTGGCATGCTGCAAAGAAATATTATTTTCTTTCCTTGAACCTATTTTCGGAATGATGATAATTTCGGTTAGAAGAAGAACTATGGGTATTAACACATCAACTGTGAGTGAAGAAAGATGGACAAGGAAATATATCAACGATGAATGAATATAAGGGCTGGAGAGAAGTTCTGATAGAAATAATGAGGAATGAGATAAAATTGTGTGGCCGGATGTGTACAAGTGAGAGTTTGGAGTGGTATGAAAAATTAACAAACAGATCAATCTATCCCATGCACATGTAGACAGCTCATCCACCATTAGCGTTGCACTTGGCTCATTTCAATTCCTGGAATGATCTCACTGTTGGATGATTTTTCAATAACTCAAACCCACTTCGAATAGAGAAATGTTGAATCGAAAGAAGATTATGGAAAGAAACACCACATGATACGTTTTGATCGTGAAGATTATTCTCAAACACTTACGACAACCCCGTTCGTCACTAAGATCTTCGCAATCGTAATTTAGGTCACATTTCGAGGTTAATGGGATGCATTTTCCGTTTCCACACTTGAACTGGTCTGCTCTACACCGTTCTGTTTTTGGGATTGTGACATGCAAACATGTAATAGGTTAAAATCTCAGAAGGGGTTACTGTTAACTATTAATAACACAATCGGAATGGTTTTCAAGCTTGGTAAGGTACAGGGTTCAGGATGAATAAATGCGATAAGCAGGTTAATACAGGATAGACCAAGTCATGAATCAAACTAAAAGGGGTGACAGAGATGATCCCTTTTTATGGTATGTAGGTACTGCCATTTTTGAACCGTGAAACACTACTCTATTTGGGTCATAGATAGATCAAAAACACCTTCCGGTTCTGCTGCAGGTGTTTTCAGTCGCAGACCCAGGACAGAGATATCAACCTGCCTGGGAGCCCATGCGTCTGTATTTTAGGCAAAAATTTACGCAATTAGTTGTGTGCGGAGAGAAGAATCTAACCCCATACACAAGTCAATAAAAATAACGGCGTTGGAAGCTCTCGGCAATGTCTAGATGGGTAGCAAATTGCCAAAAACGACTCTCCTCGATAGGAAGCAAAATGTCTCTGGTCTGGGATCTTATCTATACTAGCCTGGGAGGCAATGAGGCTGCTGTCTCCCTTGCAAAGGAGGGTGCTGCAAGCAGCTTCATCGGACCAGAACCTGCCATCAGAATCGGTTTAAGCATTGCCAAACAAAGATTGAACAGCTGGATGGCAAGAATATTTATGGGCTTCTGGCAGAATCACTCCAAGACGTATATTTATCCTACGAAGCTTGATACCAAACAAATGTTGGTTGGTACAGTAGTGATGAACTACGATGTCTAACAGGCCTTCTACAGGTCACTGTTATTTGTAGAGATTCAGACTGTCGAAAGACAGTGTGTGTCACCTCTGTTTGGAAAATGACGAAACAGCAGAGCACATACTCTGTGCCTGCCCCGCTAGGGACCGATTCAGGTTTTTAGAGTTCGGCAGAGCCGTACTCTTATAATTCGTCCTGAAAGATCACTCATCATACAAACTAATCGGCTTCGTTAAGAAGCTGAGTTTATTTAGTCGAGTTTGAATATGTGTGAGCCACAATAAACCCTTGCGGGTTGCGGTGGAGGGTCGAATAGACCCACTCACTTTGGATCTAACTTAACCCAACCTATTTGGATCATTTTAACAAAATCTTGGCACTAATATCTGGTTCATAAACTGGTGAATGTTATTGGTCGGTGAATACACATCAGTCTTCTAGACGAAAGTAGTGTATGCAGTTTGCAGGAAATACCAATTTGAGGCCTCAGCAAGATGAGCCCATAAATATAATTAGAGAAAACTGTGCTGCTCATGGGTCATTGATGGCAGACATGCACATACATGCACATACATACACAACCTCCCTATCACCTCGTTTTATTTGATTCATGACTTTTAGAACATCCTGTATAAATATATGATTATCGCCTTCTTTTTCCTGGGTTATTAGTTAATGTTTATTCACTTCTCGAGATTTTCAAATAGTCTGATTTTAATTGGTAGATTGTCCATTCTTCCTATTCATTTTTGAAAGCTCCGGTATATTTTGAATAACTTTTTCGTGAACGATATGATTGATTTTTATTTATATATTATTCCTGCAAGCTAAGCAGAAGTTCGAAATATAAAGCAGACTATTCACCAAACATTTCTCAATAAGCGTAATGCAAAAATTCAAGCCAAGTTTGAGAAAATGTCTGAATATTCTCGAAAATCAAAATGCCATTCAAGATGCTTTTTGAAAAGCAAGCAAATCAAGCTGTGAATACAAATAACTTGGACATATTTCAGAATATGCACATTGTCAATTAACACATCTCAAACATTTTTGTTTAGACACTGAATGTCAATCATGAAATTTTACGTTATCTCTATTTGGTACAAAAATAAATGATTATTTTTCGTCAACATTCAAGTGGTCTTGCAGGATCATTTGGTAATTATTAGTATTTCGTAACAAACAACACTATAAAGGGACCATGATTTTTGATCCACTCTCTCCTAAATGCTTCCATAATTTTTACGAAAATCACTGACCTGTACAATTTGCTTCGTCGATACCATTTCTGCATTCTCTAATACCGTTGCAGACAGCGTAAGTCGGGATGCACATATCTCCACAGGAGAATTCGGTAGGTAGACATCTCAATGGAACTGTAAAAAAAATAAATAAATGAATTTATGAGTAATAATTTCAATTGTGCTGATTTTTTAACAATTTTCAACGTTCAATGATCATGAATTTGAAGTCAAAAATTGGCACTCCGGACGAGTTTTGGAATCACGAGTATGTATTGAAAAATTCTTAGTCTACTGAAGAAGCGAGTGATATTTGAATATTGAAATATTTCATTATTTGAAAGTTTGAAATATTTTTGTTACAGCGAAACTTCAACTCCTCTAGACGTGCAAAAAACGATGTGGATCTGCAAACCATGCCTCCTCAACTTCGTTGAAAGAAAGAGTTTTTTCAGTTGAGGATGGAGTCAGATTCTTCAATATGGGAATAGGGGGCGTTTCAACCCTAAATCACTGATCGTTTGCATGACAAGATGATATTTGTGTGCAAGGGCATCGTCTTGCAAAACAAACTCCGAAAAAATTTCTGCGTTTATCTCCATTTTTATTATCGTAGAGTTATCAGTTACATGCAGTTCCTGGTAATTGTTTCACCTTTTTTCGAAATCTTGATTACTCCTTGGCAATCCCAAACAACTGGAGGAAGAAATTTTCCCAAGTTTAATACATAGTAACGACATGGCTTGAGAAGATTGCTTCTTTTTTTGAACCGAGCAAAGATTAAACGCAATGCTTTTACCCTTGTTCACACCTCAAATAAATGGAAATGTTGTTTCCTAAGGTTCGGTTTTAGATCCACTAATGTTGTTGGTTTTGTATAAATGATCTATACAGTTTTAAGAAAACTAGTAAAATGTAACTTGTTTGCAGATGATACGAATTCACTATGCTGTAGCAAAGATGGTTCATAACTAACAAGGCGAAACACTGAACAAAAATGAAACTCAAATCATAATTGTATCTTCTAATCCCAATTTCCATACAACTGGAAGTTTTTAAGATTCGTTATTGATGGTATATTGAGCTCGTCTGATCATATGAAAGCAGTGACTGGCGAACTTTCTACTGTTTTGTTTGTTCTGAAACGATTAAATAAAGTAGTCAGCTCGATAACGCTTGAAATGTCCTACTATGGCTGACTCAGTTATTTCATATGGTATTTTGATTTTGGGTGATTCAAGTAACTCCATAAAAGTTTTTAGGCGCCAGAAAAAGGTCATACTAATTCTAGATAGAACAGGTTACAAAGAGCAATGTCGTTAGTTTTTTATCCAACTTGGCATTATGTATCTTCCAACATTATATATCTATGAAGTTTCACGGAAGATTCAGGTCCAAAATGACGTTAACCATATGATAGATACGTTCATATATAATAGTCAGGTCCACTGTTCTAGTACCATTCTGAGGTTTGGTAGATTCATATTATGAACTTCATCGTGAAAGTTCAAATTTCCTTACAAATCACAAATTATTTCGAATGAAATCCTGATTTTGCCCTGTTCTGTTTGTCGAAGTGAGCAAATGCCTTTCCACTCACAAGAAATTTTGAGTGGAGCATGCTAAGAACTATCACGACGTTTATTATTATTATAATGGTCGTGTTATCTAATGCATTATCAGTTATTAATCAACCTTTCATTGGAAAGTCTATAGCAACCTTTTCATTTCGTGCATTTCCTTTTCGGATACGCTTCGAATACGTTTGTTTTTGGTTCCCATCTAGAATATCTTGCTTGTGAGGGTCAATTTCAGATTACTAGTCGTTTGGAGAGAGATACACCTTAGAAAGTATCGAAGGCTACCGGGTAGTTACTACAGTATTTACATTCCACTGTACACTTCAAATGATCCATTGAATCAACCACAATCCTGTGGTTATTCCTTCTTAGACATCTGGACCAATATTGGTTCGCTTTATCGTTGTTGTTCATTTCTTCATCAATTTATGTCAAAAGTTGTTCAGTCATGAGTCGTAATATTATGGAAGAAATGAGATTTCCGTCTCGTGATGTTATTCAAAACGGTGCTAAGACAAGTGTCTTGTCTCGAAACTTTGGAGTACATCATTTGGAATGGTATTGATCCATGTAGGTATTATCAAAACTGTTTCATATATTGAATTAGGTAGTGTTTCTATAGACAATATTTGTTTGGATGGGTGAATGGATAAAAGTGATTTTCATGTAACTCATGAGATTCAACATGTGAGTAGTTGATCGAAAAGGGTTTTTCCTTAAAGAAACTCATGTGTATGATCTACAAATATTCATCATCTTCTTCATCATCATTTTCTTCAGTAGTTTCCCATATTTTTCGTTTAATGATGGAGAAGTAGAAAGCCGTAAAGCTTCATTCCCAGATAATTTAATGGTGAATGAGAATATTGACATTTGTTTGTTTGAAGGTGATTGACAATGTTTCATGATGAATTTCACTAGTTCGGACTTCCATTGTCTACTATATNTAATTGCATTCAGCTTTGTACCCAGAAAACAAAACAGGAATCAACAACGTTGACTGAGGTTTGAGTAATAATTCAATCGAATGCCATTTCAATTGAAATATTTTCTTTCACTTAAAAAAAAATCGAAAATATTGAACAAGGCATTGGTTGAAACTTTGTAGGCGAAACTTTTGTGAGATAAGAATTAACGAGGTCTTGCCTTCGGAAATGCGATCACTATCAAGGATTATAACATTTTTTTGATCACGGAATGGGCGATTGTGGATGACAAATATTTTTTGTGCATTTAACTGTGAGATATCTCTCATTTGGAATCTCGTCAGTATGTGACGGTTATTTACACTGGCGTGTGCCACCGAATCGCATAAAATCACGGAATAGTGAATCTGGAACAGCAACCGATAGAAATTATATTAATGAGTCCTACGATGCCGCCGGTCGTGAATGGTTATTATCCATAAACCCCAATTATATTCAATAATCGTCGATTTTCACGCCAACCATACCTTCAATAATGCCCGCATTGTGATTTTGATTCATCAGAAATACTTTCTGTGAAAATCGCTATAATAAATTGCCCATTGCGTGGCCGTGCTTGGTACGGAACCGCTCGAATTTTGGGTGAAAAACCTGAAATATAATACGAACAGATTTTTTTGTGGAGAATGAATTGAAGGAAAAAAAAAAGTGTGGCAAGACTTGCTATAAATAGAATTTCGAAAATTTATATCGATGTCAAGTGCACTTGAAAACCCAAAAGTTGATTTTTCGTTATGACACAATCAATTTGAATGGTAATAATAAATACTGTATCAAGAAGAGATACATACATATAAAAAAATGAATACTGTCTACAGTGGTTTTGTTGCCCTAGATATAAGATTGATTTTGGGTATATTTATACTCACAATTCATGAAATTATCAATGGTTTTGTAAGATTTGCTCTCGTTTTCTTTTAAATATGTATTTTCATTTTACATTACAAAAATTCAACAACAAGAAACGAAATAACAGATATATTTATAATCTCAGTTTTATTTGGAAAAAAAATATGATACTTTGAAGTAAATAGAGAGGGAAATTTCGAAAACATGTTATATCTCCATGAAACGCCTTTTGACAGCTTTTTTTTATAATTTTTCAGAGGACAATCTCTTTTAAACTGATCTTCCTCCTATAGATGATCACTTGGTAATCGACACACGAAAGAGGAAGATCAAACTGATTATCTTCAAGAGGAAAATCAAACTGATCTTCCTCTTGAAGATGATCAATTGGTAATCAAAACAATTGTCGAGGTGTTGAAATAACGGTTTGATGTTGGGAAAAATTCCAGTAATACCCACTCTTCGATATTGGTAGCAGAAAACTCATTAGGGTGTGAAAATTGAAGGTGGCTCAACTACGTTGAAAGTATACCTGGTATGATTAGTTCTATAATTCAAACGTATCAAACAGGAGGAATATGACCCAGTTTTCTGAAATCAAAATGTGGATTCTACATAATAATAGAAACGTTTCAGATGGATTGGACAATGAAGGTCCAAACTTTCAAGGGTCAAACACTTCAAGCACGGAATATTTAATGAAGTGAAATTTGCTACGAGTGTACCTACACCTTCAATGTCCCCGTAATTGAATCTCACGTCGTTCAGATATTTTTTGTACATTATGTTTGTATATATCAGTTGCTACGTCTGTAAATATCAAGATTGAATTCCATACCACCCAAAATGAATATGCCATGAAGATAATTGTATCTCAACCAAAACCCCCACGGCAAATCATAACTAGAGAAATCCGTCCGTCCCTACTCGCGAGATAAAAAGCAAACGTGCCAATTTCTTTTGATCTGATACCGAATACACATTCTCCACTTTCCTGTTTTCGTAAACATCCTCACATAAAAGTTTGAGAGACATGAGAGCGAGAAGCTAGGCGTTATTGCGTAAGAATGAAATGTTTCTGGTAAGATGACTATCAAAGGGAAACAACCATATCGCGTTACAATATTACGCTAAATCGAGTTAAGTACGGCTTTGTGACATCAGACACGGCCAGGAGAGTGCGAACTTCGATCAAGTAAGGACATTTTGGAAAGGGTATGGTATGGGACACAAGATACCTACTTTGAAGAATTTCATTTCATGAGAGGCTCGAGTCTAGTCCGGGAACTCGTGGAAAGGGGTATGTCAAGTTTCAGCATCTATTATTTCGCCATTCCGGTGGTCACTTATGATTCTGGAGTCTCAATAAACAGAAATTGATCTGTTTATATATTACTATCAGCACTTCAAATTGAATGCATCGATTATGAAAAAAAATATCTGTATTCCGCACCGTGAAACATTTCCTAAACGAATGCGTTTGGCGTGGAGCTTTGTTCAGAACCGTAAATGATTTTGCATGCTCGGATGCATAGGTGAATGTTGTCTCTAGATGCTATCGATACTTGATCAAAATCTATGATTTTAGAGGAATTTACAAAACAGTTTACAAAGCGGCAACACGAATATCATTTCAAAAAGAGCTTCTTCAGATTGTCAATCGGTGAAATTCTAGTAGATATTGAACTTAAGCTTCTCTGAGGAGCTGAGTATCTAGAGA